TCATTACACTTAAAGTATTGGTAAAAGAATCGGAAAAATGTACCATTTCTATTATTTCTTTTTAAAGGTACAATATAGTGACACGATAATATCAACATATGTTTTCAGCATAACTCTGAAGGTATTAATGAGATCTTGATGTATTGGGTATTTTTAATTATTTTTTTTAAAATGATCTTTAAATTTTTTGTCCGCTGTGACGGAGCACTTTCTAATCTGAAATACATTAAGAATTTAAGATTTATAATATATCTTTTAACAACACTTTAGAGGAGCGAATGTGTCAAATCTCTTTCGTAAAGTATTCTGAAAAATGAAACGTAATAACAGTACACAATTATTTGTATATGGACGTGTAAAGCAGGATGTAGTTTTTCCAAGGTATAACTCTATGCTTATAGAGGACCCTGGTACCCCCAGCAAATTGATTGAGATTGATACTACGATCTATATCAATTCCCAACCAATCAATTGTTACCGTTGTAAGGAGATATCACACCTCGGTCGTGACTGCCCTACTAGAAAAACTGTAACCTGCCGTCAGTGCTTTCAACCAGGTCATTTTGCCAAATTTTGCCCTCAGAACAATACAAAAGATGATGACAGTAATGATAATGACAGTGATTCTGAGATTGATTCTGTGAAGTCCGTAATTCATAATGAAAAACCTGTTGAATCAGTCAGCTCTACTGAGTCAACACCAGCCACACCACAAGCCACACCAGTAGTAGATGAAGCAGCATCAGGTGACACACAACCTACAAATACCACCAGTGTAGATAGTTTGGAGGTTCCACCTGCCAATGTGATCACTAATAGTGCTCCTACCAAACCTGAGAGTAAAACTGATGAAGCAGCATCAGGTGACTCACAAGCTACTAATACCACCAACATAGATAGCTTGGACGAAGTGTCTGATAGCGCTCCTGCCAGACCTGACAGTAAAACTTTCCCCATTTTTGATAAAAAAGTGAAGAGTAAAAAAAGACCGCCAAACTTTACACCCCCAAGCACAGAAAAAAACTCGAAAAAATCTTCAAAGTCAAAAATTCGTATCTAAACAATTATAATACATAAATATCCAACCCAATGTCTGTATGAGAGTTTGCTCAATAAATTGTAGAGGCTTAAGAAACAAACGTGACCGAAAAATCGTTTTTGATTGGGTTAAACAGACCAATTGTGATATAATTTGTTTACAAGAAACACATGTTTTAAATGAAGATAAAGATAAATGGCATACAGAATGGGGTGGAGATTTATATATTGTACCTGGTTCCTCCCCTAAATCAAAAGGGCAAATCATTCTTATTAACAAAAACAGCCAAGTGACAGTTATAGATGAAATTTTACTAAATAGTGACAGAATTCAAATGATAAAGGTTAAAATGGATGATAACATAATGTTTGTTGTCAATGTATATGCTCCTAACAAAGATGCTGAGAAATTAGTATTCTTTGAAAATTTAAAAGCAACAATTCATGAAAATATAGGTCACAATGAATATATTATTTCTGGAGACATGAACTGTGTAGTATGTAACAAATTAGATGTTATTTCAGGGCAAAAACATAATGAGGTAGTTGTTGGGAAATTCAATGAAATGATAAATACATGCAAAATAGTTGATACATGGAGGTCACAACATGATAATGAAAAAGAATTCACTTGGTGTAAACAAAACCCGTTTATTGCTCGAAGGCTCGATTATATCTTTTCCACTGAAAAATTAGCTCGAAAGATAGATAATGTTCAATTAGGGCAGTGCTTACAATCTGATCACCGCCCAGTGATAACAGACTTTAAGTTGAATACAACCAAACGCGGTCCCGGAGTGTGGAAACTGAACAATGATATTTTAAATGATCAAGAGTATGTTCGGAAAATTAATGACTGTATTGTAGAAATGAATGAAAAATATCAACATGTTGTCAACCCTCAAATATTGTGGGATTCCATTAAGTGTGAAATAAGAAACATTTCCATTAATTATTCAAAAAGAAAAGCACAATTGAAGAAACAGAATACAAACAATTTGAATACTGAACTTAAAGCTGCATGTAGTAAACTAGCTAGGGTGCCAAATGATGAAAACCAAAAACAAGTTCAATCACTACAGATGAAACTAGATCTTGAAAATGTCTCACAAGCAAAAGGCGCACAACTTAGGTCAAAGATTGATTGGATTCAACAGGGCGAGAAAAATACAAAATATTTTTTAACACTTGAGAAATTTAGAGCTAAAATGAAGACAATTGACTGTATCGAAAAAGACGATGGTACAAAAAGCGATTCAATTGATTGTGTAATGCAAAATTTATATGAATACTATTGTAATTTGTATGCTGAAAATGATGATGTTACTTATTCACTTGATGATTTTATTCATGACATTGAAATCCCACATTTAAATGATGAAGAAAAGTCTTATTGTGAGGGAAAAATTAATGATATTGAATGTAAGGAAGTCCTTAAGAATATGAAAAACACATCAAGTCCAGGTATAGATGGACTCACTGCCGCTTTCTATAAAATGTTCTGGATCAAAATAAAACATCTTGTTGTTAATTCTTTAAATTTTGGTTTTGAAATAGGTCAATTGTCCAGCTCGCAACGAAAAGGAATGATAATACTATTGCTCAAAGGGAAAATGTTAAACTCTGCCAAAGTCAAAAACTATAGACCAATTGCTCTCACTTGTGTTGATTATAAAATTGGGGCAGCAGCACTTGCCAAACGGTTGCAAAAGGTTATTATAAAACTCATAAATTCTGATCAAACAGCATACCTTAAAGGAAGAGGGTCACATTTTAACTTGAAAATTATTGATGATCTAATTAACTATATTGATTTTGAAAATGAAACGGGTATTATAATAGCATTAGACTATGCAAAAGCTTTTGATTCAATTTCTAAGAAATATGTCATGAAAATGTTGAAAGTATATAATTTTGGTGAAGATTTTATAAGATGGATTGATGTTTTTAACAAAAATGCAGTGTCAGCTATTTCAAATAATGGATACCTCAGTAGTTGGGTACCTTTAGAACAAGGTCTGAGACAGGGCTGTCCTCTGAGTGCAATTTTATTTATAATGGCAACAGAAATATTTTCTTGTAAAATAAGGCAAAATAAAGACATTGAAGGTATATGTTTAAAGGATAAACAAAAAACAGAAATAAAATTAACTTCTTATGCAGATGATACCACATTATTTTTAAGGACAAAAGATTCAATTCCAATTTTGTTAAATGAGATAACTGCATTTTATAAAGTATCAGGCCTTAAACTAAACATGGAAAAAACTCAAGCAATGTGGTTGGGGAGAAGTAAAACAAAAACAGAAAAACCATTTCATCTTAACTGGAAAATTGGTAAAGATCAAAAAATTAAAATATTAGGAGCTTATTTTAGCAATTCAGGTTCATCTTCTGACCTCGACGAAAATTGGCAGCCAAAAATTGAAAAAATCAAGTGTCTCATTCAATCATGGAACAAAAGAAATCTATCACTGTTTGGAAAAGTAACAGTCATTAAAAGTTTAATGGCTTCCCAAATCACTCATATGTTAATGGTATTTAAAGCTCCGCAGAAATACTTAGATGAAATTAATCATATATTGCATAGATTCTTATGGCAGACTGTGGAAAAAGTAAAAAGAAATGTAATTAGGCAGGATATTTTAAATGGAGGCTTAAATATGATAGATATCAATTTATATCAAACTTCCCTTATTTTAACCTGGATAAAAAGACTATATGACAATGAAATTGATCAAAAATGGAAAGCAATTATGAATTTTTATTTGAGTTAAATGGGACATTCTCAAAATTTGTTCAAGTACAATTGTGAATATAAAGACTTAAAAGTACACAAAAATATTCCAACATTTTACTCGTTCTTATCCAAATCATGGCTGAACAATAAAACTGTAAATATCTCTAAAAACATTTGTACTAATGATTACTTATGGAATAACAGGAGTATATGTTACCAAAATAAACAATTACATTTTAAATCATGGGAAAATGCTGGAATAAAATTTATCTCAGATGTGATTGATAAAGGTACAGGAAAAATAAAAAATGCAGATGTATTAAAGGAAAAAATTGGGAGAAATCCTAACTTTTTCATTGAATACAATATGCTCTGACAAAGCCTCTTAAGAGTGATTGTAAAACAAGATGATGATAACACTAAAACTACATTCAATGAAATTGATGTAAATAAAGCAAATGCTCAAATGATCAGAAAGTCTTTATTAAAACGTAAATTGGAAACTCCAATCAGTGAAAGAGGCTGGAATGATTCATATAATCAGTTATGTTGGAAAGACATTTGGCTTAATGTTCGAAATATTAAAGAACCAATGTTAAAATCACTTCAATTTAAAATATTGCACAGAATATATCCAACTAAAGTTTTGCTATTCAAAATGAAAATTAAAAATGATGAACTTTGTAATTTCTGTGCCTGTAAGGACACATATGAGCATTTCTTTATAGAATGTAGAAAAATAAAACGAATCTGGGAAATAATAGATAACACATGCTTCCTCAAATTGAAAAGAAAAATAGAATTTAAGCACGATATTATTTTTGGATATAAGGACGAGGACAAAAGGGTTGAAAGGAAAATTAATCTTTTGTTAATGGTTCGAAAACATGTGATTAGCAAATACAAATGTGGTCTATATAGTTATAATGTTGAATGTATGTTGGAACATGAAATGAGACTAAGAAACTTATAATATTGTAAAATTGTTATAATGATCGTATGGTTGATGATCGATATTGATTTACGATATATATATTATGTAATATGAATATGTAATGATGAAATAAAAAAAATACAATTCAAATTCTGGGATGTATCTCGAAAAGCGAAACATATGAGTAAAAAAATAAATTGTGTGGGTTTCTTAGTGTTTCTATGCAAAATAGCACGCTCTGTCACGGCGGACAATTTTTATTTTTCAAATTTTGAGAGCACTTACCACTGACAAGGGTGGGCAGTTGGTTCCCCCGCGTTGACGCTTCTGATTCAAAACTTCATCTCTTTTCAGCTTTCTCAACTGTGAGGCCTGCAATATGTAAACAAAATAACTGAAGCTGTTCATCCATCTTACTAAAGGCAGTGAAAATGATGAAAATATTATATTCATACAGGTCCAAGAAGTGTTTCTACAAATCAGGTGTATGACATGCTGAAAAGACACAAAAGTCATTTTTGACTGTCGAATCTTGTCACAAATATAATTGAATGAATCACTTGTACATTGTATATTATGTCTTGCTTTTATAAATTATGTTGATACTTTAAAAACAAGCAATAATACGGCTTTCTCCTCGCCAAACATTTTGTTATACAATGCTTTTCAGTCAAAAACAATCTCCATTCACATGGTGCTCAAGTCTTAACAATGGAAATTGTTCCGGACATGTTTTTTCAAACGATTTAGACCTGTTTTGTAAGAACATGGAATAGAACATTCGTTAGAATGGAGCAAAAAGGTAAGAATATTCTATATTTTACCAATTATAAATCTAAATAGATTTTAGAATTGCGAATTCCTGCAAAGCAGCCATTTTGAATTTTCTGAGGTACAAATCTGAAGAATAATACCATAATTGTGATCTACTCCAAAATTCCTTCAATTTGAGTATAATATAGCCATACTTTGAAGGAATCGAAAAATTATTGCGAAATCGTACATTAGACGGCCATTTTGAATTTTACGAGGTTCGAATCAGAAAAAAGATACAATATTTGCAATCTACTTTTAATTGCCTTTCATTTGAGTATAATAAAGCTATACTTCAGAAAGATCTAAAAATTAGCGAAAATTACTGTTTTCCTGAACATACACGGCCCCTGGGGGTCAGGATGAAAAACACGGAATATATGTGAAATAGATAGATGTTGCAAATATACTACCAAAATTTCAAACAATAATATTAATTACTTTGGTTTAGAATGAAAAATTTATGATTTTTGCGAAAAAGTCCCGTCATTTTTAAAGCGGCGGCCATCTTTTTGCGTACAACTATTCACCAATATACATCTTTCCACTAAATATGAAGAAAATCCGTCAACTCGTATTTGAGTTATCTTCCGGACGGACGGACGGACTGACTGACTGACTGACGGACGGAGGGCTTCACTATATCCCTACCGAACTTCGTTCGTTGGGATAATTAACAGATATGTAATTACTTACTTGATTCCTCCTGTTCAGCTTGCTTGTGAGTTTCTTTGTCTTTTTTGTCAGAGATATAACATTAGTTCGACCTGGAAGGTTATGCAATACATATATTAATGTTTCTTGCACCAACTATTACTATGTATGTAATTTATATTTGAGACTGAAATAAATGTAATGGTTTAAACAAATCCATGTGTTTCACAATCTAACAATCAAAGTTAAAGCAGACATTTTCGAATAGAATTAAGACCGACAGCCAACCTCCGACCATGTGAACCCGACTATAGAGCCGCAGCCGTTCTTTTTTGTAAATGCTATCTGCAGAGATGTAGCAGTGGAAGAAAAGGGGCAACCTAAAAAATGCCTATTTCTCGATGGAAAAAAATAAGTCACATTTGGAATATTTTCTAGGAAGAATCTCACTGTTACTGTAGAGTACTTAGGGGTATTCTTGGACACGGGACATTTTTTATTTGATTTCTTTACTGAAACTTCAAATCAGAAACATCGTTTTATCGATATGGTAAAATCCTGTAGTGCTATTTATTGTAGAGTTTAAATAATGGCACAAAATTTTTCAAATCAACCCCACATTTATCATGGGGATAGTCCAGAATTATCCCGTGCCAGGACTATAGTCCTGAGAACATCTCAATCTTTTGCCTGTATTATTACAACATGGGAGAATTTTCTATGCCTCTTACACTTAAGATACATACTTCAATAGATTCCTGGGTATTTTAGCATTCTTTTTGTGTACAGGGTGTTAAAAAAATGCAATGCAAGAAATCGCTATATCTTGAAAAATACTAGTTCAATTATGTTCATTTTTTAGGAAAAAAAGAAGAGACTATGTATGTATAGCTCCTGTAGATGGTTAGTTGTAAAACATGATGCATTGGATACCTGCTCAAAAGACAGTTGTACTAGGAAAATAGGAAAAACAGTTAAACACAGTCAGGGTGACTGCAACCCCAAAAAAATAAATAACTTCCTAACCATAGTGTTTTGGCTCTTCAAATTTGGCACAAATCATCTTCATTCACAATATGGTAAATCTGTAGAGTGAAATCAAAATCACTTCAGGGAATTTACGGTCATGGTCGAAATGCTTTCAAATCGCAGTCAAACGCCCTGGTTCAGGCAGACTTAAAAAGGCATTTTGACAGGACTGTAAAGTCCTTGGAGTGATTTTGGTGAAAATCAACAAATTCACCACACACTGAATGAGGATAATTTGTGCTAAATCTAGAGTGCCAAAACCTGCCCTGTCAACCCTCACGCATTAGGCATGATTTGCTGGAAAAATAGAAATCACGCATCAATTTAGCGTGTATGATCAAATATCACGCAAATCACGCATTTTGTTGATATTTTTAAAAATCTTTTTTTTGGGAAATGCCGGTAAAATACCGAACGGCGAAAAAAAGTGAACGCATTCCCTTTGGTCTTTGCACGCGATTGCCGTTTATGTCACGCATTTTGTACATATGTACAAAGAGACTGTGTATGTATAGCTCCTCTTGTTAGTAATTGTAAAACATGATGCCTTGGACACCTGCTCAAAAGACAGTTGAACCAGGAAAATACGAAAAAGTGTAAAATAGGTGTAAATTTTTTCGTAACAAATGCTGAATGTCTGATATATACAAAATGCATATATACGTGTATCGGCAATACGGGAACATTTTTCTTTTTCATCGAGAGAGAAAATTCTCCCATGTTGTAATCGTACAGGCAAAAGATTGAGACGATCTCAGGACTATAGTCCTGGCACGGGATAAGTCCAGGAATGCCCCGTGGCCAAGAATGCTACACGGTCGGATTTATATGACTACACAGCCGAGCCAAATTTATTTGATCTAATAAACTGAAACTGAAGTACATGTAGTACATGAAGTACATGTACATGCAATTTACTGAAGACACGAGGCTGAAAGCTAGACAGAAAGAGAGGGGTGTTCAATAAATGTAGCTGAGGTCCGATACTGAGTCAACTGACGAGGTAAACAAACCCACGTGCTTCACTAAAACAACAATCTAGAGCTCAAATCATGAAGGTTTGAGTTTAAAACCGCTATATCAATTTCTACCTTTTGTCTCTTTCTCCAGAGCTCCCTTGCTTCTATGTTTACCATGTTTATGTGCCTTATTTTGCTGTTTGAAAGCCCCAGGCCGATGCCTGTGTTCGGAGTCTGCAGCCATATTTACGATACGACAATTAAACGAACGACAATAATTATTTGAATTAACAGATTGCGTACTAGACTCGATTCCTCTTCAAAGTATGATTTTCCACAATATTTTGGTAATATTTGAAAAATTTTGAGAGTATTTACATTGAATTATGTATACCAAAGCTCTGTAAATATTTTCAAAACACTTTTGTTTGAAACTTTCTGAATAAATCACGAACATCACACTCTGAAAACACGGTCGACATTTGTATGTAAGAAAAATCTACCTTTAAAAAAATTTAAAATGTCGTTCTTCATCAAATCCCAAGGAAAAGCTGCGTCTAAAAAGAAGGTGAGGTGAAATTGATGTTAGTTTATAAGCTCACGGTGTATGTTTTCTGAATCATGTTTGAAATAGCTCCGTTTGAACCTAATAAAAACGTTGAAATATTTTAATTTTTTTAGGTGGGCGATAATAGACAGTGCAAGCACACATGTTGTAACCTTTTGATAAAATTTCACCTTATTTGGTTTCATATATTTGTAACTTTTTCAGGGAAAGTAAGTCAGCCCCTTCTTTATATGAAGAAGGAGGTATAACTTCTTGTGAACCAGGCCACCAATTCCATCAAACTTCGACGCATGGGGTTAAGGTTCAGCTGGAAAGTAACATTTTGGTAAAAAATTGCTATACCTGCACATGTTATTTTCTGGTACAAAATTAAGTATGAAGGCATGTGTGTATTTCCTTGCTTTTTTCAGGAAAGTATCATTACACTGTCTACTTTTAGTAAACCTGGAAACAGGTCAATGTTAGCTCCTGTGTTGTCTGGAAACTTTGAAAGAAAATTTGGAAAAATAGAAAGTGTGAAATATCAGAATTTCCTGGAGTTCCCATTGAACTCCTACTAGATATTCTTAAAGAAGACAATGTAATGATACTTTCCTGAAAAAAGCAAGGCAATTGACACATGTCTTCATATTTTATTTTGTACCAGAAAATAACATGTGCTGGTATAGGAATTTTTTACCAAAATGTTACTTTCCAGCTGTACCTTAAGGACAGGGTGCATGTTGGGAAATTTTCTGCATTCCTCAATTGAGTCACATGTTATTTTTCAAACATGAATAACTCCTTCCCCACATTGTCTACATCTTCCAAGTTTGCACAAAGAGTGCACTTCTGTGCCTAGAAAAGCCTTGTGAGAAGGTTTGATTTGTAAAATGTATAAAAAATGAGAAAATTCAGTGAAAAAAATTTCTGAAAATTTTCTGATTTTTTTCACTGAATTTTCTTGTTTTTTATACACTTTATCAAAACATTCTTCTCACAAGTCTTTTCTAGGCACATAAGTGCACTCATTGTGCAAAACTGGAAGATATAGACAATGAAGGGAAGGAGTGATTCTTGTTTGAAAAATAACATGTGACTCAATTGAGGAATGCAGAAAATTTCCCATCATGCACCCTGGCCTTAATTTCTCATGAGGCTATTTCGGCCATGATGCTATTTCAACATTGGCTTATAAGTTTACCTGATATAATCCGGCATGTTTGATTTTTGAAAATTTTAAATAATGGTCAAGATCTAATCCAAGATGGCTAAACCGCCAAACCTGGAAATTTGAATCAAAGGCTGTGGCCCAAATAACCCCACGGTTGAAGTACATGTAGACGCAGGACGAAGTACTGTAACTGTACGTTGAAAACCGATGGAAGGAAAAAAATTACTTCTGAGTTCCATGATTATTTTTGTACATGTAGGTCAGTGTTTGATTGTCCTGCTGCCTCCGATGTTCAAAGCACAAAAATGTTTAGCATGGGCTGTACAATAATTTCTCACTTCAATTCAAAAGTTTGCATTATTCTCCATGTGATACATGTATTCATTATGTAATATTGGCAATTTTGAATTTCAAGGATGATTTTTCTTACAGTGGGTCTTGAAAGCATCAACTACAGTATATTCCAAGAATCATTTAGTTGATGTACATGAAACCGGCAACTGGAAAATACTGTCTTTAAGGTTCAGCTGGAAAGTAACATTTTGGTAAAAAATTGCTATACCTGCACATGTTATTTTCTGGTACAAAATTAAGTATGAAGGCATGAGTGTATTTCCCTGCTTTTTTCAGGAACATATCATTACACTGTCTACTTTTAGTAAACCTGGAAATGGGTCAATGGTAGCTCCTGTGTTGTCTGGAAAATTTGAAAGAAAATTTGGAAAAATAGAAAGTGTGAAATATCAGAATTTCCTGGAGTTACCATTGAAGTTGTACTAGATATTCTTAAAGAAGACAATGTAATGATACTTTACTGAAAAAAGCAAGACAATTGACACATGTCTTCATACTTTATTTTGTACCAGAAAATAACATGTGCTGGTATAGCAATTTTTTACCAAAATGTTACTTTCCAGCTGTACCTTAACAACAATATAGTCATTGGAAGGAAGGTGCATCCGCCGCTATCATTCGCTTATTGGTATGTCATTAATTTGCAGGTACTGAAGAATCGAAAAGCTGACAATTCAAGGGAAAAGGTACAAGCCACCAAAAAGAAGAGAAAGTTACCAAAGGATGAAGAAATTCCAAGTGATTCTGACTTTGAAAGGTACATATAATATATTCATTAGTAATAGACAATAAATAATATATGCTTTTAGTATTCTGCTATTCTTTCTATATTTCAATGGTAGCTCGCTTAGTAGAGCATCAGACTTTAGATCTGGGGTTCAATTTTCAAATGGGGCATTGGATTAAACACAGTTTCTTTCACATCTGTATCTGCCTTGTTACAGTTATATTCAGTATTTTTTGATCATTTCCTCAGGTTGTTATATTATGAAACTTTCGCAAATACTCCCTAAAAGTTTACTACTTGAGGTTATTAATATGTTTTTATGAAATAAATATAAATGTATAAATAAGTATAAATGGTATTTGCTCCATAGTCCATATGTATCGGCTGTCCACATTCAGCAGTTGGCGCCCTTATAAAAAAAAAAACCATTTTTTCCGAAATTCAATGGTTTCATTGCATATCATGTAACCATCATTTCAACCTTGAAGATCAAAGGAAAAATCATTATATCAACCATTCAAAACCATTGCGCAACCATTACTTCACCCAATCTTTTTTTTTGCACTTTTGACAAATTTACAAGGGGATTCATATTTTATAACTATGGCCAAAAATTGGCCAAAATCACTTGAAAAGTCCTCAATATGGTGAAAAACTGCATGAATTTGAAATAATTTTTAGCTATGGCTATGTTGATATTATTAGTATGTTTTTTTTAAGTAAGCATGTCTGTAGTCTGCAGTCTATCACACTCTTCTCTCATTAAAGAATTTTTTTTGGACTTTGTGTGTCTCGGATCTTGTTCTCAATGACAAGTCTGACGTCACTTCCAGAACAACAAAAAACATACACTTATTTGTATATATCATTTAATCTAATCCCTAGGGTTTTAAACACTTATTTCTATGACTATTGCAATCACTTATCAGGTATCGTTTTTAAGGAGAATGAAAAATGCAGAAATCTTGTAAGAAAATAAGATTCTTTTTTGTTTCAATTCAATAAGAAAATTGTAGAAATACAAATTAAGATTTCACATTATTGAATTCAGATAAGGTACAAAGACAGAGCAGCAACAGTTGCACAGACAGAGCGGCAACGGTTGAAATGCTAATTATAACCATTGAAAAGCTAATTATAACCATTGAAATGCTAATTATAACCATTGAACAGCCAATTAGATAAAGTTCTGTTTTGATAGTTTAACAAAATCATTACAAATTAATTCTTTTTTTAAGAATTATTTTTGTCTGAATAATTTATTTTTGAATTCCCCCTACCATAATAATGACACAATCATAGTAAATTAGATGAGATTCACATTAAGATTTTTGAAGCCAGCTATGGTCTTGATGAATTCTCTTTTTTCTAGCGATAGTTAACTTAAGGTCTTAATACAATTTTGAGACATATCCAACTTCAAGTTCATGCTCATAGGCATAAAACCATGTCTAGTAAAAGGAAATATCATCTATTCAAGTGTTTAAGATATTTCCCTTTCAGTCATTATGATTAAAGTTTAATCCAATAGTAATTAATATTTTTTGATTTGTAAATGATATTGAAGAAAAGACAATCAATCCGGCTCTTGCCTAATCCAAAGCATAAATACAAGGATGTTGATGTTTCAAAATCATGTTTTGGAAACATTTTCAGTTTAATCTACTTAATTGTTGTAATAAGACTTCTTTGATATTGAAGAAGCAGTTATTTTGGCACTAGCTTAATCCAAATCATAAATAAGAGGCAGGAAATACAATCTTTGATGTTTTATAATATGTATGTATGTACTTTTAGTCAGAAACATTTTTTTGTTGAGACAGGAGAAAAACAGAAAATTTCCACAGAATGTTTTGTTGTATTGTTCAGTAAAACTGAATGAATCAAGAAGGAATTTCCAAATAAACTACAAGAATGACCAGTGCCAAAAATGAATACACTTGATTCTCTTCAATAAAATAGAAATACTATCTCTATGAACATGAACTTGAAGTAATATTCAGTACCAAAAATGAATAAACCTTATTCTTTATAGAAATAATATGCCTATGAGAATGAACTTGAAGTCATATCCAGTGCCAAAAATGAATAAACCTTATTCCCTTCAATTAATTAGAAATAATATGCCCATAAACATGAACTACTGTAATTTGAAACATAATAATGCATTCAATTTACTTGTATGTTCTTCATGTTTCAAATTGTCTCATTCTTAAACTAAATAATTTCCACAATATGGTTGAAAATAGTTGCAACCATTTGGTTAAATGCAACTTAAACAATCAATGGTTTGTAATGGTTGCAAATGATTCCATAATTTCAATGATATGCAACCAAATTTTTCAACCAAATTTTAATGGTTGCAATGTAATGGTTGGAAACCATTTCAATTGGTTGCAGCAATGGTTATGCAATGATTTGTAATGGTTGCGCAATGGATTTTAACGGTTGAAATTCGGAAAAAATGGTTGTTTTTTTCCTAAGGGCGGTCAGCATTAATTAATGATATATTAATCATTTATGCTTACAGCGGGGATGAGGGTGTACCTTCTGTACACTCAGAATCTGAGGAAGAGACTACACAAGAAAAGAGACTACGACTCACAAAACAATACCTTGCTGATTTAGAGAAAGAGGGTAAGTATTTAATATGTAAGCAGAGAGGCTCGTCTTCTGGGCACTGGCCTATGAGCTGCTAACTCCCTTGATCTCAACCCTCAAAATTATGAATATCTGAAATGCATATGTCTGGTGTCTATACCCCAGCACAATTAAAGAACTCAAAGTTGAAATAACCTGGAAATAGACTCATTTATAAATAGATGCAGAGTAATTTATACTTACATCAACAGGTAAAGTTGTATTTCATGAATGTTTAGGAACAGATGATAGCCATTATGATAATACATGTAGTGTATGGAGGTATATGTCTTTGAATAACTAATTGCCTTAAATGTACATTAATTTGATTAACCTAAGGATTTTCACATACAGGTATCTGTCTATGTCACTTTCATCCCCTTAATCTGTCCAGGTACTTGATCATTAAAAGCATGTTTGAAAATGTAATCTTCAACAAATTGTTTTATTTTAGAGAGAGAGAAACAGGACGATGATGATGTAGATAGAGAGGTCATCTCACATATTCTCCAGCAGGATCATGTAAGCTTTTTAATATAGTTTTACAACCAATACTTGTAAGGTGTCTATAAACTTTGGTAAAGGAGCAGGTAAGATATGGCAAGCCATTTTCAAAGGGCTATATCTTTAATTCTAAGAATACTTTAACCACAAAAACAAATGGTTCTGTTAGATCCATGTCTTGTTATCAATAAATGACAGTAGGATAATAATCAAGTTGAATGGATTATCTCTTAAGCTGTTCCTAATCCAACCATCTTCACCAATTTTCCCTAATTCGGATGCAATTTTCACCAAAAATGCAGCATTTTATTTCAGTTTTTATGGCAATATTACAATTTATTGTAAGGAATGATCTACCTCTAAAAAGGAAAACTTGATTACTTTGGGATTAGGATAATCCAAAAACAATAACTTTTTTAGGCCGAATTTTTTACCTAAAAGTAGCAATTTTTTAATGAGATTAATGCATGAAAACATTGAGCTATGTCACATGATTGATTTCCAAAAAGAAAAAAATGATCTAAATGAGATAAGCATTATCTGATAATCCATTTGTCATTTTTACCTCATAGGCCATGACCTTAGTGTGAAGTGTATGAAAAGATGTCACTTAGAGCGACATTTAGATGTACCCTATTTTATGCAATCATGTTTATAGATAGAGTTATAAATGTTCCATAGATGGCATGATATATTCTACATGGGTGAGTGCTAGATACTCTGTGTATTCATTGTTGCATAATTGCATATTATAGAAATGAGCATGGATATGTCAACATGACTGGGTCGTGTAATGTACAGTAAAACATAAATATGTTTAACACCTAGTAAAACACATAAGAGGAAATACTTGTTTATATATTTGAATTGTATAGTGTAAATGAATATTTGAAATATTACACCTTTGCGATGTTTCAACAAACATGATTCAATACCATCTTATTTGAATTAACTCTTCCCATGTGTATCTTTCTTTATCATCAACCATATTGGGGGTTTCGAAAGTGCCTTATGTAAAGGAGTTTGCTGTAAATGATCTTTCGAATAGTGTTATATGTAGTAGGTATTGATACAGGTACCACTGTATACAGAGTGCATGCAAATATTAATTTTCTCCAATGGTTTGGCCAAACATTTGTTGCATTTTTTGTTCATTTCAAATTTTATTGGATTGTTTTTGCTGATTGGAATTTTTATGGAATAAACAGTTTAATGCGTTGGGTTTTACCCTTTGACAATATGGCCTTGTGTAATTATGGCCTTGTGTAATTATGATATTGTCACGTACTCGATCACTCTATATTCTCAGCCAATACTTTGTATGAAAAAACGTATACCTTGTACCCACGTGCCGGCGTACTTGGGGCATGATACATTCTTTGAAGAGTTCAATTCTAACGTTTCAGATTATTCTGATCATATGAATTGTAGGTGCATTAATGCACTTGTAGACCTACGTGTATGTCTTATAGATCCAACATTTTTCTAGTCATAAATAAGGCCAGAATTGCAAAATTGTTTACCTTTGCTATTTCGATAAAAATTGCCTAATTGAAATGCTCTTTCACTATAGAACCAATCTACACTAAAACGTGAATTTACGATTCCTGAGACTAAAATTATCTTTAATCATGCTGTGATTAAATAAAATGATACCCTGACATATTTAAAACTTATTTAGAATGGATTTTTCTCTATTGAAAAGTCCTTTGAATGGCGCTATTTTGACAATCAATGAAAAACAAAAAATTAACAATTCTGGCTTTATTTTATGACTCTGTATCTATCTATCTTTCACTAGACGAAGTTCACATCTATGGATACTATGAATTTATTTATACCTCAGATAGCATTAAAATTGAATAATCTTTTAAAACTTTAAAAATTGAACCCTTCAAAAACTGCATCACCACCCACGTACATGGGTATGAGGTACGAAGCCAATACTTCGTAAAGAAATCATGAAATAACAACATGTAGAACAAGGCATTGCCATTACAAAATGTCATCACCGTGTAGTTCAAGTCAAATCTTGAAAAGAAAATGATTATATGAAGCAAGTTGAAAAATGCCTTTTTGAACTTATTGAACTTGAGAGGTCAGATTTGACTTTTGAGAACTTGTAGGTGATTTTGAAAATTCGGTCAATTCGAAGCAAGTTGAAAAATACCTTTTAGACCCTCTTTACTTTGAGAAGGTCATTGAAGGTCAATTGTAAAATTTAAAGTCAGATTTGAATTTTTGAAAAATTGGTCAATTTCCCATTTTCACCTAAAGAATATGAATGTACAGTAGTAAGAAAGAGGAGTGCATTCTTGTTGTGTTGTTTTTGAAGAATGGACACTGCAGCTATCTAAAACCAGTGTGGCACAACATATGATTGACAGTGTTTGGCTCAATATTTACACCTTGACTGTCACATGCAGTGCACCGAAGCTGTTCTTATTAAACCATTTTCAATCACTCAATAGTTGAATTGTAAACACAAAATAAATACAATTTTCAATGTACCTTGCCTGATACATGCAGTGCATTGAAGCTGAACCAATCAAACCAACCCACTTCTCTACACATTTACCACATAGTTAATACAAAAGAATTTTTCTAAACTTGGATCATGGGTCAATTACCCTTCATAAGAATCAGTGTGGGGTTTAAGTTAGATAAACTATTCGAAATGGGTCATATGAGAACTAATAGCCTCACGCCAAGCCCCTCTGCTATTATTTCTCATAAAACCCAGTACTCATAGTTTATCCGTAACTGAATGAACGATTAGAGGATTCAGTGACCTTCTATAAAATTACAAACTGAACATGTTGTTATACCTTAGATGACTACCTGGTTGTTATTCACTAAAGGGGGTCTCATTATAGGTTGGCACATAAAAATGCCTTTGGGTTCAATGACTGCCACTTGGTTCAGGGTTGTTGCTTTTAGGGGCTGTAATTAGAAATAGAGGTTTTGATTTTAATAAGGGATCCCAAACTTATCTTTAGGCCATAGGTCTATGTAAAAGTAGTAAAGAGTAAACGTATGCCTTCCTTCCTACTACTTTTCCCTAGGCCTATGCTGTAGGTCAATCGACGGAATTATGATTACGCTTAGGGGTGCTGTGATTCTAGAAATCAATAAATGCTGCATCTAATATAACACCATTCTTGAGTCGATTTGACCTAGGATGAAGAAACTACATAGGTGACCACGGGCTTTGAAACCCCATTACAAGTAGTAATAGCGAATTCAACTAACAACTGTCAGATCAACCTACTATTTCATGGCTCATTAAATATAAATAGTACCTGCCACTATTTCATTCATATTAAAATGAATTTGCCATCAAAAGTAGGTTAAATCATCGCCTTTTACCCAACATATGACATCATAAATACTATCAAAGTGCAGTCTAATACCGAGTGAGCAAAAAATGTAGCCCGAACTAATTCCGCATCTGTTAAAATGTTATTTTGCATAATAAAACCTTGTTTAATGTTCTTTCATTTTACTAAGTTTAATTGGCCCTGCCCCAATAGTCGGGATTTTATGGCTATAAAACGAAACATGGTCCAAAATGCCAGCCTCATCTCATGACTACGGGCTATCTCTGAGATAATGTCAACTCCTACAACAAGTAGGAGAACAATTTCTGTGACCATGAACTTACAACCTCAACCGACCAGTGCAGGTCTGCCTGAAGGGACGAGGCTGAAATTTGTAGAATGGCCATAGAATTGTGACCTTGAGGAATGGAATGAAACATGGTAAAATGCAAAAAAGATTTTACATGGTAAAATTAACTAAATATGATTTCAACTCATACTGGATGAATGAGTTCATAACATTTCTTTGGATGACATTTTTGCCTCACCCTGTAATTCATTTTATTTTCACACTTATTCATTTCAGCCTGCCCTAATATAACAAAGAATCTAGGTTGAATAGCCAAAACCAGGTACATGTAATTACAAAGAACTAATCAGTATATAAATAGCTATACGTGAATGACACAACTGTTTTATACACAAACAATACAAGGTTAAATACAGGATTATAATCCATAACACTGAGTAAGTCACTATCTGAGTGTTGCAACAAACAAATTATTTATGGCACTTAGCTGCCCTCTATTTTGTAATTGTATAATATTAGTATGAAGCACTTTAAAATATCAGAAAAAAATACGAAAAAATCACGAAAAAAATATCAAAAAGTAGGTTTACAATTAACTTTTCCCCTTTACAGTTTAAATCATGTCTTAAAGTTCAATACAACTTTGCACTAAAAATTATTAAAAAGGCCTGCACTTTTGGTGAAAATTGCATCTGAATTAGGGAAAATTGGTGAGGATGGGTGGATTAGGGACAGCTTAAGAGATAATTCAATCAACTTGATTATCATCCTTATGTCATTTATTGAAGATAAGACATGGATCTAACAGAACCATTTGATTTTGTGGTTAACTTATTCTTCGAACTAAAGATATAGCCCTTTGAAAATGGCTTGCCATACCTTACATGCTCTTTTCTGTTTATTTGGTCTGTTATCCCAAGAATCTAGAGAAAGAGTACAGCCATTCACTTGGCTGTTAAAGATAATATGCCATTACATATGGTAGGTATGACGTAACATTTTCTCTTCCTTTAACCCCATTCAGTCAGTTTGACAGCTGGTTTGCTAACAAACTCTATTAGGCAAGCCCGGAGATCGTAGAAAATGAACAGAGGTGAAGAGCAGAAGATTTCTGCTACAAAATTCAACGAATCAGCAGGATTTTTATTTTTTCACAACATATTATCATTAATTAATGCTCAATACAATGAATATTACGAAAATCAAATTTTGCAGATTGTTGAATTTTCTTGCATAAATTGGCTACCCCCCCAGGCCCTCCACTCATTTTTTGCAATCAATGGGTGTGTTAGTAGCCAAGTGCTACTTTCTGATTAAAATCATAATAAACTATATTTCAGCTGGAACAGACTGGCAAACTATGGAAACAAATAGCAGACACATATATCGCCCCCTCCCCCGATGATGTCATCGTTCTACGTGGGCACCAGTTAGCTGTTACATGTGTAGTGATATCAACTGACTGTAAACACATATTTTCAGCATCAAAAGACTGTTCTATTATAAAATGTAAGCAATGAAAAATTTCAAAAATCTGCTGCTCAAAGAAGAAAGTAGCGGAAAACATAAATACTTGTATAATGTCAAAAAAAGTAAATGAATAATACCTGGTAAACTGTTGGATGCCTCTTCCATGCTTCATTGCACATAATTTTATTTTTTGATTACATTGATTAGCTTGAAATTCATTGTGTATTGAAACATTATACAATTAAAAAATGTACTAATGAATTATTTTATACCAAATTTCTATTTGTTTTAGGGGATGTAAAGACTCATAAAAAATTAAAAGTGATCCATGGAGGAAGGAAAGGCACTGAGACTAAACACAAGGGACACACTGCACATATATTGGCTTTAGCACTGTCATCAGATGGAAAGTTCCTGGTAAGTTGAACATTTGTGAACTAAAATAAAATTAAGGATGCATACTTATATAACATTATCTAATCCTCTGTCAGTTTAAAGTGTCATATCTACACCAATCAAAATTAGGAATAAAAAACCTATTTTACACAAGTTGTATCTATATTTACAGGCCTCGGGAGATGCAAATAGGCTAATTCATATCTGGAATCCTGAAACATGTGAGCTGATACACACTTTTACAGGACACAGGGGGCCAGTCACTGTAAGTAAACGTTCGTTATCACCCCCCCCCCCCCCCCTTATCTGTAGACAATCGTCAGGGCCTTCATTATATTGCTTGTAATCTTATGTCTAATATCATTCACAATATCATCTTCACATTTATTGACATGCAAACCAAGCAAATTAAAATATACAATTGGATTATTATTTTGTATCTCAGGGCCTAGCATTCAGGAAAGGAACACATCAACTCTTTAGTTGCTCTCAGGATAGATCAGTAAAGATTTGGAGTGTTGCTGAGATGGCTTATGTAGAAACACTGTGAGTATGACACCCATCATAACCAACACAATGGATGAGTCATAAAAGGAATGCACCCATATGCCTCAATGTTTCCCCAAAAGTTCGGCTATAAACTTTACTTAAACCATTGATAACACAGGGGTTGGTGGCCTGGTGGGAGGGAGAAAATGGATCCAAACCGTGTGTTCACATTCAGTTGTGTTCAGATGAGAAAGGGGTTCAGATATCTTGATATAAAGATTTGGTTTTATGCAAAATTTTACTTGAATGTAAAAAAAGCTACATATTGTATTGTACCAAAGAATATAAATTATTGAATCGTGTCTTATACTAGTACTTTAATGTATTAACCTTTAGCGTGCTGCCGGCGGACTCGTCCGCCGAGACTAAAATGTCTCTCACAACTGCCGGCGGACCCGTACGCCCGATTTCAAACTTTTAAAAACTTTACTTTTTCGCGCCATTCGTATTGTCCAATTAGATTGCCCGATTTATTCAGTGCCTAACATGACTTCCTGTTGACCTAGAAATGGCGATATTTCGAAAAATAATTCTCAATTCAACAATTTAAACAGTGTTTTAGTCATTTTTAGTGAACGAATCGTACAAAATGGTGGACAAATACGATCACAACGAAAATGTGGAGGAAATGGATTACGATTTCGAGCTCTTTAGGCTCTTGGAAGCCGATAACGGTCATCGAAAATAGAAACTAGAATATTTTCTGAATTGAAAAATTGAACATTCGATCGCTGCAAATTCAGATTTGGATTCTGACCAGACGAAGAGGCGGAGCGGCGGATTCCGGAGGTGTATTCATGGTATATTTATGCCCAGTCGTGTTAATGTACGAAAAAATTCATGAGAACATTTTTTTCATGAGCCAGGCCACTGTATCTTCCCTTTGTGAAAATTTTATCCAGATTCATTCAGTAGTTATTGAGATATTAATTATTTAGTCCAGGTATATCATTTTTTGCACTCTTTGAAAAATAAGCCAGTTGCGTGGGATATATTTGCTGAAATAAGGCAGCATGGTAAAGGTATGCATGAATGATAAAAACATACAGTAATTTCAAACTGTATTGTTTCTGAATTGCAGACTTGGCCACCAAGACCAAATAACATGCATTGACAGTTTATCACGTGATAGAGCAGTAACATCAGGTGGCCGAGATGGCTCAGTCAGAATATGGAAGGTTGTAGAGGAGTCACAGTTGGTCTTCCATGGTCACAAGTAAGTTATAATCTTGATCCTAGTATAGGGTGAATCGTATTAAACCATTTTATACCCAATATTTTAAAAGGAGTAGTCATTGTAAGGCTCATTTTACATAATTAGTATTTCAGAAAGTCTAGAAATTTTTATTAACCAAGTAATTGATAGTTTGTATGGATTATTTATATGCAAGCATTATGCATCATTTTTTGACAATTAGTTTGGACATTTTTAAGGAATACTACTTGGCAAAATGTTCAACCAGATTTGCTTTGCCTTGGCATTGCTGTATCTGTATTACATTTGACCTAGTGCAGTCAGAATGTGGGTTTCGGCGTGCGTTCAGAGGGATTTTATGAGACATAATTTTTCATGTTACTACTATGATTATACATATTTTTATGGATTATTAGATCTTAGTTTTTCAGCTTTTAGATTTTGTGGCCATTTAACCCCCCATGGGCTAAAATTTGGACCCCTACTATAAAATTGGGCAAGAACTCAAAAAATACTCAGTGGAATGTTTCCAAATTACTAAGTTATATTGGTATAGGCTAATTGAATATATGATAAAAATTTCATGTCACATGCTTAAGTGGTTGCCATGAAAATGGATAAAACATGCCCTTCGGGTGTCAATTTTCAGGCCAATTTTTCAGGACTGACAGAGTCATTTCATGCATATTTTGTCCCCAATGTGTTGGGAAGGGTTAAAATTAGGGGTGAGACGACAACCCGATGAGTCGAGGACTCGCGGGTTTGGGGCTTCGAGTCGAGTCGAATCGAGTCGAAGTTGATGAATCGAATCATTTTCGAGTTGAGAAAAAAATTCGAAAAAATAAAAAAATTCAGAAAAAATACTGTCAATATGCATGTTTTTACTCGATATTGCGTTGAATATATAAGTTTCAATGACTTGGATATGCTTGTATTAAATTATTATATTGTATGTACACATAAATGAAAGAATATATGTAATAAAATCAGAATAAACTTACGACGAATTGTGTTTGTTTATATTTCCGGCTTTCCACCATTGACGCATTAAAAATACGAACGGTCAAAAGCGATGTTGTTCGCACTTCGCGCGACTCGAAACGGATTCGAAACTCGAATCGTCATTTTCTGACTCGAATCGGATTCGACTCGAACCAGATTTTTTCGACTCGTCTCACCCCTAGTTAAAATGTAAATAAAAAACTCCTATAATATATTAGCTACAATTGTATGTAAAGATCAGTCCACAAAACCTCAGATTTTGGCCTTTTATTGGTCCATGACTTATACAGGGGTCTATTTCATAGATTCGAGCTCCCACATTGGATGGATGCTATAACTTTTGAAATAAGGGTGATACAGGTCTCATTTTTTCAGATCTTCATAAATGGTTGGTTTTAAGTATTTTAATATAAGTTTGGAGCTGGTATATGATTGGTTGCCATGGTAACCAGGGTTTTAAGGAAATCCTGACCCCGACATTGAATGGATGTTATAACTTTTGAAATAAGGGAGATTCATGTCTCATTTTTTTCACATTTTTGACAATGATGGATTTAAAGTATTGATTTAGACTTTGGGAGCTGAAATTTGATTGGTTACCATGGAAACCAGGGTTTTGTTGAAATTCAGACCTCCACAATTGATGAACACTATAACTCTTAAATACAGCCAGATAAGATATAATATTTTCGGATGTAAGATAATAATAATATGTGTGTATTGTATTAGACTTTGGAAGCTAGGATTTATTTGTCTGCCATGGTAACCATGTTTCATTGTCATGGTTACTGCTGTTTTCGTTTTCAGATTCACCTTTATTCTAAAATACCAAGTTGCTCAAAGTTACCATTTTATTCTTAATTTTGGGATTTTTTTCTATTTTATATGATATACATGCTCATGACTCAATAATACTAGAGATGCAAACATTGTTTGGCTCATAAAATATCAAATACTAGTAAACAATACATGTATGTCTGACAATATTGCCTTATTCCATAGGACTAGTTCTTACAAAAGCTCTGACTCCTAATTTGTTCATTTGTACTCATCATTACTGTTTTCATTTAGCACAATTTCCTCTTATCATCAATTTCTGTTGGAATGAAGGATGTTTTGACCATTCTGGAGATAAGGATCCTTAGGGGATATAGTCCACTCATGCAGTATTGGACTTGGTAGAATGGGTTAAGACTGGTCCCTGTGGGTTCACTCAAAATGTGGTTGGGATCCTTGGCTGAACCCTCAAATATCAATATGTTCCCATCCAATCTGTCAAATTTGAATGTGTTCCGATATCAACCAAAAATAATGCCCAAAAGCCATACCAATTGCCCAAATATAGGACCAGTGCCATACCAAATATCCAGATATGAAAACATGGCCATTCAAAATTTCTAATGCCTCGAGAAGAAGGCAGATCATTGAGGAAAACAACCAAAAACAACCTCACATTAAGAATATACTAGATCAATGCCATACATGTAAAACAAGTGTGGGGCAACATATTTTTCACAACCATTCCCAAATCCGACCATTGCCATACCTCTCAAGTCATAATTTGGAGAGCATTCTCATACCAGATCTAAAATTTGGGTCCATTGCCATATCAAATGTCAAAAGTACCCCACCTGAGCTGAGGAAGGTTTATATACAGTGAACTCGATGGGAGACGAGGGGGGGTAATGTTTCCACTTCCAAATATAAGTTTTATCATCCATCCTCTTCAAATGTTATAATGAGCAATCATTACAAGGTGGAAGAGTTCATCATTTAATTCATTGCATTATATTAGTTGCAATGAAAGCAGTGAAGGACCAGTCTTGAAAGATGGGAAGAGTTGAAATGTCAAAACCTCCATAAGTGAGGGCAGCACTGTTCTGCTTTGGAGAATATCTTATGTGAAACAGCTCATATCGTTATCTATTGATGTAAGTTACAAACATATTTTTGTAATTCTGCTGTACTTTTACTGGTGAACAATTCAACTTTGGATTTTTTTGTGTCAGAAATTTCTATATTGATTCCTATTATGAAGAAAACAACCTTAAGAACCTCAAATGTGAACTATGTCCCATTAGATGTCAGAAGCTCAACCCAACCCCTGTAGCTGCAAACCTAGGACTAAGTCCTGTGTGAAGCCATATTAGCCTTCAATGCGTTTACTGGATCAGAACAAAGGAAAAGTAAATCAACTGAAACGGAATCTTTAACACAAGAATGGTCAAAAGAATCCTTCTTTCCAATAGAAATTGTTGATATTTTTAATTAAGAGGTAATTGTGGAAGATCAAAACGATAATGATGAGTAAAAACAAGTTGGGAGTCAGAATATGTGTGAGAACTAGTAGAATGGAATGAGGCTATACTGTCAGACATACAGGATAAATTGCTGAATTTAAGAGCAAAATGATAATTTTGAGCGTTTTGGTATAACATGTTGTGAATTGACCATTCTCAAATGAAGGTAAAAATGAAATAAAAAATTAAGGGTACCATGACGACGAAACATGGTTACCATGGCAATCAAGTAAATGCTAAGCTACAAAGTCTAATTCAATACACAAACCTAATTAATTTTTAAGACCTGAAATGATGATATCTGTATCTGCTTAAATTCTAAAGTTTAGCATTTATCAATTGAGGAGGTCCAAATTTCAATAAAAACTAGTTACCATGGTAACCAATCAAATTTCAGCTCCCAAAGTCTAATTTAGTATTAATAATCAATCATTGTCTAAGATCTGAAATAATGAGACATGTATCTCCCTTATTTCAAAAGTTATAGCATCCATCCAATGTTGGGGCCAGAATTTCCCTAAAACCCTGGTTACCATGGCAACCAATCACATGTCAGCTCCCAAAGTACATTAAAATACTTAAAACTAACCATTCATGAAGATCTGAAAAAATGAGACCTGTATCTCCATTATTTCAAAAGTTATAGCATCCATCCAATGTGGGAGCTCGAGTCTATGAAATAGACCCCTGTATAAGTCATGGACCAATACAAGGCCAAAATCTGAGGTTTTGTGGACTGATCTTTACATACAATTGTTGCTAATATATTATAGAAGTTTTCTATTTACATTTTAACCCTTCCTAACACATTGGGGACAAAATATGCATGAAATGACTCTGTCAGTCCTGAAAAATTGGCCTGAAAATTGACACCCGAAGGGCATGTTTTATCCATTTCCATGGCAACCACTTAACCATGTGACATGAAATTTTTATCATATATTCAATTAGCCTATACCAATATAACAATATAATTTGGAAACATTCCACTGAGTATTTTTTGAGTTCTTGCCCAATTTTATAGTAGGGGTCCAAATTTTAGCCCATGGGGGGTTAAATGGCCACAAAATCTAAAAGCTGAAAAACTAAGATCTAAAAATCCATAAAAATATGTATAATCATAGTAGTAACATGAAAAATTATGTCTCATAAAATCCCTCTGAACGCACGCCGAAACCCACATTCTGACTGCACTAACCTATTTTTATTTCCTCATGCATAATAACTGTGTCAGTGCTGTAGTTGAAATTAAAGTATATATGTGAAGAACAAGATAGCAAATAGGTACATGCGTTTCAACTCTCTTTAACTTTTTGCACTACATGTATTTTCCATTTTTTCCATTTGGTACTTGTATTTTCCATTTATTTTATTTCAGAGGCTGTATAGACTGTGTGTCTCTCATCAATGAGGAACATTTTGTCACAGGAGCTGAGGACAAGTATGTCTTTCTATATTTATTCACTGGTTATTCCTTTTATTGCCCATTGGATACGAACATAGACATAGAGTGTATAATCAACTTCAACCAACCATCTAAATTATGATATATTTCGAAATCTTGATTCCTACTGTACAGTAAAATAGTCTAATCTGAACGCTACTGATACCAGCCGAAATTGTTCGTATTAGCAAGTGTTCACATTTCATGATTTCATAATTTGTGAGTCAATGGAAGATTACAAAATTGAGGCAGAGAGTGTTCACATTGGGAGAAATTCCAGTTAGAAAGGTGTTTAAAAATACAGGTTTCTGTGATAACTGTGAAAAAAAAGAAAATGGAAAAAGAGATCGGATTAGCGAGTGTTCACATCTCTAGGTTTCTGAATATGTGAATTGATTGAATATTACACAATTTTTGAGAGGTGTTACAATTAGAGAGGTCTTCAAATATACAGATTTCACCATATAAGGAATGAAAAATGTTTATTAATATTAGAGACGTACATGCAATGTATCTAGTTTTTAAGTTAAAAGGGTATTTATGATATACTATTCTAGTATATATTTATCAAGCAAAAAACAAACACAGGCATTCCATCAGAGTAATATCAATGGTGATTTAATATTTCCTAATATGGAGTTAATCTACACTCCATAGTGTCATCTATAATTTGATTGAAATATTTCACGAACATACATTACAGAAATAACATGCCATTTTCAGTTCACTGGCACTATGGGGTGTATTGAAAAAGAAACCACTAGCAATGGTCCAGAATGCCCATGACGGCAGCTTGAGTGATGGGGTAGCTGGGACAGAACAGGAGAACTGGATCACATCTGTAGCCTCCCATCAGACAACTGATCTCATTGCGTCAGGTAAATCATGTTTCAGTCTGTCATTTGTGAATTTAACACTTATTTAGCCTCTCATTTGTCAATGGATCTTCTTGTATTGAGTAAACGGCTTCAAGTCTCTTCTCAGCTAAAAGTTCTTTACATTCTTCAACATGGCTTTCTAAATGAAATTTTCTCAAGAATCCAAATTTGGAAGTAAAATCTTTTTGAAACATAATACCTGGAAAGTAAAATTGAAATTATATCATGGTATCTTCCCATAGAGGCATTTTTGCCTTAAATATTTGTGATATCCAAATGGATCTACTTGTGTAGGGTTTCCATATTTTTTGTAGGCAGCGGTTGGTGTTGGATGTTGGCATCTGTAACAAATGGCTGGTGGTGACAATTTTCATGTTAATGCCTTTTGTATATGAATATCATGTTCCTGTCTTGTTTGTTAGCAGGTTCTAAAGATGGCTGTATCAAATTCTGGAAGTGTGCTCAAGATTTCAAGTCCCTTCAACCTCTCTTTTCTCTACCAGTGGTAAGTTGTATCATTTCTATATATCAATTGTAAATTTCTATATAGCATTCATTTCTTCATGGTAAGATCAAGATCAACTAGTATGCGGTCAAATACAGCTTTCCATTCAGTTGAAACCATGCAGTACAGTGATTACACCATGTTACTATTTTTATGGATGCACCACCGAACATGCATGTGACACTGTTATGAACATCATATTTAAAAATATTCAACGAAAATGATGTTGCCTTTGGCGCAAATCATTGTGTCAATGTTTCATATCTTCACTATTCAATGTAATATGTTAATAATGGTTTAAAACAAACAAATTGTTTGAGATTACAAATTTTCAAACAATTTGTTTGTTTCATTCTTCAAGACACATCTTTCCAAATAAGACATTGAATGACTGTAATAGCATTACAATTGGTTGGTTCTTTTCAGGCTGGTTTTATCAACAGTTTAGCTTTCTCAACCGATGGATCATTGCTTGTGGCTGGAGTTGGACAGGAACACAGAATGGGCAGATGGTGGAGGATTAAAGAATCAAAGAACTCAATATGTATCATAAATATGAAGAAAACAGACACCTAGATCTTAAGGACGTACTCGATATCACAAAATTATCAAGACAGTTACAATAAGCATCATTCCGGACAGATTGGTGACATTATCAAAGATTATAACTGAGGAAAAATGTTTAAAAGCTGCTTGTTTTTCCTCCATTACCATGGTTACTGACATTTGTACAATAATGTATGATAAACCTAGATAATCTAAATTTCAAATAAATGATACTAATTTGACAAATGGATCAAAATGTTTTCTGTAGGCCTATATCATAAATTACATCTTGAAGTACTTGTATTGATGAACCAAAGGTTGTGGTGTAATATCACAATGATAGAGAAGCTATCTTAACGGTTAGGCTATCGAGATTTAGACCCCCTATGATCTCGGAAATGATCAATCATAGGAGGGTGTATTAGGTATCATTGGAAAGGTTATACAATTCCCAGTATTTTGAGTTCAGTTATAGTTATACTGAGCCATAATTGATGAAGAAATTCATATTCTAAGAACATAGTGGTTTATCGTTTCAAGTCAAAACTACTGACAATTTCAGAAACATTCCTAATTCAATTTTATAAAAAGCAACAAAATCAGATCAAAAGACAAATTATGAAAAATGTTTGGTAAAAGAAAAAAGACCAAAAGAGTCTCAGTATTAAATCTTAGCTAGCAATTGCATTTACAGGAACAATTTACAGTTTTCACAATTCACATTTCCTTTATTGACTTTATTCATCTACAATATCTGTGCACCAATGGATTGGTAGATTTATCAAAACAGCAAGGTTTCTCCGCTGTACATCCCATTGAACCATATTCTGAGTAACAACACTTCCCTGTTGTAACAGTTGAGCATAGAGGCTGATCTGGCATCCCAAGGATATGGCAGTCTTTGTCAGGGATTTTTTTCCATCTACAAAAATGAGTTAAATATTTTTATGTCAGCATGAGTGACAAAATATTGTTATAGTCTCAAACTTTTTTGTGGACAGAGAGAGTCGTCGTTCGGCGGTCGGCATTTGCCGTCTGTAACAAATGGCATGTTGTGATATTTTGCATGATATGCCTTGTATCAGTGTACATATAACTCTTATCGAACGCATTTCCGTGGCCTAACCTACATATATTCCCCGACCTATCACTATTACTAATATAATACTAGGATTTTGAACATTGTTGAATGGCTATGAAATATAATAATTGTTTTTGCGTTCTATTATATAATTTACAAATGTTATATGATCATAATGACAATAACTATAATTACTGTATATTGATAATAAATGTCACTTACGATAATAATTACTTATACAGTATGATTATACCTTACAGTCTTACATAATATACGATGATTGCTTACCCATTAACAGCTGCAACTACCAGCAAGATTACGATCATTGATTTCTGCATTTTGTAACCTAAAACAAAACAAGTAAAGTTGTGTAACAGTAGCGATTTGAGATATTTTTTTTTAAGTTGCTATATATGAACTTAAAAACAAGGTAAATAAAGAACAAACTTAATTAGAAATATTGCATTTCATTTTACTCGCAGAATATATATTATAATGTCAGGTCCAAAGCCAATCTTATCCCTGAGAAGTTCAATTTTGATTTTAACCGACGATGATGCGTTAAACCGAGAGCGAAGCGCGAGTCCCGCCGATGCTAGAATTGATCGGGGACATACTCCCCGCTAGCCTTGCCCAAGTTGGTATCTTTTTACTTATCTGATCTCGAATTATTACCAGCGGTCATAATAGAAATCAAGATAAGTAAAAGAGACCGACTTGGGCAAGGCTAACTCCCCTCAAAAATCACATTTTCAAAGCGAAACATTGGCTAAAAAACAAGAGGCGGAGAATTCTAAATGTGTGAATATTAATACTACGAATATTGTATATGTAAATTGAAATTGCTTTCAAATATTTTCATGAATAAAAAAAGTTAAAAAAGTGTTACATATTTTTGAATCCTAATCCTTTACAATGGCTTTATTTTATAGGATTTCCCTTGAGAATCTTTTGGTGAGGGGAATGGCGAGATCACACTCCCCTCCAGGACTACGCGCCTGCCAAAACTTTTAATTTAGAAGCAGTGTTTCTGTTTTACAGTAATAAATCTTGCTTTACAATTCATCGGAAGTGATAACGATTAAATCAAATTGACCGAGAATTCCAAAAACTTGTACAATGTTCATTTTCTCTACCTGAAGCGCGTTTCGATTAATAACGATATTGAACCAGCACTGAGTCTTTGAACATTTTTGCATATATAATCTAAAGCAATGCTGCTCGTATATGAAATTGTAGTCTTACTTTGAGTGTGTCGTCTACTGGGGTCCAAACAGACTGTTCTACTCGAAGTGATTCCGCTCGTGAAAAGTGATCGAATTCCATACTATATGATCTTTAAATATCTTCTATTTCCAGAGATCAAGGAATATAATTAGTCATGTATTAACAGTTAATATATTATGGGCTTAATAATCTAGGCTTATCGGATATTAGCAATATTCAGAAACGATTACGCATTAAATATAAATTGGATTTATAATGAATTTTATCCTGTAAATCAGCAAGTAACATCATGAACATGTTGCTACGTACCCTTTGCAATCGTTCGTCTTGGCTTCTTAAAAGAGTGCTTCATCGTTTATTACTAGACTGCGCGCAGGGTAGTTGCTGTTGGGAGGAACCTTGCTTCAGTAGCATGGTTCATTCATTTTACGTCCTCATTTTCAGAGACATTATCTCAATTTCAAGTATCAGGAAAGAGGTGTGATTTAATCAACTTATGGATGGCGGGTGAATACTCCGAGGACCGAAGTTGTTCATTGCCATTCATAAGCTGATTAAACCATACTTTTTTGGTGTTTAACTGTTTTTATCTACGGTTTACAGAAAGATTATGTCCATATTTACCCAAGAAATCATGTTAAAATCGAGGCTCAAAATATATGAGCCCCTCCTTTTGATTCTCAGGTCCGTCCCTGTCTGCCTGTTTAACATTACGATGGTAGAAATAAATTTGAAAGGATGCACTCATTAACATGTATTCATCGGATGGATTAACATTTCAGATTATAAAATAGATCTACCTGTTACTTATTCTTCCCACGTATTGTTTAAGGATTTGAGCCCTGGACTCAGTGCAATGTGTGCTGAATCATTCCATCGAAGGACTTGTTTCCAAATCAGGAAACAACGCCTTCGCGGTATGATGCAGCCACAATGCTTTGTCTTGGCATAACTTCTTCTCACACATTGCAAAACATTTTCTACAAAATCAACTAAAAGATACAAAATCACTAAAAGAACATACTTTCAATGAAAGGGTCAAATTGGCAAAGCATCAATTTCATTCTGTGAGTCAAGTTATCACCTTGACAACCATACACAAAATGTGTTATTGTTTATCTAACGGAATGCAGTTACGTGAAATAACGTGTTCTGATTGGCTGGAATTGGACACACCTTGCCTAGCTGTGTGTGAATATACAATAACCACAACGTATAGCGTATGTAAGGTCCAAATCGTCAATAATTAATATCAACAATTATATAAAGATCGTGAAACATGAAATGACAATAAAAATACCACAAAACATTACGTGGAACAGGTGTATCTATATTGATAATGAAAATGATATATGTTACACACATCTCATCTCCACGGCTAGGCTTGTCTACTTCGAAAAGCAAAGTTTAGTAAACATGAAATCCGTGTATTTTATGTTATCATCACTGTGCATGATTGAAGTTAGAAGTAAGTTTAATTTTACATGTATGTATAATTCACAATATATAATATATAGCTGTTTTGGGTTACTATGACAACCGCTACAGTAAACGGTACATGGGGAGGGATATGCAAGACTGGATTGGACTTGAAAGATGCCAGGGTTGTTTGCAGGCAACGTGGATTTAAGGACAGCAACTTAATCTACTTAAAGAATGAGTTAACCTCACGTATAATTCACACCGGAATAGCCTGACAACGGTAAAGTCAGATACCGTTGTCACAAATGGCGGACATAACCGTCGCTTCAACTGTTTAATCACTTGGTCCTCATTTCATGGGAATTTATCGTCACTAATTCTGTGCACGTAATAAGCTCTTGTGATGATGTTTCATATGAAATCCACAGTCAGAGAGAATGTTTCTGGCGAAAGGAAATTCTTGGATTTCAAACACTTGAAGTTGGGAAACCGGAATGGCTTACCTTTTTTAATTCCCGAATCTCTCCGAAATTAGCTCATCTTGGTGACTGTAAATTGCACAGCTGTATTCAATGGAGTCTTGTCATATTCAATCAGCCTCAATTTTAAAGTGTATATTTTATTTTTAACGTGATTTCATCGTTTTTTTTGTCGACTGGTAAGAATACGCGGGGCAAATGGCAAGATGGATGACTTTTGACCTGACCTACACCGATGGCGGTGACGTCATCAATTTTATCCATACAAATTCTATTTGGTCACGTGACCTTGTGCCAGAAGTCCGACTTTTTGGTCAGTCGACCTGTTCAAAGTACATTTAGTAATAATTATCGCTTTTCAGAACAATTTAGGAAACAATATTTTCTATCTACGTCGATTACAAAGCATCTAAGGTACGTAAATTTATATGAACAACTGAGTCAATAGGGATAAATAGCCCAACGAGAGTCGGCGGTCTTGAAAAATACTTGGATCTGGATGCCAGTCCTGTTATTGATATAATTCCAGGGCAGTTCAAAGAACGTATTAGAAGTCCGTGATGAAATCCCAATGTCGATCAAATTGGGTCGTGAATCGCGTACAATATAGCGTCTCCGATATCGTCAATGACAACGGAATCTGACTATTTGAGTAATTTAGAAAGACAACGGTATATGGTAATTACTCAGATGCGAGTTGGTAGTTACCAGTTTCGCCACCAGGTGGCTAATTCGGGGGAAATAACATGGCAGGGTAAATACAAAATTCCCTTAAACTTGAATATTCATCAGTTTTAGTGGTTCACTTTTCATATTACCCTAAGGTATCTGAAAGTTATACAAATCAAAATATGTCCAGTAAAAGAAAATATTATCTGCTCAACACAAGAAAAGATATTTCCATTTTTGTGATTTTACAACATGGGGGCTATGGGGAATCTCCCCGACCTAGAAATCACCTACGTGGGACATGATACAGTCATTGAAGGGTTCAACTTTAAAGATTTTTAAATCTCAAAATACCTCTAATTACTAACATTTCTACAATTCCAGCTTTATTTTATGACTAGACGGATGACAGATCTATAAATAAAGGCATATGGATGCATTTTAATGTGTAATGACCCGCGGGCGCCCAAGGGGAATAAATAACTAACGAACGCGAGCATGGGTCCAATCAGCCAGATAAAGAAATTGAAAGAAAGTGTGCTAAATTCGATGCCCCGAGTGGGAATCGAACCCAGCTGGGCTGTAGTAGCAAATTGCTATCAAGGGTCGTTGCAAATGCATTTATAATTCATCATAAACTAAAGATTTAATAAACTAAGATCTTTAAAATTGAACCCTTCAAAGACTGTATCATGTCCAACGTACGTGGGTAGGTGGGTATGAGGTAGGAGGTTTTTTATACAAAGCCTTTAGGGATCCTGCAATCAGATCTCTAGTTGACTATGTAATGAACAATATTACTGAGTTCAACAGAATCAAACCTTTTATTTATAGCTCCATAATTGAAATACATGATTTTGTTAATTACAGATCACCCCAGCTACCTTTTGACCATTGCATCCTTGGATCCAAAGGGGATCATATTGACTATTATAATAGTCTCGATTAGTTTTAATAGGACAAGGGAAATTCTTTAAATTGTTATTTTTATAATTGAAATTGCACTGGCCAATGTGATGCTCGTGTCCAGTACATTGTACATCATCAATGAATTCAAAATCTTCCCTCCAAGTATGTGGAAATTCTCTTTCATATGTAGAAACGTTTCCATGTTGTAGACCGAGTTGTTTACAGATAACCTTAGCTTCATTCGTACCCCATGTTGAGGAGCATACCTTTCTCCACATTTCGTCAACATGAATCTCAATCAGTCCCGAGTTTGCAGTTTTACCACGTTCCAGTCGGACATTAACCTCCTCGCATATAACACTTGCCTTTGCTTTACCACGGCATGATACATCATCATCATATTTGAATGAGCAGTCAGCGAGATTGTATTCATCACCATTGCAAATAAGATCACTCATATAAAAAACATCCATGGAGTGATAACGGCAAGTATACTTGGAGAATGTGTCAACTGCAGCATCCTTTGGATCAAACCCTGTAGATAATTATTTATCAAATAAAGAATATTCAGAATTCAGTTAGAACGAGATTTATATTAGCACACTTGTTTTTTCGTAGAAATTACCCTAGGCAATATAAAGAAAGAATACACCACCTTGCTGTCGACAGGCCACCTTTGCTTCGTTGATGCTCAATCCATTTGCACAAATGTATAAAGTCTTATTTACACCTGGAACATTAAGCCGTAGAAGTCCACCTCCCAGGATATAGTACTGGCGAAAGATATAATATTGCCCTTTTATGTCAACGAAATCGGTAAATTCTGAAACAGCATATTGAGACAGAGAAATACTTATTGACGATAAAATGAATACTTCCAACATTTATCAATCGTTCAATTATGTGGGTGGGATGACTTAGAAAAAACTCGAGCACTGCTCGAGAATCTGTTAACGTGATTAGAAAGTTAAAAGTCTTGCCGAGAGCGTGCACATGAAATTAAACATGAAATACTTCATCATGTTCCTTATATGTATAATTTTTTCAAAACCGACATCACAGTTTTTGCTTAAAATCGTTAATAGATAAAGTGTACACCCGCACATTTTGTCACTGTACGTTCCCGATGGTTAGGCGTGATTACGAGCGTCGACGGGAAGCGAATCAAATTGCCAGAAATGTCATTTACGGAATTCTATTGGTCACGTGATCGTAATGACAAATTCAACGACAAATCAGATAACTTATGGATTTCTCCGGTATATTTCAGTTTCATATTATATTGATTATCCAATCGAATGGAATTATATATATGATTACGTACTGCATGACATTGATGACCCTACAAATGGAGATACTTAAGAAACACATGGCAGCCATCTTGAAAAATGGCGGCCTTTACACGCTATTCTGCGATCATAAGCATTGCACACTGCACTGTTTTATGACACTTTGACACTAACATTTTTAAAATGGCCGCCATTTGCATGTACCTGTGTGCGATTTTGTACAAATTTTAAACGCGCATACACTTAGAAGCGCTACACCATACACTTTCTTATGACAATTTGGCTAGGGAGCGACAATTTATAAAATGGCATGGCCATTTCTATGTGTGATATTGTACGATTTTTGCTAAAAATGAAAACGTAGTACAAGGATTTTGTAAAAATGACAGCCATGGCACATGGCTGTTCGATGGGTTTTGCTAAGCTTTGGCATTTGTCTACTTAGTTTCGGTGAAAGTAATTAGATCGGTCGGTATAATCGTAAGATTAGCACTGAAAGCGGAGGGTATAGGACTTGTTCCCTGGTAAGTAGATGATTATGTGGTACGGCTCAACATGCAAAAAAGTCCAAGGGGTCTTTATTGTGCTTCTTACGGAAAAGTGTCTCTTTACATTTAGTGCTATAAACATCTAAAAGCGTTTAATTCCTTGAACCAATTCTCAAAAGTATAGATACTTACGAGTGAAATTAAATTGTATAGATAAAACCACGATAGAATATTTGTAGATTTCAATAAAAGATAGTCATAAAACCTTTTATCAATTTTCCATGGTACCAATTAAATAATATTTTGCCTCATCCTGCAACGCATTTTTTATTTCTTAAACGAATCGTAGTTTATATTGACAAACATCATATGACATTACCTGGTTCTTGGTTAAAACAAGAAATATACATATTGTTATCTTCACAATCCGCTCTTGTAACATTACACATGTGCAGAACATCATGTTTTCCGCATAGAAGTGAAATGCCTTTTTTAATTCGGCCTGGTTCTTTCTTTTGGTTAAATGGACCATATGTTCCTACTCTACCATACATATACCCCAAACTAATGCACGTAATTACTGCAATTCTATTACTTCGTAATGTATACGCGCTCGATCCGTCAACGATGCAAACCTTTTTCCATGTTTGCTTATACCATACTTCAAGTTGACCAGTAGTATTGGTATGTCCTCCAACTAATCGAGGCTTCATTGATGTGTCAACGCATGATAACTGTATCCCGTTTGCTCCACACTCTAATGCGCGTTCCTTATGCCAAGCACTTGCACTCCCGTACAGCGCCGTCCATTCAGTGTATGAACATTCACTCAAACTTTTCTCGGTTCCATTGCAGTTTAAGTTAGTTATGATTTGCCTGTTGTAATCATTAGCTATTCTGTATGGCTTAAGGGTGAAGCCAAAGTGAGCTTTAAAGCCCAATTGATTACAAACAACCTGTGAAGCCCCTGTTGTCCAGTTGGTGCCACAAACAGGGAACCATTCACCAAAACTGTCTTTTACTTCCAAAGCGCCATTTGATCCGTGTTCTAAACGAATTTCATTAGTCGGTTTTGGATCTAATGAAAAAAGGGATGAGTTACGACTTTTTAAAAATCTCTCATAAATATCATAATCACAAGGTGTTTTGTGCGTCTAGCTGATCAAATTAGTCAATAGATTGCCCAGGAATTCATAGTTCAGACGTTCATCAATGAAAAATAGATCAAAATATAAAAAGTACAGATTTCAACGACTCGGTGAAACATATTTGATTTCATGTCATGAACAAATTCTTACCACTAAATAGCTTTTTCCTACAGGAAACTCCTGCTTCCAAATCATCTTTTTTAGAGCATGATTTGAACGTTGATTTCACGCATACACCATAGTCATCAGAATAATAATAACATCTTGCTAATTCAAGGATCAGCGAATGGTTATTCTTGGGTAAGTTTTTAATATTATTTAAATTTATCGGTTGTGCGAATTTCCAATCCTTTCCTAAATGTTTACAAACTTCCACCGCTCCTTTTGGATCAAGAGCACGGCAAATTGATTTCCACATTCCTTCATGTAGGACTTCAACCCTACCAGCTCTTGATCTAGGCTTGGTCTCAACTAATCGCAATTGAAAATCACATGTCACGTGTAATATATATGTCCACTCAGAGACCCTACGCTCCATTTCGACCCACTTGCTTTGTTCGCAATCTTTTATTGTCGCTTCTTTTCCTAAATATTAACGTTTATACATTTGATTATATGGGGATAACGACACAATATAATTTTGGTAAGTGGCACTAAAATCGTATCTTAAAAATAGTATCCGTCGGATACGATTTTTCATTAATTTTGAATTTGGCGCAAAATAACCACTCGTCTGTTTGATCTGCAACAATATAGTTTCAAGATTATGTGCTCAGTAAAAATGGTTTATTTTTTTCGTGCATCATTTGGTAAAAATAAGTTCACAGTAAAACAAAAAAATTAAAATATAAGAAAAGAATTGGAAAAGAACAACTTTTAGGTCAAATTATTTTAAGTCCATACAAAAATAGCAACCATAGGATAAATATGATAGCCTATGATTTTCTCGGGCTATCATTTTTTATCCACTCTTGATATCGCCGATCTCCGGGCAATATCCATTCATGGTGGGATATCCTCTATATATTCACTTTGTACAAATCTTAATAAAAGGTGGAGAAATAGAGGATATCCTATGATTTATGAGTGATATGATTTTTATCCACGAATGGATATGATATCTGCACGAGCGAGCGTAGCGAGAGAGTGCAGATTTCAATAACCATGAGTGGATTAAAATCATATCACGAGTAAATCATAGGATGTTCTTTTTATTCCATAGTTAAAGTCATCATCAGAATCTTCGGAAATTAAGTCATTTAATTCGAATTCGAATTTTCCAAACGATCCGGCGATGTTGACACTTAGCCTCGTTTTGAGTCTGAAGTAGCAAAAATCCATAAACCATCGCATACGACGTCGTATGTCATGGCTAAAAAACCGTATGCTATGGTTAAGTGAAAATTTGTCAAAAATATCATATTTTACCACTGATTACAAAAATACCGTTTTTATTTTCACATGTTATCCTATGAATATCATGCTAACTATGGAATAAAATGGCTAAATTCAAACAATTATCAACCAACATTATCAGACCTTTCACTTACATTTACAATCATGGATTACAATATCATGCCAACAACGTGCAAATGTCAATGTTTGTTATGATAAAGCAACCAACAATGGTCTACACAGCCAATTGCAACCTCCAACTGTACCGTGATATCAGGGTGTGGATTGGGGTGACACGTCATAATACTTATAAGACATGAGGTTACCATCACAAACTTAATGTCATTATTGGCTTTTTAACATACGTTATTTAAAAAAATAGTAGGAAATAATTAACACTGGTGATCTGCTCGATTTCGCAGGTTACCGAAACGATTTGTTTCGGTAACAAAATGTCGGAACGTCGAAGGTACGATTTTTCTTTTTTCCCTATTTCACGCGTTGTAGGCAGAATCCCCAAGACGTTTTTTTCTCGCAAACGTGTATCAGTATCATATGTTTTAGAAAATGTACATGTTTGCGAAAAAATAGCTCAGAAGACAACAGAATTGTCGATTTAATTCCTCACTTAAGTTACAGAAACGGTTTGGGTTAAAAGTGCATATCTTAACTGTTTTTCGAAATACCGTTTCTGTAACTTCAGTGAGAAATTAAATCTACTAATCTAATCTACTGTTGTCTTCTGAACTATTTGTTCGCAAATGTGTACATTTTCTTAAACATATGTTACTGATACACGTTTGTGTTAAAAATGTTGTGAGAATTCTGCCTACAAGGTGTGAAAAAAGGAAAATAGAAAAATCGTAGCTTCTATGTTCCGACATTTTGTTACCGAAACGAACCGTTTCGGTAACCAGCGTAATCGAGTGGATCACCAGTAATTAAAATGAAACGGAGGGGATGGGTCAACAGGAGGGATCAGGCCTGTAAGACACTTTTATCCAAGGGGGGTGCGGTTTTTAATAGAGAAAATAAAATTGTCATTTTTTCCGCGTAAATCAAATCGCGTAAGTCAGAAGGGGGGGGGGGGGGGGGTTAGTTATTCTCCATATTAAGGCCACTCAGCATATTTTGTAGTATTTTATTGTTTTCATATTGTTTTTTGACTAAATATTGTATGAGCAATTTGGAAAAAACATAGGAATAGGAGGGTGTCCTAGAAGGCAATAGAATCAATTTAAAGAAATTCTGATTTTTGTAATTATTTTACTAATTCAAGATGCTGTCTGGTTAATTCTGAGCATTTTTTATGTGTTTGATTAAATGAATGCTTTAGTTTTTGGGATGCGGTGTCAGAATTATTTATGATTTCATTATGACACCTGGTGATTTCTGGACACTTTTAAAGTGTTTAAAATTAACAAATGCAACTTCCAAACATTCCCAATTGTTTTGTGGGGGTGTGAGGAGTGCCCCCCCCCCAGAAAATTTTACACTTTTGAGATGCTTTTTGGTGCTTTCTGGGCACTTTTTTAAGTGTATGAGTAAATAAAAAATATGTTTCAATTTTTTGGGGGGTGTCAAAGAGGATAAAAGGGTGAGGTGAGGTGGGATGGGGATGCCAGAGGGGGAGCAAGGGGTTTTCCCTCGGAAACATTGACCATTTCAAGGTGCTATTTGATGATGTCTGGGCTCTTTAAAAGTGACTCTGAGATAATACATGAAATTCATATAGTTTTATGGGGGATGTGATGGGTGACCAACTCTCCTAGAAAATTTTACAATTTTAAGATGATATTTGGTGCTTTCTGAAGTTTCTGGGCACTTTTAAAGTGTATGAGTCAATAAAAAATGAACAACAATCACAATTTTTTCAAATTTTGGGGGTCTGGGGGTGTCAAAGGGGGAGGTAGGGTTGAGGTTCCAGAGGGGGAGCAAGTGTTTGTCCCCCATATCTGTCCCCAGAAACATTGACCATATAAAGGTGCTATTTGATGAAGTCTGGGCGCCTAAAATGTGTCTGAGACATTTTTGTCAATTGTTTTGGGAGATGTGAGGGATGGCCTACTTCCTTAGAAAATTTAACAATTCTAAGATGCTATTTGGTGCTTTCTGGGCACTTTTAAAGTGTATGAGTCAATAAAAAAGATTAAACGATATTTTTTACGTTTTTCACGTTAAGTCAAATAGAGTTAATCTCGATCTAATGAGTTGCTCCGTAAATCTAAACAACAATTCAGGTTTTTGATTTGCTTGAAATGAATTAGTACCTGTACAGTAAAAGAAATTCCTAAATGTTGGGTTTAAAGGTCGCCATGGCCAATAGGGACGTTGCATTTTAAAAGCATTCTTTGGATTGAAGCCCAATTGTTTGCACACGACTTTGTAAAGATTTCCTGTAATTTGACTCACTCCTCCCCAGTATCCATATTGCTTGACTTCAACTTTCCCATAATAATCACGTGTTCCGATAATACGGACCTCTGAAGCAATATCTAAAATTCAAATTGATTAAAGGAAATTATCATTTCAATTACATTTTCACCCCCGGTGATCGTGAAAACCAATACGCTTCTAACTCTACTATCACACCAAACTAGTTCTCACTACGTTCTCGAAAACGGGCTTCAACTGTGTACGAACGGACTGGACCTACTAAGAACCGTTTGGGATCTATTTACAAACTTCATCGAACGTACTCGAACGGGTAGGTCCTCTAGAACTTAGACAATGCTCAAAATGTTCTCGTGGTCGTCACGTTCTACAATTAGAACGAGTGACAACGTACTAACGACGAGCTGGACTTACTACGAACGGAACCGTCGTACTTCAATCCTACTAGGGGCGTTTTAACAACGAGTTGAACTGTCTGAGGACGTGTTGAGAACGGGGTAGAACTAATTGCAAACGGGTTTAAACTGATTAAGAACGTATTTAACACTGCTTATGAACGAGTTAGCAAAAATATATAGCTATCACACCAAACAAGTTGCCACTGCGTTCTTCAAAACTGGTTTGAAACTGTGTGCGAACGGAATGAACGTAGCTGCAACTTTCTAAGGTCTATTTACGAACTTTATGAACGTTCTCAGACGGGAATGTGATGTTAAAATTTTGAATCGATTCAAAATTCGATGGCGACCATACCGTTCTGTAATCAGGTCATGTTGACCTTCTAGACTAAGGGACGCGTTCTACGACGTTGCACACCGATGTGGTGCGACCTGAACGAACTGCGAACAAGATGGACGTATTGAAGACTGTTTAAGAACGAAGAAGCTAATTATTTCAGACATATTTCCCGACCACAGCCAGATTGAGCCCGTTTTACGACGTTTTCGTTGGACTGGCAAGAACGGGTAAGAACTAGTTTGGTATGATAGGGGGGTAAGATATGAGATCTATTAAAAAAGGCATAACATCAACGTGCAAAATTCACTGTTTTTGCTATTAATCAAGCAACAATAGTCTGCACGACCTGTAATAAAAACTTGTACGTAACGTTATCATAACTAAATTAATGCCTTGCTGACCTTATAGAATAAGTTTCCAAACAATATATAAAAAAATCTACGGAGGGATGAGCAATATGTAAATATGACATGATAAGAGATGTTACTTAAAGTCCTATAACTCCAAATTTCCCCATTTTCATTCTTTTGTGGTGTAACATCCAGTTTCTTACTAAGGTTACTGAGTTCATTTTTCAAATACATTTTTCTTGTAAAGTTGTTTCACTTCATAGAAATATTGCTCCCTTCCATCCACTCCCCCTCCATCCCATTTTAATTATTTTCGTACCGTATCGGTTCAGAGAAAAACTCAGAAGCCCTAACATATTTTACCATACGCGCCTATCCATTTGGCAATTCAATGGTAAACCTTTTCTTGAAAAAATAGATCTTCCAGAATTGTTGAATTTTCTAGCAGAAGTGCCTGCTGCCCCCCTCTGTCCCATTTTTAGGATCACCAGGCGTGATTTTAATGTTATGAATTTTGAAAGGTAAAAAATACTACCTGATGATACCTTTGATTTTTTGCATATTCCTGAATGTTATTGCAAGCGGAATTATCATGATACCCTTTTCCAAATCTTATATATATTTTTTACTCTCCCCTATCCCCCATTTTTTCAATTTTACTAATTCGGTGTATAGTCCCTATTTAAATTTTACTACCTAGGGTGATTGGAAGCCGTTATTTAAATTCGATCCTCTGCCTTGCGGAGATAATTTGGTTGATGTCCATATTCCATTGAACTATTAGCTTATCCAATTCCAGGACTATTAGTTCTGGTATTGGATAAATACTAGCATGGTCTAAAAAGAACTTTGTTTCACGCCAGGCAATGGAAGATGGGGTTTGAATAATGGCTGCCAATCATCCTTGTTGTAATTCGAAGAACACGATTGGTTTTCAATAAGCCCAATGTTTCTTAGAGACTAATTCAGTGGCGTAGCCAGGATTTGGTGACCGGGGGTTCTGTTTTAATTTTATGTTATTCACAAATTCCCCCCCCCCCCCCCTTCATTAGGGTTCTTTAAATAATGCAATTTGTACAATTACACTCCCTCCAAAAGTTTGGCAATCCTAACTAACCCATTGGATCATGTATTAAAGCATCTTTAGGTTTGAATTCTTATATGCATAATTTGTAAAGAAAAAACTATTTTGAGAGGGGAAATATAATTCACTTTAGTACCTTCATTAAGTTAAGTAGACAATTGAATTTGAATTTTATTTAACAAAAATGATGTCTTTATTTACTGAAAGTAATAGGCTTTATCAAGAAACGTCTCCCATTGAAATAACACAGGACGTAAAAATGATTTGTAACTTTAATGTTCACAAAGTAAAATAAACAGGCAACGTGCAAAAAGCCAGACAACTTATAATTAATTTTCTGCATCAAAATATATTTCGGTGAATCTTTTACTGAATAAATATCATGAAATCTGATTTGCCCCAAATCCACCATTATTTCGTCCGATTTCTGGAAGACCCTGGAGCATGATTTGTTTCCAAGGAATATCAACTATTTCGCACAATTTATTCTTTAACTTAAGCTACTTCATCTAGGACAAAATAAATCACCTCATGCAATGGCTTATCATTGCTTTTCAAGAATTTTGTTGGAAGCCAGTTCGGATCAAATGCAAGGTTATTGAAATTGACGCAAACACCCATATACTCCGAAAGATCGTTCTTCTATGATAACTTTTCACAACGTTTACACGAAGGCTTTTTAAACTATCCGGGATAGTGGTATTACTGATAAAAATATCTATTATTCAAATAAATGGGTCTCGGTTATGCTATATGTTTTAAGAAGTTAAAAATATTTCTTTGGACGTCCCCGGAGCTCAGTGGTAAGTCCCCCGGAGCAGATCAACCCCAATTGATAATAAAACGTTTTAGTTGATATAATTAATCATATATAAATACAAGCGTCTGTTATTTTGTTAAGTTCAGACGGCTTGATAACAAATTAGGCCTTCGTTATTTGAAGATTAATACCATATGATTTTCAATGTTTCTTTTATTTATTTGCTAAACATATCATGACATTGACATGAAAATGGAGAGCAAGTAAACTGGAACGATAACAATTTGAATTCCATACAATCTCTTAGATGAGTGGAGTGTATCTGAAAAAAATAAAATCATTTTTTGCAATGATTGATTTTCTTTGGAAAAGTGATGGGTAAATAAATACTGAACACATGTAAGAATGAATAAATTTGAACAATGCTTGTGTTTATAAATGATTTACGCTTTTAAATAATTCATTTCACAACGTTTTTTATTATTTAACACAATTGATTTCGGGACTTGCCAGCCCCAGGGACGTCCCAAGAAATATTTTAAATTTTAATTGAAATAAAACAAAACAGAGATGTACACATTTGAAAGAACATGTGTTTTATCAATATTGCGACTATTCCATATATTTATTCGTCAATGTTGTAAAATCATTCGGAGTATGGGACGTCTGCATTGTTTTCAATAACTTTCAATAACTTCGTATTGGACCAGAACTGGCTTAAAACAAAATTCCTTCAAAGGACTGATTTAGCCATTGCCAAAGATGGGTTATTTTGTCCAAGAAGAAGCAGCTTTTAAGTTAATTGTGCGAAATTATTGTTATTTCTAAATGTAAAATCTCATGATGCTCTGGGGTCTTTCCTTAAATCTCACCCAGTGCCTAAGGTTGCCAAACGTTTTGAGGGAAATGTAACTTCACTATGACATGTTTTTAACAAAATAAGGCTCTCATGTTCACCATAACAAATATTAAATCATTTACTGCTCATATATGTAGTTTTCAAATAGCACAGTAATTTAATATTTCTGGTTATATGCATTTTTCCGCAAAATGATATTTTGGGAAATCCTGACCGGGGGTTCGTTCGAACCCATCGAACCCCCGCTGCCTACGGCTATGTAATTTAATGACTCACCCCATTCATCTCTTTGACAAACGATACTTAAGTATCGGGTGACCTCATGAGTACACTTTCTACCATCATGATAAAATATCACCCCTTGAGCTGTTACGTCATGATTAAAAATCCAATATGGCCTAAGGACCTGTCCAAATGCATTTGCTCCCACGACCATAGGATTTTTTGCTTCAACTCCAGCCATTGAACAAATAAAGTTGAGAGCTTTTGGCTCATAGTCAAGGGTTGTTCCGCAAAAAGATCTCCATTCACCTCTCTTGTAGATCTCTAGTCTACCTGTTGAATTTGAGGGGCCTCCTCTTATCCTCATTGGCGTCTTACATGCGACAACAGCAGGTATCTGCTCAAGGCAAAATAGAATATTTTACCCGTGAATCAAAAGTAATATCATCGAGCCCTTCATGATATAAAATGACTTACATTAAAATTATAATATGTGTACAAACCTTTATGCGGTATACAGAGCATCGGTCAGAGGCGACCGTCTCTTTCCTTCATTTCAGAAAAAATATAAAACCATGAACATCCGAGATTTTTCGGAGAGGTTCAAACAAGAACTGCATGTATTTCTAGTTCAAAATCTTTACTAAAACGTACCGTACGTTCAATTCCCGTTCAACAATTACTCAATCACAAACTAAACTACACTTCTACAAAAAGAGGACGGGTTCTATGTAAGCCTAGGGGTCTCATATTTGCTCGAGCGGGCTGCGGTTCCATGTAAGCAGTCACGAGCTAAAATGTCACGGCACTTAGCCATTTCTAACCATGCAACATGTATACTGTACATTGCTACACATTGCTACACTGTGTCAAGCACCTATACATAGGCTGGAAAGCGGGGTAAACGGGGTACATATCCTTACCTGTATACTCTACATTGCTACACTGTGAGGCAGCTTCTACACATACCATGGAGGTGGGGTAAGCGGGGTAAGCGGGGTGCATACCTTTACATGTATACTCTACATTGCTACACATTGCTACACTGTGTCAAGCACCTATACATAGGCTGGAAAGCGGGGTAAGCGGGGTACATACCTTTACATGTATTCTCTATATTGCTACACTGTGAGGCAGCTTCTACACATACCATGGAGGTGGGGTAAGCGGGGTAAGCGGGGTGCATACCTTTACATGTATACTCTACATTGCTACACTGTGTCCAGCACCTATACATAGGCTGGAAAGCGGGGTAAGCGGGGTACATACCTTTACATGTATTCTCTACATTGCTACACTGTGAGGCAGCTTCTACACATACCATGGAGGTGGGGTAAGCGGGGTAAGCGGGGTGCATACCTTTACATGTATACTCTACATTGCTACACTGTGTCCAGCACCTATACATAGGCTGGAAAGCGGGGTAAGCGGGGTACATACCTTTACATGTATTCTCTACATTGCTACACTGTGAGGCAGCTTCTACACATGCCATGGAGGTGGGGTAAGCGGGGTAAGCGGGGTGCATACCTTTACATGTATACTATACATTGCTACACATTGCTACACTGTGTCAAGCACCTATACATAGGCTGGAAAGCGGGGTAAACGGGGTACATACCTTTACATGTATTCTCTACATTGCTACACTGTGAGGCAGCTTCTACACATGCCATGGAGGTGGGGTAAGCGGGGTAAGCGGGGTGCATACCTTTACATGTATTCTCTACATTGCTACACTGTGAGACAGCTCCTACATATACCATGGGGTAAGCGGGGTACATACCTTTACATGTTACATAGAATATATTAGTTACTACATTGTTTCAAGCTCCTACATGTATACATAAACACTGTGCATTGCTACACTGTGTCAGGCACCTATACATAACCTGGGAAGCGGGATTAACGGGGTACATATCCTTATGTATATCTTATCCATATTAAATGATTTGTTTACACAATGTTGCATTAGTTGTGTGGATGTACACTAAAAAACTTACATTTTTTGGTTTTGGTTTGACTCCCAAATAACTATATAAAGTATGGACATTTATTTAATTGGTTTTTAATAAATAATCCTGTCTGGTTGTGATATAGTCATTTCACAGATACATCTACATAAAGCCTTGCCTGTGTATTTGTAATAATAACTAGTAAAAAACATTTCTTGAATATTGGGTACTTACTAAAGTGAATGAAGCTTATGTGTAACTATGTTTATTAAGAATGGTAATAAATTTAATTGTTATGAAGAATGTTGATATTATTCTTATAAAATGCACCTTTTACCAATGTATTCCTAGTAACCTTGCGTTGTGCGCCGTGCGTTAACATTTCATTGATTAAAAGTGCAGTTCATTTCCATTTTTTATTTTTACCAGAATGATGTTAAAAACTGACACATCTTGAATATTATTTATTAAATTTTGTTGGTGAGGACGTATTTATTGTTATGTTCATGATGGGAGCCAGGACTCGTATAGATGGCAGTTAACTACTAGGTTGTTCTCTACAACTGGCCCATTGGTTAATGTGTAAATATTGCTGTTTTGAAACTTCAAATTCTCTGCATATAGCAAATAAATATCATATTTTCCTTCATCATTATTTTAATTTACAAACATGATTTAAGATTCACAATTAGAAGTTTTGGATATTTTCAATAAAATTTATCTGTGTCAATATATATCTATCTACCTGTTATTTAATTCGTAAATACTTTAAAACACTAGAGAGATTTCGCACATAAGTGAAAGTACAACTTATACGTATACGTATACTTTAAAGGGTCATGTCGAACTATTATATTTACTAAAATCAATTTCAAATTGTACTTAATGGAACATAACTATTCCCGATATAGAAAAGCTCCATCAACTAGAAACTGTGAATGCACGTGTAGATTATGCACATTATACTTAAATGCTTACTTCCGTGTCCTAGTAGTTGTAGTGTATTATAAACACGATCTTTTAAAGTGAGTCATAATCCTTTAAAGCGTGTCATGACATAAACAAGTTGATTATTTCAAAGTTTTCATGATCAGTATAAGTTCAATGAACTTACAAAACGGTATATATACGAGATGATCAACGTATGGAGTTGGATCTCCGTATAAAGCTTTACCTGCATGTGTGTGGAACAATTGACCGCAAGCATTTTTAAAAACAATTGGCTGAGTAGGAACAGTATCCAATCCAGGGCCGTCAGATGGGGGGGGGGGGGGGGGGGGTGCGATGGGTGCGACATTAAGCTATTATTAAAAATGCGTATATGCTTATATCTACGCCTAATGTAAAAGAAAGTGATCCTCGTGTTATAACAAGTGATCATGATATTAAATTTTCCCAATACACATTTCGAACATGTACTAACTTAAGATGGTATTTTGAAATTTGCAAAGTATGGATAATTTATATTTTGAAAACAAAATTCAATATGTTAAAGTTCATCCTCCTATCTCAGCTGCACATCTTCTTTGCTAACTTTATACATCACGGGGCGATGCGCGCCATATGTCTAGTGTAAACCATCGTCCACGAGGCAATAATAGTGAAAATGGCAAAGTCTACCACAATATCAAACGTTTAAAGGCAATTGTATTTTAAGAATTTCGTTTACATACTTTGGAATATAGTATAAATTCATTTTTGTCTATATTTGTGACAACACGTTTTACTTGTTTTATGTTCATTTTCGTAATCGAATCATTTGCCATTCTTCTTTTATTAATTGCGTCGATGCACTTACAGTATATATCTCATAAACCCTATTCACGTCTACCGTTTCTTTACCCTTTCTCTTTATTAGCAATCTGTATATCACGGCATGGGCTCTATCAGAGCCCATGATCACGGCAATAAGATAAAATTGGAATTTATCCGTCGGCCCAGTATTAATTTCTTGCAAATTGTTCGACAAATATTCGAAAGATGTTACATGTTTCTTGCTGGCTTTTGTTAGTCTCCTTCTAGTTTTTTTCACATTTAATTCCTTTTTTGGTTTACCATTGTTACAATTTTTTGAAGGGCAAGCACACGATTGCTGACATTTTGCATTTTTTGAAGAACATGGGCATCTTCTACCTACACAGCATAAGATTTCTTTTCCACTTCTTATTCGGTTGACACCACACCTACAACCTTTTTTACTACCTCGATCTTTCTTAGTTACAGAGCGTGCCAAAGAATTTGCGTTTCTTTGAATCAAACTGTCATAATGACCCGCTGAGCCCGCATTACTTAAGGAATTCATGTTTGAGACGGACCCTAATTTCAATTTGAAAATTCGCCAATTTCCCTTGGAGTTTACTTAAATGCCTTGGGTAACGAATGTACAATTGTATACAGATATATACTATATGTCTATTTGAAAAAACATTTTAGAATTTTTTTCACTTTTTAACAAAATCTATTTCACACTTAAGTGGCTTTGAGTGTGAAGTGTATGGGAGATATGTAAATACATGTGAAGTATGTACCCCGATTACCCCGCCAGCCACGGTACGTATAGTAGGATGAAGTGTATGGTAGATGGGTAAATACATGTGAGAGTATCTACCCCGTTTACCCAACCAACCACGGTACGTAATATAGTAGGATGAAGTGTATAGGAGATATGTAAATACATGTGAAGTATGTACCCCGTTTACCCCGCCAGCCACGGTACGCCTATAGTAGGATGAAGTGTATGGGAGATGGGTAAATACATGTGAGAGTATCTACCCCGTTTACCCCACCAACCACGGTACGTAATATAGTAGGATGAAGTGTATAGGAGATATGTAAATACATGTGAAGTATGTACCCCGTTTACCCCGCCAGCCACGGTACGTATAGTAGGATGAAGTGTATAGGAGATATGTAAATACATGTGAAGTATGTACCCCGTTTACCCCGCCAGCCACGGTACGTATAGTAGGATGAAGTGTATAGGAGATATGTAAATACATGTCAGAGTATCTACCCCGTTTACCCCGCCAACCACGGTACTTACATGACTTATAGTAGGATGAAGTGTATAGGAGATATGTAAATACATGTGAAGTATGTACCCCGTTTACCCCGCCAGCCACGATACGTATAGTAGGATGAAGTGTAAAGGAGATATGTAATTACATGTCAGAGTATCTACCCCGTTTACCCCGCCAACCACGGTACGTAATATAATAGGATGAAGTGTATAGGAGATATGTAAATGCATGAGTATGTACCCCCGTTTCCCCGTACCCCCGTTTACCCCACCAATCTGTGCGAAGATGTGAAACAGGGGAATTAGGGCGAATTAGTAAGTACTACGTGCACGTGTAGAGGAGAATACACAGGCAAAACGGATGTGGGCGAGATTCGCGCATGTAAGGGAGTTAGTACTACGTATACGTGCGCACGTGTGGAGGAGATTTCACAGGCATAACTGATGTGGACGAGATTTGTTGAATTTTCGTGACTGCTTGCATCGGTCACGATGTGTATAGGTACCTGACACATGTTGGACATTGAGCTTAGAGACAAATGGTGTGTCATAGTGTTCGTGGAATTACACAAGAGGAAACTACATATGAATTGATGTGGCTTGCATGTGAAATGTAGAAATAAAGTTTGAGTGTATGTAATGAGAATTCCCAAATTTGTAGTGGACACAAGGAGAATTTCCATGGGTGTCCTAAATGGGAAAATGCTCTAAGTGTCGTGACTGCTTACATAGAACCTCTACCCTCGAGCGTTACTCAGATGCGAGTAGGTAGTTACCAGTTTCGCCACCAGGTGGCTGATTCGGGGGAAATAACATGGCAGGGTATTACAAAATTCCCTTAAACTTGAATATTCATCAGTTTTAGTGGTTCACTTTTCATATTACACTTATGTATCTGATAGTTATACAAATTAAAATGTCCAGTAAAAGAAAGTATTACATACCTAGCGAAGCATTTGTATGGAAGTCAATGGGAAAGTTAGCGAGCTATATCCACCGATATTGCCCGATTACCCCGATATAGCCCGCTTACCTCGTTTTGATATTAGATTTCTTTAATAACCATGATAATATCATGACGTCACGTCATTGATACAAAGTAACCATGGGAACAAAGGCATGTAATACATCAGTTATGTCACTATGACGTGAAATATGCCTTCGTTCTTGCCCAAATATAGAGCCTCCCAAGGTCGGCCTATATTGGGAGAACTCAGGCATATTTCACGTCATAGTGACATAACCTCTAAATATTATCTGCCCGACACAAGAAAAGATATTTCCACTTTTGTGATTTTACAACATGGGGGCTATGGGGAATCTCCCCGACCTTGAAGTCACATCTTCAAAGAAAATTAAATTTTCAAAGTTGATAAACTCTTTTCAAAACCATGTTTCCAGATGTAATTTTACATGTAGATTCCAAATATGACATCAATTTGACTGAATTTTGAATTTTTAATGACGTAAATCGAGATTATTTCTACTCGCATCTAGGATATTAGGCACGATACAAGCGTATCGACTATCGATACCCACCTTGAATATCGGTTTAAAAATCTAAATCGTGGAAAATGGTAAACGAATGATAAAAACATATTTTCAAGCTTTGCATGGGGTCTTTAATTTCGTCCATTCCTTCATGTGTCTACAATACGAATGTAATGCACTTGTTACTCCTAACCTATTTTATAGAATCAATCTACCGAGAGACCATTTCAAGAGGCAAGTACCTCACCTTTTTCGCTCGGTGGCAATGGGCACGCCCAGTAGTATGTTTGCATTCCTTTATAGAGCTTTCACTTCCATCGCAGTCTAAATTTGCGAGGTGTGTAACACCACGGTAGTTTTTGTAGTGGGGATCTACCCCTAAAAAGTTGTGTAATTTGATTAGTTCAATCAAATATAATCATAAAACTGTAATAACGCATAGAGAAGACATCTGTTTATGGTGTTATGTATACACATACATTATACACTCTTTGTAATGTCAATGCCATAGAGGATGAACAGCATTTTTGTTAAAATGTCAATTTTACTCCAATTCCAGAAATGATTTGTTTTCAAAGTTGCAAATAAAATTCCAGGTTTTCAGGAATTTTCTGACAATGATAAATTCTATACATTTATGTCCAATGATAAGATTTCTATATACGTGGCAAAAGCCTGTGGCCACATGCTGAAGATTAGGGAACATCACCTGTTGAGGTAATGTCCCCGGTGTCCTATAGGCCGTTAACGGTCTTGGGTTAATTGTACATTTTAGTGATATTTTATATGTGATGTAATTGTTTTATACATGTATTTGTTATATAACCAATGACACTTTAATAATAAAATTTTACAATACAATACAAACCATTCCATAGTACTTGGTTTAATTTACTCCGGAAAATAACAAATCCTTTTAGTAAAAATGGTGATCTTATATTCTAAGGAAATTGAGAATGTGTTTCAAGATGAAGTTGGGAGCTGAGATAATATATAGCGCATTCTCAAGGGAATTGGTTATACTTTCAATAAACAGCAGACACTCATCTCATATCTGTATTGTATAGATGTAAAAAAGCTAAATTGCTAAAGTAGTGTCGGAATTGCAAAAATAAGAAAACATAGATTTGACCAAGTGGGTAAAGTTGGCTGCATATTGGTAATGGGATTGTGATTCAACCTCACCAGCAAGATGCGAGCTTGAATCTCAATGCCAATACAAATATGATCTCCTATTGGGATTCGTAACTTCTGTTTGAATGTCAATTTGAATCCTAATATGAATCTCAGTATGGTTACTTATATCTTTGCAGCAAATGTGTCCGAATCTCAATACCATTACAAATATTTTCTCATATTAGGATTCACCAAATCTGTTTCAATCCCAGTTTGAATCCTAATATGAATCACAATATGGTAACTTATATCATTACATGCCCGTAGCCAGCTTTTTGTAAGGGGGGGGGGGGGCCCGCAACCCCCCCCCCAAAAAAAAATTCCCCATGCTAAACCAAGCCCCTTTGTATTGTAAAGGACAGTGGCAGATCTGGAAGCTAAAAAGGGGGGGGCACACTTCAAGTCAGAAAAAAATATCTGTGCTTGCGCGGAAACTTTTTAGGGCCCTAAAGCCAAAATTTGAACCTAAAATTAGAAAATCTATGGCACGTTTTTTGAAAATTTGGCCTAACATAGATAAAATAAGACCCAAAAAGGTTAACTAATGCCCACTAAAGAGGCCCTACAATATTTTTTGGCCAACATTTTTTCTGGGCCCATCCTACATGTCCTAGGGCAGCGCAGAAATTTTTTTTAGATTTGGCCTAGAATTGAAAAAATAAGGCACGCCAAAAAGGTCAAGTAATGCCCAAAAAGGCCGACTAAAAAGGCCCTACAATATTTTTGGGCCAACATTTTTTTCTGGGCTCATCCTATGGCAGCGCAGAAAACCTTTTAAGGCCCAAGAACCCAAGTTTTGAAAATTTATAGCCCATTTTTCGAAAATTTGGCCTAAAATTGAAAAATAACGCCCAAAAAGGTCGAGTTAAAAGGTCAAGAAAAGGCCAACTAAAGAGGCCCTACAATATTATTGTCCCAACATTTTTTTCTAGGCCCATCCTAGGGCCGCGCGTATAATTCTTAGAGCCCTAAAACCAAAATTCTGGCGAAAATTCTGAAAATTTATGGCCCGTTTTTTGAAAAATTGGCTTTAAATTGAAAAAAATAAAGCCCGAAAAGGTCAAGTAATGCCAAAAGAGGCCCACTAAAGAGGCCCTACAATATTTTTGGGCCAACATTTTTTCTGGGTCCATCCTATGGCGGCGCGGAAAACCTTTTAGGGCCCTAGACCCAAAATTTGGGCCTACATTTTGAAGATATATGGCCCGTTTTTTGAAAATTTAGCCTCAAATTGAAAAAATAAGGCAAGCCAAAAAGGTCAAGTAATGCCCAAAAAGGCCCACTAAAGAGGCCCTAGAACATTTTTGGGCCAACATTTTTTTCCGGGCCCATCCTAGGGGGGGGGGGGCATGCCAGAAGGCTATATTTAACAAAACAAAGCACAGTAATGCCAGTTTTTTAATCTTAATTGCCCAGTTAATGTGGGGAATAGCAAGTTTTTCTTCAAGGAAGCAAAAAGGTAGGTCCACATTTTTAGGAGATATCAGGGGGGCCCGGACGAGCCCCCAGAGCCCCCCTGGCTACGAACCTGGAATTATCGCATCCTCAACACCATTTTTGGTGCCGGAACAATGGTTATGCCTTAAACTTCATTCTTACATCGTATAAATAGCTGAATCACATCTAGGATGCTTGAAAATACTCAAAACATGTACAAATTTTCCAATCCAAAAATTTTCAATCAAACTGTATGGCGGCTTACGGAAATTAACGATTAAAACCGAAAATAGGCGAAGTAGCGGAACTATGGCTTGCGGAACCAGAATATCCGATCAAGATCGCAAAAAAGTTGGTACACCTACCGAACATCTACATCAATAATCATTTTTAATGAGATTAGACCGCAAAAAGGTAGGTCCACATTTTTTAGGGAGATATCAAGGGGGGGGGGGGCTACGGGCCTGCATTATATAATTTTGATTTCCCTGCAGCAAATGTGTTCGAATCGCATTACTAATATAATTCTGATCTCATATTCAAATTGGGATTGAAACATAGTTGACGAATCCTAATGTGAGATCATAGTTGTATTGGTACTGAGATTCAAACACATTTGATGCCAAGAAAACAACATCCTTCGCTATAATGATATAATTTAAATTATATAACTTTAGGTTAATAGGTCCTCTTCTGTTGTACACTATCACTGATTTTTTGTATCTCCGGCACCATTGACTTAACATGTGGATATCATCATATCGACTTTGATTTAGATTCGTGATAACTGAATAAAATTCGCAGATCCCGAGCTAGATCCAGTCCACATTGGTAGTAGGCCCAATAAAATGATGACACATTCTCGAAATGTCTGTTTCTTGACTACAAAAGCTCATAGAAAAATAATGAATAACGACAAAGATAATTGGTAAAGTGTTGAAAATATAAAATTTGACATACGTATTGACATTTGACCTAGATAAAAATTGACCTTATTTTCATATTATCCCAGGCACATTCCATAACGAACCATGTAAGTAGCTAAAGTAAGCTCTCCTTGCTGCTTGATGACAAGGAAAAGAAAAAAACTGGCAAAAGCAATAGACTTCCTATTTTCGAGCAAATAAAAAAAAGAGAAACAACACAGGCAAAAGCAAAAGACTCGAGACTTTCAATCTGGAGTTTAATAAGAATATGGGCAAAAGCAATAAACAGCCCCTTTCAGTCACATACATACACAATACTATAAAGGGGAAATTGATGAAATATTGTGTTTAAATTGACTAAAATATGTCATTTCAATTTTAATGTAAGTCTTGGCCATTAATGCCAATATGACACAACCAATTAAATAATATAATCAAAAAGTAATTTACCCGATTTGACAACTACAGGGATGCTATTTTTAAGGTCAAATCCGAGCTGTCTACATACAACTCTCCCATCATTAACATCCCAGGCATCATCGTGGCACACGAATCCCCATTTCCCATTTAAGTAAACCGACACACGTCCTTCATTCTCATCTCCGCCAACCAATCGAACATCGTAGTTTTCGTTTTCCCCTAAAAATTAAGTTAAATGCCGGGATCCCTAAATTAAATGAGTTCTAGGAATCGATAAGATGTTGAGCTAATACTTGCAATCTAATGTTGCTCCTGATTTGATTAATCACCCATCTGTACCTTTACTCAGGCAACATTTTTTGTTTCTTGTATTTTGTTTCCTTGGAATATATCTGTTCATTTCCCCTTGTTTTCTTTACCTTATTACAAAGAAACCTCTTATTTTCTTGATGCCCCTCATTTTCAAATTGATTGGTAGTCATTATATTGTTTTAATTTGTTTGCAACATTTCATTTACTTATATTTTCTTTTCAATTGTTTTATCATGTGGCAAACTCAACATTTGAGTTATTTACTGTCAATTATCCCCGTACAATGCGTTAATTCTGCCGAATAAAAAGTGTTTTTCTAAATAACCTAGCCTTCTTTTAGAGAACACGATCTTGGGACAAGGCCTTGGGAACAAATTACAGACGACGTGATTGAAATGCTCGCATGGTTGACTTTTCGATCGGCTAACAGAATGATTCTAGTACAATATCCTCAACAATCATCTAAGTGTCGGGTTTTACACAATGCATGATATTGGAAAAACAACTGGAATAAGAAAAAATAAGAAAATGAAATATTGTAAACGGTAATACAGCCTTTACTTATTTTACATGGAAAAGGAACGCCAGCTAGAAAATAAAAAAAATTTGAAAATGAACAGATGAAATAAGCTTAAGTTATTTGATCTAATACATTCGGATTAATTGGCCAGGAACACGTTTTCAGTGTCTGAAAAATCGGAATGATATGAAGTTTGAAAATAGATTATTGAACAAGTTAGACCCGTATTATGCCTCAGTCACATTTGATCTACGGCATCCGTACGGCGGCTGTAGCTTCCCGAAATCGAGAGAAATACACAGGATAAAATATAGGGATAAGTATTACAATGCTGATTTCAGTTCTACATCGATTTGTGAAACTACGGCCGCCGTAAAGCAAATGTGACCGGGGCTTTATTTATCATATATAAGCAATATCGCAACCAAAACACTACCTACTATTAATAACTAAACTACGTCTATAACTTACCTCTAACTTTAATCATGCACAGTGATGATAAAATGAAATAGAAACACCTCATGCTTGATCAATTTGTCGAAGCAGCCAAGTCTTTAAGATTTTTGCCCGTGAGATGGGCATGAAAATACACCTGTTATACATGCTGATTATGTGGTATCTTTATTATCACGATTTCATGTTTTACAGTCATGTTTAACGAATAGTAAATACAGGGTGTTAAAAAAACGCAACCCAAAGAAATCGCTATATCTTGGAAAATGCTTATTCAATTGCACTAATTTTTTCAGGAAAGAAAGAAGAGACTGTGTATGTAGAGTTCCTGTAGTTATTTACTAGTAAAACATGAAGCCTTGGACACCTGCTCAAAATACATTAGTATTAGGAAGATACAAAAACCGCAGTCAAAGGTGACTACCACAGCAATAAAACTGAATAACTTTCTAACCATAGTGATTTGACACTTCAGATTTGGCACAAATTATCCTCATCAAAATCACTCCAGGGACTTTACAGTCATGGTCAAAATGCCTTCTTAAGTATGCCTGAACCAGGGCGTTTGACTGCATTTTGAATGCATTTCGACCATAACTGTAAAGTGATTTTGATTTCACTCTACAGATTTACCATACTTTGAATGATGATGATTTGTGCCAAATTTGAAGTGCTAAAACACTATGATTAGAAAGTTATTCTGTTTTATTGCTGTGGCAGTCACCCCTGACTGCGTTTTTGTATCTTTCCAATTCTAATCATTAGAAATGTCTTTTGAGCGGCCGGGTGTCTAAGGCATCACGTTTTATAACTAACCAACTAAGGCAGATAGTATGAAAAAGGAGACCGAAAGTATAGAAAGTATAGACAATGTATAGAAAGTATAGACATTGCCATAATTCTGGATATACCTCCAGGAGCTATACATACACAGTCTCTTTTTTCTTTCCTGAAAAAACGAACATAATTGCATCCGTATATTCCAAGATATAGTGATTTCTTTGGGTTGCGTTTTTTGAACACCCTGTATATATTGAGTTGGCTCTTACATGTAACACTCCGTACGTTAACAATTGTGATTGAATATTTTTCTAACCTTCAAATACCAGAGTGGAAGCTGTCGAACAAGAAGCACAGCATCTTACTTGTGATTTAAAATGTTGACCAACCTCATTATTTGTTGATGAATATATTTTAAAAGCCAGATGATAGGGTAATTGTACATGATGGACATGATATTCACCTTTAGTTCTAAATGTTATATTGCTAGCATGATAATTCATTAATGTTAGAATATAACATGTACACAACTCAGATGTTGGGCTAAAAATGAGCGGATGCTTTATTTTTATATTCATACAGACATAAAAACCGCCCTTATAACATATTTACAAAAACATTTTAAACTTTTAACACATATACACTTAGAAATTTAACCATTGGGTGGGTGGGTGTGGCTTTTAAAAATATTGCAATAAAATGGCCACGTCAATTACACAGGTCATGTGACTTAGGCATCTCGACTGGCTTTGTATAAAAAACCTCCTACCTCATACCCACCTACCCACGTACGTGGGACATGATACAGTCTTTAAAGGGTTCAATTATAAAAATCTTAGTTTATTAAATCTTAGGTATGATGAATTATAGATGCATTTGTAAGGACCCTTGATAGCAAGTTGCTACTACATCCCAGCTGGATTCGATTCCCACTCGGGGCATCGAGTTTAGTATAATTTCTTTCAATTTCTTTATCTGGCTTGTTAAACCTATGCTCGCGGTCGTTAGTTATTTATTCCCCTGGGGCGCCCTCGGGTCGACAACCGTAAAGCGGCATCCATATGCCTTTATTTATGGATCTGTCTAGTCATATAATAAAGCCGGAATTGTAGAAATGTTAATAATTTGAGCTATTTTGGGATTTAATAATCTTTAAAATTGAACCCTTCAATGACTGTATCATGTTCCACGTAGGTGGGTAGGTGGGTATGAGGTAGGAGGTTTTTTAATACAAAGCCATCTCGACTGCTAGCGACATCTTTCAAACTCACATTAAACTCAATTTATTTTTAATAGAGAGCAAGTAGAGACGATGCACACCAGGTCATGACATTAAGCTTTGTAAAGAATCATAGGATGCTAGATGCTATATCGAGCCAAATGTTAAAGATGTACTAAAACCGTTGCCAGAATCTTCTATTAGCTTGTACTTAGCGCAAATAACAGGTCTTTCATATTTTCCCACAAAACACGATTTATTCAAACGAAACTTTCACCCTCTGAAATGCTGCTGGGCTTTAGTTTTTAACATTCAGGGCCTATCTATTTTTCAGTTTTGGTTCCCAAAATTTTAAATTGGGGGCCATTTTATTTCTCGCACAGTTACCATTTTCTTTCGTTTCAAATTATAATCACGGTGTATAATAAGTAATAAGTAAGATCCAAATCGTCAATATGTTGATATCAACAATTATATAAAGATCGCGAGACATGAAATGACAATAAAAAATACCACAAATCACTATGTGGAACAGGTGTATCTATATTGATAATAAAAATAATACATGATGCACACATCTCCACGAACAGCTACTTCGATAAGTTCAGTAAACATGAAATCCGTGTATTTTATGTTATCATCACTGTGCATGATTGAAATTAGAGGTAAGTTTTACATCAGCACAATAATATATAGCTGTTTTGGGTGCTCTGCTGTACCCATTTTCAAGTTACTATGACAACCACTGCACAGTGGCAAATACCAATATATCCTAGCCTTTTCAGAATGGTTAATGCAATGTATCTTACCACGTTAATCTTCATATTTGATGCTAAGATAATAAGGAAATTTACGATATTAGAATATAATCTCTTCGGCTTTGACAATGACTTAACCCCACGCATATATGAGGATATGAGGAGGAGACTATTTTCTAGTTTCAGGTAAGATCGTGAACAAGGACTATGACGTAAGATTAACTGGTGGAAACAAGAATGAAGGACGGGTTGAAGTTTATTTGAACGGTACATGGGGAGGAATATGCAAGCCTGGATGGGACGTGAAAGATGTTAGGGTTGTGTGCAGACAACTAGGATTCCATGATAGGAACTTGAACGCTATTGTTGGTTTTACATGGTGTAAGACAACAACTAGCTCACTTTGGCAATTCTAAAAAATATCATAGAAAATTGCATGAATAAATACTTTAATGTTCCCAGTTGATTTACAATATACCAGCACGACGCAGTCAGCTTTTAAATACGTAGTCGGCATTTAGCATTTAACAGTGACATACGATAAGAACCACCGTTGATGTAATGACACAAAAACGTGTTTCAGATGCGATTAAATGAAAATAAATAAATATATATATAGATTATTTATTACATATTCGTATTATATATATATACAATACACATGCTCTCTATTAACTAGCACCTAAAATATTAAAACATTTTAACCTATATGTTTTAAGTATGGCACATAAAATGATTACGAATTAATGTGTGTTGATGTAGCAATTGCAATAATGTCTTTATTCTTTTAGATGGAAGACGTAATCAAGCATACTCCCTAACAAATGTAAACTGCAACGGAAGTGAAGATTCTTTGAAGGATTGCAAACATGTTATAGGAGAAGACGAGCAATGCAAATCAAAGAATATGATGGGAAAGGTTCAAGCTCTATATTTTTGGGGTTAATTTTGCCTCCGTTATGTTATCGATTTTCGACTCAGTAATTCTTTTATCCATTTTTTATTCATTGCGCTAAATGTGTATTTCATGAATGAGAGGGGATCCAAAAGGCCACTGTGGAAGTTGGTAGTCAGTAAAAATATTGCGACAATTTATTTGGTAAAAAACTATTGGGAAAATAATGAAAAAAAGTATTTTCAATGTTTAATATTACACGAGAACCTGACCCTTTTTTATACCATACAGTTGCCAGGGGATGCAGTGGCTGTTTGCAAGCCCCGAATAAGACTAGTCGGAGGTCCTATAAGAACATCAGGAAGACTGGAGATATTCTATAAAGGAGCGTGGAGACCTGTTTGCTATAATTGGTCTTATGACACATACCTTTGGTACCATCATGACTTCATCATAAACACCCTTTGTGAGATGGCTGGATTTACTCCACAGAATGCTTACCGTGTAGTATTGAATGCGTTTGGACCTCTCTCGCGAATGAATACAACGCTTTGGTCATTTGATTTCGACGTTACAGCACAAGGCGGTCAAGATACGTATACAATTTATATCGCTAGTAATTCACACCTCTGGGATGGATTGCAAATCACTGGGAGTGCCGAATGTGTGAACGGAGAATATGCAAGCCTGGTATGTCGCAGACCTCAAACAGGTAACACAACATCACACACATGTAACGATTGATGAAGAAAATTTAGATCAAGAAGAACATTGAACTTCAAATAACACTGAGATTTACATAACATAAAGCCCCTGGCAGGGGACTGTGGAAGCTACTGAGTATGGGTATTACAGTTTTTTAATATCCGTGCTCCGTAGCTGCTAGCTTCAAGATTTGCTCTATAATGTCTTTACTTTCATTTTGTTTCACCAATTCTTGAAAGGGTAAACATGTAGAACTCTACGCAGGTCTTGTTCTAGCTTTCAATTCACAATTCCTATCAGCCTATTGAATTGAACAGTTTGGCCAAAAGTAGTAAAATACCATGAACAGTTGGACATACATTGCCATTAAAACTATATCAAACTTGAAATTTCATTTTATATCAATGAACTTTAGAGATTGCAACAGAACTTCGAATCATTGGCAAAAGTGGTTATAGTGGAAAAGTGGAAATCATGAACTACGGATACTGGGGAGGAGTGAGTCGAATAACAACAGAAGACCTTTATAAAGTCGTGTGTAAACAATTGGGCTTCAACCCAAATAATGCCTTTAAAATGCTACCCCCAGAGGATTATACAAGAAAATCGCCAATATTTAAAAAATTCTATAACTGCACGGGTAAGTAATTAAATCAAGAAATTTTTTTATCAATAATGCGACTCTAAATCTAGATAATTCTCATTGTTTCATAAATCAATAACAACAAAATGTATAACCTACTCAAGTACTTTATTGGCGACTATGAATTGGCGAGTATATCCAAATTATCCATGCATTTTATTAGGCAATGAAATAAGAATAAGGGATTGCGGTCAGGGCTCTTTACAAAAGTCTGACAGTTACAATCGTATAAGAGTTTACCTCAAGGGAAACGACCTACATGTCACGTGTAAATTCAAATTACGATTAGTTGAAAATGAGCCCAGATCCAAAGTAGGCAGAATAGAAGTCTTACATAATGGAATATGGCATTCCATTTGCCGAAAACTTAATCCAAAGAGCGCAGTGGCGGTTTGTCAGAAGCTTGGCATGAAGTGGAAATTTGCTCAACCTGTAGACAGTGTTCCGATTTTGCCAAAGAACAAAAACACACTAGATATTCACTTCGTGAGTTGTACCCCCTACTTCGATCAAGGTCAATGTTTGAAATCAATTGGAAAATGCTCTGAACATGACGAAAATTTGGAAGCCTGGGTCTCATGTAAAAGTGTATTATTCAGTGGTAAGCATGATATTAGATATTCATTATACTAAAAGTAGTAGTTCAATATAAAATTGACTTTTTAAACATCATACTAGTATATAATGATTAGCAATCATCAAATTTGTCGTTGTAATCCAAATTTCGTCAACTTATCCTTACCATTAATTGTTATGAATTATTACACCCCATGTAACATACACCAATAGGGAAAGGTCCCACTTGCCCCATCGAGTCCCAAAAAGTCCCATGGAACTTCGTTAACTTTGCCCCATCGAGTTACACCATGCCCCATCAAGTCCCATAGAAATGATGTCATTTAGTCTTGAATGTTTTGCCGCGGCCATTTTGACCCAAGCCACCTCACACATCACATGATCAAAAGTCCCATGAAGCCCCATGAAGTCCCACACAATGTTAAGTCTATAGATGTCCCACCTTGCCTTGGATTTTAATATTGAATTGCTCTACTGATTGAATTTAATTTTCTATTAGATCCGAAACCAAATAGTCAGCTTCGTTTAAAAGATGGTTCGTCTGGCCAACTCCAAGTGAAAGACAGTTTGGGTGAATGGTTCCCTGTTTGTGGCACCAACTGGACAACAGGGGCTTCTCAGGTTGTTTGCAAACAATTGGGATTTAAAGCTCACTTTGGCTTCACTCTTAAATCATATAAAATATATAACTATATGGACTACAACAGACAAATTATAACTAACATAAACTGCAAAGGAACCGAGAAAAGTCTGAGAAAATGTCCCTTCACTATATGGACGGCGCTGTACGGGAGTGCAAGTGCTTGGCATAAGGAACGCGCATTAGAGTGTGGAGCAAACGGGATACAGTTATCATGCGTTGACACATCGATGAGGCCTCGATTAGTTGGAGGGCATACCAATACTACTGGTCAACTTGAAGTATGGTATAAGAAAACATGGCACAAAGTTTGCATTGGTAAAAAAGAGTCCATCTACTCACGCCAAAGTAAGAGAATAGCAGAGTTGACGTGCCTTAGACTGGGGTATAAGTACAGTAGAGTTGGAACATATGGTTCATTTATCCAAAAACAAGAACAAGGTCGAATAACCAAAGGCATTTCACTGGTATGTGAGGAATATGATGCCCTACACATGTGTGATGCTAAAAGAGCGCATTGTGAAGATTACAATATGTACTTCATTTCATGCTTTGACCAAGAACCAGGTAACTGGGTAATGCTATGTCAAAATAAAGAACAGTTTGTTCCTTTAATCAAATATTGAAGTGATCAAAAGTATTTAAAAACAAAAATTAGAAAATAACCTTTTATTAATAGTACAACTAGTCCTAAATATAAGCAACATCGCAAGACTCCTCCCGTCTCCCACTTTTGATTCACCATCATCGCAAAAAACAAGACAAGACCAAAAAGGGACGTGGGGGAAATTTTGACTCATTTCGGACATCATTTTTTACCATGAACAAGGATTAAATTAACAGCGTACATTTTCCACACAAGGATTCTCTATCTTGAAATCATATGCTTTTTCAGAATTAACCGATTTCGTCGACTTTGAAGGAGGTCTTCTTGACTATAGGCACTATGCCCTGTCAGATGGAGTTCTCATGATTGATGTTCCAAATAAAACTTCATATGAGAAATTCTATATTTGTGGTACTGGATGGAGCAACAGCGAAGCGAAAGTTGCATGCCGACAGCAAGGTGATGTATTCAATATATTGCCTAGGTTTATTCCTATTTAAATTACGAGCACAATAATATAATTTCTTTTTAATCATTTTGCTTTGATATATCATCAGGATTTGATCCAAAGGATGCTGCAATTGATACATTCTCCAAGTATCCCTGTTATGAAGACTACCAGTTTGATGATGCTACAAACCGTACACCGAGTATCAATATTTATATGAGTGATGTTATTTGTAATGGTGATGAGTACAATCTCGCTGACTGTTCATTCAACTATGGTGACAATGCATCATGCCCTGATGCAACAAGGGCAAGTGTTATATGCGATGAGGTTGACGTTCGACTGAAAAGTGGTAAAACGGCGAACTCCGGACTAGTTGAGATTTATGTTGATGGCGCGTGGAGAAAAATATGCTCCTCAACTTGGGATACGAAAGGAGCTAAGGTCATTTGTCAACAGCTCGGTCTACCACATGGAAACGTTTCAACATATGAAAGAAAAGTTCCAATTACTTGGAAGAACGAGTTATCATTCATTGATGATGTGCAATGTACTGGAAACGAGCGTCACATTGGTCAGTGCAATTTCAATTATGACAATAACGATTTTTCTGCGCTGATTTACCCCAGCTGTTTTGACACATCCGATTATATATATGATAAAATGTATTTTGAATGGAAAGACTGCAGCGGTCGAAAGGTATCTGGAGTGATTTGTCGATAAACTTAAGGTGAATCTTAACTCCCAAGATGGCCGAAACCAGGAAGCACCACGGTGGAAGCACATAATTTGACTTACTTCTTTCGGTTGGATTTTCTCTCATTTTTTTCGTTGCATTTATCATTTATCTAACCAGAGTCATTGTGGTAATGCAAATAGGAACACTAAACATGTTGGAATGGAATTTTAGTCCTTTGAAAGAAGCACGGAAAAGGTCATTGGGATTTTTTTTGAATTTTCTCTGAAACATCCCTAAATATCTCTCTTGCAAATTAAAAACATTGAACAAGGTTCGATTGTACAAATATGAATTAAAGCCCATACCAGATGATTTATTTATTAAGATTTATTTGGGTTACTTAGTACCTTTTTGGCTCACCCTGTATATTTTCTGAAAATTTCAGATATTTTGGATCAGTGGTTTTTCACAATCCTTGAAAAAATCTTGTCAAATCGTTCTTAAAATGGCACTTCTTTTCTCAAACTTGTTCTTAGGAAGAGTTTGAAAATTGCAAAAATTCTCACATTTTCCAGAAAATCTGCGAAGATAACCGTAACCTTGAGCAGGTCAGCCTGGTAATTTGGTTTTAAATGTATTTGGTCATTCATCACTTTATCACTTTATACCAGGTGTCTAATATCACGTGTCTAACTTTTCCACATAAATATATATGCAAAGGCTCATTCGATCTGCGTTAGACCATTTAATAATTTGAAGATATTACAGAATTTACATATAATTACGGTAGAAACTAGTGTCATATCCAAATGCTTCAAAATCCAGATAAAAATATTCCAAAAGTTGTTTTATATATCTGCGACTAATCTGTCTTTTAGTGATGTATTTTTGAAACTTGATTAAACTATGATCCCTATTTGATTCATGAAGTGACGTTGGGGGCTTGAGCTTTTTTTCCCATGCCAGTTTTAAAATATCGTCCAATTCAGAATAAAATTCTTTTGCGATGCAGGAATTTCTTAGTCCATTGTCAGTTATGTTAGAGGCGCTACGTATAATACTTTTTGTATAATCTGATATCGGGGAATTTGGTGGGATAAAATCTTTGTAAATCAAAGAGTCAATTATGCGTTGAAGGGCATCTTTGATATCTAAGCAATTTCCCGATCTTTTCAAGTCTTTTTCATCGAAGTGAAGGTTTTGTCTGATTTTATTCATTGTTGAATTATGTTGAGCTATTAAGTGACTGACATTTGCTCGTTGTAGTATCACTTCCGTGTCCTGTTGCATGGTTTCTAGATGCCCAATATAGTCATACCCAACGCCACACGGATTGCACAATTGCTGGATTGTCACCCAATGTTCATTACCTCCACTGATGTTCGACTTTTTAATGCTGGAGAACGAATATGAGAGAAACTCTTCAAACGTCACATCATGCCCACATGGGTTTGAAGTTACATTTGAATTGTTACGAAATTGTTTGATTATCTGTCTACCCCACGAATCCCAGAATTTGGGGTTAGGGGTATAAAACTTATCTATATAGGCAGAAACTAATCTCTCAAATGGTTCTCTAACGAAAATGAATTTATAATAAGATTTAAGAATATATTCCTGTTGTGAACGATTATAAAACGTCATACGCTTTCTTGACCCAGTAGACAAAGTTTTGAATAATTGCTTCCAAGTTGTGCAGCCAACCTTCGGCACGTAGCAGTAGAGTAACTTATGCTTCTCGTCTACCAGCATATTATCAGTAAAATTAGCACTCAACGCCACATTTGATTTGCTGCATATGGTTTGAAGGTTTCTTGGTTTTGTAAAGTATTTACTACCGATATTTTCCAAGTCATCTATACGTTGGTTCATAGATGGTACTGCAACATGAGATGGTGGTCTGTTGAGATTGTGATGTTTAAAGCGTTCTAGTAACAACTGAAGTAGAAATGCACAGCATAATGTATCTTAATATTTAAAAATATTGAAACATAACAGATTAGGATTAGATAAAGTTTGGTCAGCCTGTAAAACATTAGACCAATATGAAAAAGTCTACTTCAAAAAATCGATTTCTCGGCTTCATAGCAATGTGAGTAACTTCAAAAGTTGAAAGGGCAACCCGTCTTGACCAACGGGCTCCAAATCTCCGTTACTCTACCCGTCCACCAGATCTTCATCTATCGTCCTTTAGAAATCCGACCAGTCGATAGACATCATCATGGATATCCTGCATTGAATCTGTATTGTCTTCTTGTATCAATATATAGAATATACCTACAGTTACGCATGTACAAGTACTTTTAACAAGGATAATCTGTATGAAAACAATGTAGAAGAGTTCATTTAGCAAAAAAAGATGTACCAAAACAGTCGAATATATATTTTCTTATAATTCATACCTGATCTGTACACATTCCAAAAATAATTATGATTATTATAATTAATATAAGTTTAGAAAGTTCCTTTAACTTTGCCAGTTTCATAATTCTTGTTAATATCTAAGTTCGAGTTAATTGGCCTCAATGCTCTTCGTCCAAATGTATTGGTATCATATCTTATAGCATTAGATTGGTCCTCTTGATGCCAGTCATATGCCTCAACTTAATGAGTATATGCCCACAAACGCTTTTTTTACGATTATGTTGTAAGTATGACAACTGTGATCTAGACATTCATCAAATCTAATGTTCATGCTGACATGATGAAAACGAGAATAGGGTTAATAAATTAACATTACAAAATGTCACCTCCTTCGAAGTAATTGCAAATTATTAAAGACGCCGATCGCAACTTGTTACAGGCGCCGAACGCAAATTGTTACAGACGCCGAACGCAAATTAAATTGTTACAGACGCCGAGAGGCATCCAGAAAAAAGATGGAGAATATAACAATATTATGTTTAAAAAATTAGAAATACAGGGTGTCCTAAAAAAGTGAAGACTTGTTGATGATTGCCATTGGACTACGTCTGTATGAACCTTTAGTCAATTCAGTTGATCTATTACTAAGAAAATAACTTGTCAAAAATTGGTCCACATTTTTTGGAACATATTAGCTTAGTCAGAGTGGGCGATTCCATAGGCCGACCATGAGAGCCAAAATTAAACTTATCCATTGAACGGGCAGCGTATATCTTTGACATTAAGAACAGACTGTTATAAATTATAGTTTTTATATTTAATTTATTTGAAATATAATATCGAATTTGTAAAAATATTTCACAATTACAGTTATGATTATTGGGTCTTTTATTCTCACTAAAATCTACAAATATGTTATGGTTATATTTAAGTATGAATGATGATTATACACAATATAGCTATACTACATGTACGAATGTAAACATTTCCAGAGGTATCTGGAATAGTCATAGAATATTAACCCATAACTGGTTAGGCTATAGAATTACAAGAGTGAATTGTAACTATACTGAAGAAATTCATATTCTATATACTAGAACATTGGGCGTTTATTGTTTCAAGTCAAAACTACTGACAATGTGGGCATTTCAGTAACTTTAACCAGCTTTAACTTTCCTCCTAAGTGGGTTAGAGGTACAAAGTTTTCGCTAAAGCATACCATACCTACTCGTCATCAAATTAAAGGGTTAATTTTCAATAGATTTCTTAAAATTCCCAAGTATAAGAAAAAAAACTTTCAACGTTCATCCAATTGGGAAATCATTGAGAAATCAGAATGTACTGATTTAGAAAACAGTAGCTGAATGGAAGAGCTTAGAGTTATAGCAGTTCAGACTGAATCGTGCCTACATTTGTCCAGTTATCTTGAGATTCTGTTTCATCACTAAACAGACACTTCTTTACTACTTTTTGGCCATTTTTAGTTTTTGTTTCTTGCTTGGTGGGGGATGTTGGTCTTTCTCATTTTCCTGAAATAAGATTAAAACATTTGTATATATCAAACATGTACAGATGATACTATGTAGATTAAGGACATTCTGATATACAGTAAAACCTGTCCATGTGGAACACCTTGGGTACCTTTAAAAAAAGTGTTTCAAGGTGAGGTGTTCCACTTGTAGAGGTTCATTGAGTCAGTTGTTCTTGGGACTCTGAAAAGTGTTCCACTTACAGGGGTGTTCCTCTTCTAGAGGTGTTCCACTTTACAGGATTCCATTTATATCTTCTTGGGGGTCTCAGGTACATGAATATCATATTGAATAAAGGAACATATACAGTATTTATATTCTTTAATGAACATAAAACTTCCAATTATAGAAAAATTTCCTGAGGTTTCTGAAAATGCTTAGTAGATGGGAGTGCAAGGCTGGGACAATGGATATTGCCCATTGTTAAAATTTGCCAAAGCTGTTCATGAACCTAAAATATGTTCAAGTATGGGAAAAATGGCCTGGAAATGTTTCTCTTGAGGGCCAGAAACAAAAATGTACTTTGCCTAAATTCCAATCAGTTTTAAAAAGAAGGATTAAATTACAGTAATTTGAAAATTTGTTTTTGCGTCATCATAGACTTACTTCATCATTTTCATCACCGCTTCCTTCACTGTCATCAGAATCTGACTGATTAGACAGAGCCATCTGAAGGCTGGCAGTGTTGATACGGAAATCACGGGATGTACTCACTTTAATATTTTCCATTAAATTAATCTGAAAAACATGCATATCAATTCTAAGTATCATTAAACCATAAAACAATAGAGTATGTTACAAGTAAAGCATAACTTGCATCATTTAACCCCTTTAACTTGTTTATAGGCATAAACATGACAAAATGTCATCATCTGTAGATGATTGCAATATTTATATACTGAACAAATATTTCACTCTATTGAGGTGAATACCTGTACATCTTTCACAAGTGATATTCCACGAAGCCCGAAGGGCAAGTGGAATATCACCTTGTGAAAGTGCTACAGGTATTCACCGAAAATAGAGTGAAATATTTGTTTTATTATATCACTGTCTAGCTAAACATCCCTAATATTATTAAGTCATAGGTTAACATTGAAATACATATATTCTACTCGGTTCGTCTGCCATTTTGACATACACTGAACTAAATTATTTAAACTGAACGAAAACAAATTCTTTGAAAATTCCCGGGAGCGTGGGATATCGCTAGATATCTCACGGTTGTCTTATCTGATTAGCATTGCCATTGAATATCGCCAGATATCCCACGACATGTGACCCGGTTTTGACCAATCATACTGTTGCTAGCTAGATAGTGATTTAATAATTGTTTATATTCTATCATTTAATTCATTACAGGATCCCTTAGCAGTCAGGTAAATGTAATTTCTAGGATATGATGAATTGTGGAATTTTTAGAATTTTTTAAACTTTGTTTTCATTAATTTTGAACATAATTCTGTTCTGGTATTAAAGACTACACATTACATGATAAGCTGTTATCTTACCTTGGACTTGTTGGAAAGCTGAATGAGGAAGCGTTCATATTGTTCTATACTAAATATGACATTGGGGATCAGGCGGGATTCTTTCAGAACTTTATTCTGAAACAACATTGTGGTGCAGTTAGAATCATATGATACATATGTTAACTACGGAAAATGTCACAACTTCATTTTTTGTATTGTTTATATTTATTTACTTCTAGTTAGTTAAAATAGTTGAAATACATTTATATATGAACTGCAAACAATTATAATCTACAACATAATATGTTAAATAAGTGAATGAATACTGCTAATCGGATGTTTGCCTTTCTGAGTCATAATGTCACTTCATGGATAATAATACATTACATTATATCTTATTTATGTGTCTTATCTCTTTATGATAATGCAAACTAGAGAGTATACCTTTCCTTTGACCCCTTGTCCATTGGCAGATTTCTTCTCAAGTTTTTTCACAGCTCCTGTCTGCTGCATGGGCTCAGGTTGTCTTTGCTACAATAATGAAGTCAATAATTTGTCATAAAATAATACACAGTAAAACCCGTCTAAGTGGATCACCTTTGGTATCTTTAAAATGTGTTCCACTTGGGAGGTGTTTCACTTATAGAGGTTCATCACCATTAAGTCATTTGGTCTTTGAATTCTGAAAAGTGTTCCACTAAGAGGTGTTCCACTTCTAGAGGTGTTCCACTTTACAGGTTTCAATGGAGATATCATAGATACTTGTATTAAATATAATATAATAGAACGCTATGAAAGATAATAATTTAATCTTATAAATACCTGTAGATATATGATCACCGAGTAGACATACTGTGTAAGCAATGTACCAGAGCATTTCACCAACCTCTCAAACTTGCCAGGCATGTGACCAACTTTCTGGTGGTAGAGACTTATATACTGAAACAACAATAAAATTATGAAATTAGACTTTTTGGTGGAATAGTCCTATATACTGAAACAGCAATGGGATCATGAATTTAGACTTTCTGGTGGAATAGACCTACAGATAGTTGGATCATAGAACTTGGTGCTTTACACACCATACAACTTTGTGTATATCAAATATTTTACAAACAGTGCGATCATGCAACTTGGTGACATACTCAAAAATTTACAACAGTGTATTTGCATCATAAAACTTGGTGATACTCTATATACTCACATATTTTACAAGCAGTGTTATCGTATTGTACAGCTTGGTGATACACTTTAGAAGATGGTCTGTAATGTGTCCTGGAGGCACTGCACTCTGGATAAGTTCATGTATTACATTGATCACTAGACCAAGGCGCACACATATTTGCTTCTCCGCAGTCTCACGTGATGTTTCTAATTGTGTCAAGTCTGTGTCTACAAAATAAAAGCTTCAATCAATCTCAATCTCTCTACATAGAGTGCTCCAGAGAACATCATTCATTGGCCAACAATATTTTATAATAAATAGCAAATCTGCAACTTATAAAGTTTTGAGACAATTTACAGTTCACACAAGTAATTTATCTTGGATTAGAAGGTTACAAATTAAAACATTAATTATAACTGGATGGACAATAAACAATGAACAAGGCATTAACATGAAAAATGTCACCACCTGCCATTTGTTACAGACCCCAACACAGTTCATAAAAATTGGTGGTGACATAAAAATCGTGTTAACGTAAACAGTGGAATTAAGATGACCAACAAAGGCACAGAACAACCTAAATGTGTAATTTACCTTGATTTTGTGACTCTAAAGCCGAAGCCTCTGCCTTGATTCGGTTGACTGCCCATTCAGTGTTATCCAGCTGTTTGTCTAGGGAGAGTAGCACAAGTGGGAATACAGTGGTGCAACTCTTGGCAGTTACAACACGATAATGACCACTTACTTCCAGCTCTATCTCCTAAAATGTTCAGCTCAGACATATCAGTGATTTGTTCTGTTATGTGTATTATGACATTTATGGGTGGACTTATAGAAATATTCTGCCATAGCTTATGGTATCTGTGATCTAATATAAATATAATAATGTCGACATTATATACATAAATAGGTAGTTAAATCTGAAGTTAAGTAAAATAATATTCAAATAATTCAAAAGTTTACAGAAATAGAATACAGTAAAACATGTCTAAGTGGAACACCTTTGGTACCTTTAAAAGTGTGCCACTTGAGAGGTGTTTTACTTATAGATGTTTATTTAACATTAAGTCAGTTGGACTCTGAAAAGTGTTCCATTATCAGAGGTGTTCCATTTCTAGGTGTTCCACTTTACACATTTTTCTCTCTATGTTTACCTGATCAATATCCCCTAGCAGGCTATGAAGATCTCGTCCAATGTCTCGTAGTAAAGACAGGCAACATTTGTGTCTGGATGTCAACTGAATCAACAGACTGACTAGCACCTTGATTAAACCATTGTCATCTACAAGTAACAAATTGTTCACAATGTCGGATATAAAAAGGGTGAATAATTGGTAACCAGTGGAAAGCAATGATGTTTTAATGTGCTCCAGGCAGATAAATGAAATCAAGTGGCAAATTTATAGGAAACCATGATTTTAACAACTGCAATTCACATTCCAAATGTCACCACCTGCCATTTGTTACAGACACCCCCCAAAAAGTTGAAGACTATTATAACAATATTTCAACATTGTGGTGGTGACATAAAATCAATAGGTCAGTAAAAACAACCCCTTGTCGTTAATTCCTGTTTTATATGCGTCCAGTTTTTCTGTTAAAGCAGCCATAACAATTTATTATCTTAATAGTGTCCCCAGGTATGGTAACACAACAGCTACTCCGAGAACATTAACAATAACCCTTTATTTGTATCTTCAACATTACCATTAGGTAAATGAATCAAGCCCAAGTGAATCGAAGGCAAGGATCATACAAAGTAAATGTACAATTAAAAAGAGGAACACTGTAAACCTGTCAAAATGATTCTGAAATTCTAAGACAGAGTATAGAAGTGATGAGACCATATGTAGACGGATGATTTCTAGATTTGATAAATATAAACATGTTTGTAAGATGCTATATGAAGTGTAATTTATGTTTATTGATTATTTGGTTATGTTGCCTGGTAACAACTGTCACTTTCCTGGGTGACTTGAAATTCTTCTTCAACCTCGAAAGTACTATGGACACAAGTTCTAATGAACATGAAGTTAAGAACCCGTCCACGCCTCTTCCAAAATATGGCATGGCAAAATCTCAATATAACAATTATGTGTTAAACAAAAAAATCGGGATACAGAACATTTTGGATCGTAATCCAAGTATCGCTGGAAAGAAGCTGTTTGACGAACTGGATGAAATCAACAATGAAGAAAGGTCAAATTTATACGAAACGGCTCTATTGATGAAAAAGGTAGAGGCCTTCACAGTACCACAAGACACAATGAAGTGCTATAACCTAACCACTGGGGAATTCAGGTTTAGTAATGTATGCAGGAAGGTGGAGTTTGGTTGGTTCCAGCCTCTGACAGCCCTCGCCAGTTACCCTGGTAGCGGGAATACCTGGACTCGTCACCTTATAGAACAACTAACTGGTGTATATACTGGTAGCATATATGATGCTAATGCTCTAAAAAGAGGGGGCTTTATGGGGGAATCGCGACGGGATAACTCTGTGATAGTAATTAAAACCCATGAAAGTCCAGCAAAATCCAATATAAGCTTCACAAGGGCAGTACTGATTATAAGGAATCCATTTGAGGCGATGATGTCAGAGTTCAAACGTGAATATATGCAAGAACATGGACAAATAGACAGCTTAGCAGCAACATATCTTCCTGATAACCTTTTCACAAAATACAAATCACAATGGGAATTTTTCTTTTATGGAAAACAATGGGCAGCTAATTACTGGTACAATTTCTATGCAACATATATCCAGTTGTTTTTGAATGGTCGGACAATAGAAGACCTTCTTGTGATCAAATATGAAGACATGAAAACAAATTTGGAAAGGGAACTAAGAAAATTGGCTAAATTCTTCAAAATTGATGTATCTGATAATGTCGTCAATTGTGTTGTTTGTAACGCAGAGGGGAATTTCCACAGGAAACATTACAAACGCAAACATGACACTGAAACTGATCCATTTGATGATGGCATGAAAGCCCAGCTGAATAAATATAAAGATGTTATGGACTGTATTTTAGATAATGGATTAAATGAAGATGGGACATTCTCAAGAAACAATCACACAATTATGGAACTATGCTCTTATAAACATGATTTTGCAGGTGCAGCATTCTAATCTCCATTTGTAGTATTGCACTAGTTTTTGTAACTTATCCCATATAATATACAATAAACAATATCAGGCCAACATTATTTGTGTTATTGCCTGGATGAACAGACAGATGAACTGACAGACATATGGATCAATAGAGGCATAACATTCATAAGGCATTAACATGCAAAATGTCACCAACTGCCATTTGCTACAAACACTGACTCCTGACCATCAGCCACCAAACACCGACTGCTGAACATCATCCAAAAATGACTAATGGTGACACAATAAAATGATTATGAAGAAAAGAACCTTCCTGAAATGGCAACATACCTGGTGTTTGCTCCTTGCATAGATTACTAGTCCAAGTGAGGAGTTGATCATGTTGGGGACTCACTGAGGGTAGTGCTTTACCCAGCTTTGCTATAGTTTCTAGTAACATTGAGGCTTCCTTTGATGGCCTATCTTCACTGGTCAACACACTCATCACCATGCGCTAGAAACACATTTGCTTTAAATTCAAATACCCAGTATTTCATAAGTTGCCATTATACTGTTGACAAAATATTCCATACTTGAAAAATTTACCACATTTAACAATAAGAGTCACAATTGTATATTTACTTCTTGATATTCATTTGAAAAAAAAACACAAAAACAAGTCATCACAAGTTACAACCTGGTAAAGCAATAACAACATGCCACCTCTTCATGGGCCTTTGAGCTTACATGCAGTAAATATCATAGACAAGGCATTAACATGCAAAATGTCAGCACCTGCCATTTGTTACAGGTGCTGACCACCAAACAACGAATGCCGAACACCAACTGCCATCCACAAAAAAGATGAAAACTTTAACACTTCTGGTGGTGACATGTTAACTTACTTGTAGTTTCTTAATGAACCTATGTATAGTATCTACATCTGAGAGAACATTGGTCTTATCTGGTGTAGTCACAGGGTCTGAAATGTAACAAGGTCACATTGTGAAATATAACAAGACAACAAACCTTCACTTCCCACAACTGCTACTTGAGAAATAGTACCATCTGGAACATCACATACTACTAATGCGCATCCCCATGAAAATTTTTACAGATACATTTACAGGTTACTGTACCTAGTTTAATGAGGAATGTCTGAAGACTGTCTGTGAAGCGTGTTTTTACAATGTTGATTGCGTAATACAGTCCCTCCACACAGAGCAGCAGAGCAGGCTTACTTAGTGCATTCAGGTGCGAGTCTGCATTGTCAGTTACATTTGTGTATTCCTTCAGTAGAATCCTTTAAAAATGTGGAAACATTTATAAGGGCATAGTTTGAAATGAAAAGATAAGTGAAATAAGGGAATGCATCAAACTACTGGAAAAATGTACTTCAAATTACAAAGAAAAAATGTAATTAATGTTTTGGGTAACTTTAGTTTTACATTCCATTGTTATATTATCATGAAATAAATAAAAAAAAAAAAAAAAAAGTCTAGAAAATCAGGTTGGAAGAAATACATCTGAGATTTTCCAACTATCTAAATCTGACTAACTATCAGAAGATTATAATCCAGGAAATAACTTGGCTGAAGCATGAGACAAAGTATTAGCATGACAGAGTGTTACAACCTGATAAATTAATGCAAGTTATTTCACCACCTACCATTTGTTACAGATGCTGAACATAATGCGTCAAACACCAACCACCGACACAAAAAAAGTTGGAGATTATAACAATATGTCACCATTTGTGTTGATGACATAATCAAACAATAATTCCCACCTTACCTGGCCAATGTTGTAACATACTCCAGTAGTTTCTTATGCGTTACATCCTCTGCTTCATCCGGTGTCCCTTTATCCGAGATCTGCTGTAGTTTCTGCACACCTACACTGAGAAGATGGTGGGTGAAGTCAGGACTGTTACGGAGGATAGCAAGACTCTCTTGTCTGTCTGGCATTTCATCACTGAAAATATAGAATAACATACATGTAATATACACTGAGAAGATGGTGGGTGAAGTCAGGGCTGTTACGGAGGATAGCAAGACTCTCTTGTCTGTCTGGCATTTCATCACTGGAAATATAGAATAACATACATGTAATATACACTGAGAAGATGGTGGGTGAAGTCAGGGCTGTAACGAAGGATAGCAAGACTCTCTTGTCTGTCTGGCATTTCATCACTGAAAATATAGAATAACATAAATGTAATATACACTGAGAAGATGATGGGTGAAGTCAGGGCTGTTGCGGAGGATAGCAAGACTCTCTTGTCTGTCTGGCATTTCATCACTGAAAATATAGAATAACATACATATAATATTCACTGAGAAGATGGTGGGTGAAGTCAGGGCTGTAACGAAGGATAGCAAGACTCTCTTGTCTGTCTGGCATTTCATCACTGAAAATATAGAATAACATACATGTAATATACACTGAGAAGATGGTGGGTGAAGTCAGGGCTGTTACGGAGGAGAGCAAGACTCTCTTTTCTGTCTGGCATTTCATCACTGGAAATATAGAATAACATACATGTAACAAACAGTGAGAAGATGTAATATCAGTATGTATAGGACATCCAATCAATTGAATGGGTTGATATAAACAATACTTATTATTTCAATTATGAAATATATGGTATGCCATTTGAACAGATTTTTTGTATACTTTGTACAATTTAAAGTAGAATATCCTGTGATGATCATTATACCATTATTAAATTATAGATACAAAAAACAGGCCAAAATTAGCTATGTCAAAATACAAATGCAAATGAGCCTACATCTTTATTAATATCTCATCTGATATGCCCAATCTTCAATTGATGCCAAAATCATTAAATTTGGACAAAAATTAAGATACATGTACATCCAAAAATGTATTTCCTCTTTTTTAACAACAGTGATTATGGAAAAGGGTATTTCAAATAACTTTTAACTATTACCTATTACTATACCAGTAAAAAGTTGGTATCTTCAGTTGACACAAAATGAGGGGGAGTTGTTTGTCGAATGAATTGGGAGAGTTTTTTCATGCATTTCACTTATGTTTTTCATCCAAAAAACATCAATTCATTTTAAAACCAATTTTCTTTTCAACATAAAATGGGTGAGGATGTTTGTTATGTGTTAAATTATTGCTCAACAATGTATGTGTGTGACAACTAAAATTTCATTTGAAGTGAATTTACAATTTTTCAAATAAAAATTCTTTCAAAATCAAATCATTATTAACTTGAACATTTTCACCTAGTCCATTTTGATAACATTAGTCAGGATAAGCCAAAGTAGTTTTAACTTTATATGGGGCCTTTAAATTTACAAACATTATTGTTTATTACTCCCCAGGCCAACGAGTGTATAGAATTGACCTTAACGCTTGGTATGCATAAAAGTCAACATGAAGAACAGCTTTTATTCGGTTGAACTGCACCAAAATGCACTGAAACTACGATTTTATTCATTTTTTTGAATATCATGAAGATTTATTGCGCAGACTATGAAAGAAGGACATGATGCATTACAAAACCCATTCAAATAAAATCGCAACCTTGAATAAACAATAAAATGTACAAAAAAATTTTTTCTGTTGGCCATGAAACAGCCCAGTAGGTAGAGGCAGAAGCTCCACAGTGTAGCAAATACCAAAAATAAAATATATTTCCACTAATCATTCTATCTAAATACATTACAATCATAAATACATGTATTTGAATATTTTGTATTTTGGCATCTTGAATACACCTCGTTTGACTGCTGGTGAAACAAATATTTGGAAACTTTTGATTGGTTTCATGAAGATCTTCAAGATCCTCTCAGGCATGACACACCATGAATATAGAAGATGGTATTTTGAATGAAATCTCAAAAATTAGTGCCATTTCCTGCATTTGGACAACCATTTTGTATTCTTATTGTCACACATCAGAAGCACAACAGAATATTTGTAATCTCCATATACTCTTAATAACCTCAGGTTTGAATATCATTAAGATATACTTTGGTGATTTTATGGAGACAATAATGATGTTGATATACTCTACCAAAATTTCATACATCATTCAATTATAATTGAATCATTGAATGATTTTGATATTCAAAATTGAAAATGTGTAAAATGTCTACCAATGGACACCATTCTACCAAACAAAATGCAAATTAGCTCACTAGTATTTGAGTCTGCCTAGACGGACAGACAGACTGACTGACTGGCTTCGCTACATCTCTACCAAAATTTATTCATTGGATAACCAAAAAATGTCAGCATAAAAATCTAGTATGGAATAGATGCAGCTGTGACTCGAGAGCCGGATAATATCTTATAATAATGTCTTACAATGATGCTGAGAACAGAGTGAAATTGCTAGGTGTTCTAACAGGACTACTGTCATCTACATCTCTAACATTTGGTGGATTATGTGTACAGCAGCTCAGTGATAGAGATATTGGGAACTTTCAACTGGTATTTCTCAGGATGATTCCACATCTTTTCATTGCTTCAATATGGCTGATTAAGAAACAAAATGAAAAAAATAAGATAACACATTTGGAGATTCAAAATGGTGTCTTCAATTTAATAAATAGTGTACTGTATACATTCTCAGTGTTCCTTTTGGTGGCTGGACTGCGCACCATGGCTGGTATGGGAAGCATCTACAGCATAATGAATTCAGGCAGACTGGTACTAGTTGTTATTCTTGCTCGAATATTTCTCAAGGAAAGGATCAACTTTATCAAATTATTTACAGTTATTATCAGTATAGCTGGGATCATATCTGTGACTCAACCTGATCTGATTTTCAAATATGTTAAATCTAGTGTTTTGTTACGACGATTGTGGACAGAAAGTGCTTCAGGAATCGATGACCACATTACAAATACTAGCGCTACAACCATTGGCACTACCAATATCTGTCCTACAAACTCAAGTATAAGCACTCTAAACTCAAGCAATGGTACTACCAATGTACCAGAAAGTATTCCACCAATTTGGCAGGGATACATAATTGTGTTTATAGATGCAGTCAATGTTAGCATATTGACAATAAGTACTAGTACATTGATTAAGAAAACCACATCGTCTCCAGAGATGTTTTTCAATATGAGTGCTGTTGGGATATTTCTCACTGGCATAGGGATATGCTTTGAAGGCTTCAAGACACCAAAAAACCTCCATGATGTCTTATGTATCATTGGCTTCACAGTCGGGAGCATTGGCTACAATATTGGATATATAATAACAATGAAACTAATACCAGCATCACTTGCTTCTATTCTCTTCACATTCACTATTGTCCTTGGAGTAATCTTACAGTATACCATCTTCCATAGTAGCTACAGTGGACATGCCAATATATTAGAGATACTAGGATGTTGTTTGGTTATTATCAGTATTCTATTGATACCTGTTCAAAACATTTGTCTAGATGAGAATAATAAACACAAAAAAGCAACATTACAACAGGTTATGATACGTACAAACAAAGACGTGGTTTTGACAAAATCTAAGACTTTTGAATTTCCACAACTTTACAAATCGAATGAATAAAACTATGTGTTAAGGTATTTCTGTATTCCAGAGGGAGTTTGGGAGTTCGAACCCCTTTGGCTAAAAATTCTTTCACAATCATGCAGTTTTCACCATTCTGAGCACTTTTCAAGTAATTTGGGCTATTTTTGGGCCAAAATTGTCAAAAGCGAACCCCACTGGAATTTAACAAAAATTGTACCCCCTTTGCAAATCCTGGCTACAGACCTGACCAACAGCTCAGTGATAGAGATATTGGGAACTTTCGACTTCGACTGGTCTTTCTCAGAATGATTCCACATCTTTTTATAGCTTCAATATGGTTGATTAAAGCACAAGGAGAAAAATAGATAACAAATTTGGAGATTAGAAATAACGTATTTAATCTAAAAAATAGTGCAATGTATACACTCTCTCCATCAAGGGTTTTGTTACCACTTGTGGACAGATAGTATTTCAAGAATTGATGACCATATTACAAACACTAGTGCTGTAGGAATATTCTCTCTCATAATATTTTATATCCGATGTATGTTTGGCCCTAAAAGGGCATCAGTACTAATAAAATCTTATTATTGTTGTTAACAAATATTTATGTATTACCGTACTTAAATTGTAACAAAGACTAAAACAATTATTACACTGGGACATTTAAAATGGGATCTGTTTAAATTGGTACCATGGTACACAGCTATTTACAGTGCACATTTGGTCAAATTAGGATACTGTATTTCATTATAGAAATAACTAGGCAATATCAATGTCTCATTCATAAATGTTATAAAACCTGTATAGTATGATACAAAATGTGTTAAAAAATGCAACTTTACTCAAAATTTGTCCAATGAAGATGACAAAATGATGTGTTTTACAAATGCAGTGGATCTAAATATTCAAATGGCAAAAAAATCATATTTTCGAAAGAGATTAAAATAACTCTTTCTGAAATCAACTTTGTAAAATCAAAAATGTAGCAAACAACTTTATGTGTGAAAAGAAATGTCTTGTCAAAAGTAAGGTAGGGTCAACACCAGAAATACCAACTCCTAGAGCTATAATTTTTAGAAGACTCACTCCTTAAGCAACTGATCACTATTTTGAAGCTATATGTATCAAAGTGCTGGATGTATTAACAAAATTGAACTTATTGTTTTGAGAAATTGCCAATATCTCTAGAACTGAGAAGACTATGAAAACAGTGATGCCAAAAAATTAGAATTCAGACTTATACAAATACTAGTAGTAGTTTTGCATTATGAATATGTAAGCACAAATTCCAACGGTAAAATACCAAAAATTGTTACAGAACAATTCACAATCTAATGTGAAAAGAATTCATACTTAGGTCATTACAATACATGTTGAAGAATAAATTGAAAATTGTTAGCCAATAGTCAAAACATCAAAAATAGTTGTAGATACTAGTATTCATAAAACATACAGCAACTAGAAAAACAGCAACTCCACGGAGTAGCAAATCCCACCAAACAAAACATGTTTTGATAAATAGTGGCCATATAAAATTTGAGCCAAATCCATCTTCTGGTATTTGAATTATCAAAGATTATGTTTTTATGAAACATGGTTGCCATTTTGAAATTCAGCTGTAATGTTTTGATTTCTTGTTTAGCAGAGCTCCTATGTCCCAAGGCATCAGCATATACAATTTAATTCAAATCCGTCAACTGGTACTTGAGTTATCAAGGATTACATTACATGTTTAATGAAAAATGGCAGAGATCTCGATAAATAGCAGCGACCTTGAAAATTTCTTCTCAAGCAGAGCTCGTTTATCTCTAGGCATCAGTATATAGAATTTGAAGTAAATCCGTCCAATGGTATTTGAGTTATCAAAGAATACCTTTATTTATGAAAAATGTCAGCCATTTTGAAATTCAGCTGACGCCTTTGAATCCATCCACTGGTATTTGAGTTATCAATTATTATGTTTTTTTACGAAAAATGGCAGCCATTTTTAAATTCAGTGGCCATTTTGAAAATGTCTTCTTGAGCAGAACTTCTTTGTCTCTTGGCATCAGCATATAGAATTTGAACCAAATCCGTCAACTGTTATTTGAGTTATCAAAGGTTACGTTCTTTTATGAAAAATGGTGGCCATTTTGAAATTTAGCTGCCATCTTGAAAATCCCTTCTCGAGCAGAGCTCCTATGTCCCTAGGCATCAGCATCACAGTGTTATAGCATGACGGTTACGACACCTCTGAAAACGAGATTAGACGACTATGATCACTGATTTATCAAATAAAATGGCCGCGATGGAACAGAAAACTAAGGTTGGTGCATTATTTTCTTCTACTGTGTATCAATGAAAGGATGAACGATTTTTGTAGGCATCGAATTCGGTGATGCATTTAGTAATGTATATTTTGAATGTATTCTTTGCAAATTAATGCCTGGGGATAACATGAAATAAGCGAAAAACTGTTGAGTTTGAAATTCAAAACTACACAAAATTTAGTAATTTGTTTATTTTTGTCGTTAGGGCAAGGTCTACATTGCCTCATGACCTCAGGTTATATAGATGTAACCTAGATACGATCATAAAAAGCCAATTGAGCATTGGGAACCACCTAATATGTTCTACTTAAGCCATAATATTGTATTTTTAAGTTGCGGTTACGCAAAAAATTGATTGACGGTTACGCGAACCTCGTTCAAATATGTATCCCAGATTCATTGTTATTAATTTTGTCATATTCATCAGTGCTTGATGCTAATTCTTCTTTTGCCTCTTCATTGCTATCTTTTTGACTTAAATTGGTTCCATAAATAAAGCAAGACACAATTTTTTCCTTGCCCTATAGAGGCTCAAACAAGAGCGTCTCTTGCGAGTCCTGAAAACAACAATAAGCAATTCAATATTCTATTTCTTACCCATTATAACAATTACATGGAAAGAGGCTTTCAGAACTAGCAACCTTAACTTGAAAGATGTACATGCACCTAACCGTCTGCTAAATATCTAATGTACATCTTATACAATACATTAACGTCCATAGAATTCATACGTGAGTCATCTAACGACATTGCGTTTGAAACATTATTATTTACAATATGACCACCTCCCTTTTCTGGATTTGTCATTTTATTGCTTATTTATACACAGTTTACTTACTGTTAATAGTTTGAGTAGCTCTGAGGCACAATTACTGAGAAATCACGAGAATGGACTAAAAAATATGAACTTGGACTCTCAGTCGGTAAGTTTACAGCTTATTATATATTCCGCTTCTAGTAAACAACCTGGCAGATTTGACCCAGTCTTTATACCCATCCATATATATGTCACCGAATGGAACTAGTTGAAAAGGAAATCTTATCTGTGAATCTTGCCTACAGGCGAGAAAGAGGGCATGCTGTCTTTCCCATCCGCCATTTTTTGTTATCGTTACAAAATTTTGCAAATCGCCTTGACGTAACCGTCATGCTATAACACCACGAGCATGTAAAATTTGAACCAAATCCATTCAACGGTATCTGAGTTATCAAAGATAATGTTTATTTACGAAAAATAGCCGCCATTTTATAATATGGTGGCCATCTTGAAAATGTTTTCTTGAGCAAGGCTCTTTGTACCCAGGCAACAGCATATAAATTTTAACCAAATCCATCCACTAGTATTTGAGTTATCAAAGATTATATTTTTACCGAAAAATAACCACCATTTTGAATTAAGCGACCATATATTGAAAATTCCTTCTCGAGCAGAGGTTCTACACCCATAATGCATAAACCTATAAAATTTGAATGAAATCCGTCAACCGGTATTTGAGTTATTGCCCGGACACACAAACGGATGGCTTTTCTATATCCCCCTCGAACAAAATAATCAGTCTCAAATGATGTGGGATAAACAAAATCCAGTCTCAAAGTCCATAGGCATTTCAAAGGGTCAACGTCCGGTGGTCCAAAATATGGCGAAAAAAACAACTTTCTTTCGGATCATCTTCCTCATTTGACTTACTGTTGTCCATGACCTAAAACACCTGCACACCAAATTTTGAGACCCAAATCCCATGGGAAATTTACCCACGCTTCGACTGAAAAATTCGGTTATTTCATGATTTTTTGCTTTTTTCGATAAATTGCCATCTCCTTTTTCCTGGTGTAACATGGTCATTTTCCATTGTTTATATTTCTTCTATTCATATTGACCAATCCCCATCCATGTCATTTTAACAGGTCCCTTCATTACTTTAAACCAGTGTTTCAAATATTTAATTCCAATGTCTTCAATTCTTTTGTATACTTTCTACTTTAGCTTCCTTTGTTTAAACCAGTTTTTTAGCTTTTCATGGTGTGATTGTTTCGCACTGTTTTTGTATTCAATATAATAGCCTTCACTCACATGTAACTGAGTTGGGGTGTTGTCTTTACTTGTTAGTGTTGCCTAGAGTTTTGTGACTGTTATACACAGAGTATTTCAAATAGATATTTTAGAGAACATTTTAACTACATCTACTGTTACATTTTATTGCCACCCACGGGCCTTCCACTCGCCCAATTACATTGGTACCAGGAGTGGGGTTTCTCACGTGTGTATCCTCTGATGCAGAAAATAGCAATTCCCAAATAATTCCTGCATTTCTATTTGTAACTTCTCAACATCTGGATATAGTAAAGTTCGTTATAATCTAGCATCAAACCCACTCATAAGCCATTACGGCAATTAGGTATCCAATAATAGTTTTGATCCGTTTGATGGCATTTTATCTACATTAAGATCCAATGGAAATCCAGGTAGGACATTAACGGCACCAGTTGGTTATTTTCTAATCCAATGTGCAATATATGTACTGATGGACGCTCTCTGTATGTTAAATCCACTAGGATATCAATTCACTAGTCTTTGATCTCGAATTACTTCCACTATTCATTTGGTATTTAGAGTTCACTATGTGTGAATTCTTAATTCAAATTTTTGAATGAAACTGTCAGAATATCGGTCAGGAACCTGATGAACGTTGTTTAGATGTGAACACCTTCCAATTCAAGAAAATATCCAATTGGTGCAATACTACATTCATCATTCAAAGATGAAGTATTTAGTGATCAGGGACTTTTTTGAAAACTCCTCTCAAAATGTGTTTTCATGATGGACAGTAAGCATTGGTATTTATAATCTCATATGTAAGTGGTACCAGGAGTGGGGTAGGCACAAATAGCGACAGTGGCGTAGGCAATATCGATAAGATAGCAGCAAAAGTGTTGAGAAACTGTTGATTTTGGATTTAATACAATAATGAAGAATGTGGATTACTATTCGATGATAACCTGTTGGTTCTGCAAGTCTCCAGGGCATACTAAAAGATGTTGTAAACTGTTCAAAAAAGTGAAGTTTTATATTTTCCATATTTTGTGGCCGAGTAAGGCTTAATGCGGGACGCATTAGGACGTGTCCGCGTGGATGTAACATGGTCATTTTCCATTGTTCATATTTCTTCTATTCATATTGACCAATCCCCATCCATGTCATTTTAACAGGTCCCTTCATTACTTTAAACCAGTGTTTCAAATATTTAATTCCAATGTCTTCAATTCTTTTGTATACTTTCTACTTTAGCTTCCTTTGTTTAAACCAGTTTTTTAGCTTTTCATGGTGTGATTGTTTCGCACTGTTTTTGTATTCAATATAATAGCCTTCACTCACATGTAACTGAGTTGGGGTGTTGTCTTTACTTGTTAGTGTTGCCTAGAGTTTTGTGACTGTTATACACAGAGTATTTCAAATAGATATTTTAGAGAACATTTTAACTACATCTACTGTTACATTTTATTGCCACCCACGGGCCTTCCACTCGCCCAATTACACTGGTATAAAATGTTTCTATTTTTTCATAATAAACATTTTTGTAGGACTCTTTATTACTTATAATACTAGGAGCCCAAACACCAAATTTTGAGACCCAAATCCCATGTGAAATTTACCCATGCTTTGACTGAAAAATTGTGATTTTCACAGTTTTGTCCGATTTTCAATAGATTACTGTCTCCATTTTCCTGGTATAATATGTTTCTATTTTTTCATAATAAATATTTTTGGATGACTCTTTATTACTTCATAATACTAGGAACCCATACACCAAATTTTGAGACCCAAATCCCATGGGAAATTTACCCATGGTTTGACTGAAAAATTGTGATTTTCACATTTTTTCCGATTTTCAATAAATTGCTGTCTCCATTTTCCTGGTATGATATGTTTTTATAATAAACATTTTTGAGGACTCTTTATTACTTTCTAATACTAAAAACCCATACAACAAATATCCACCAAATTTTGAGACCCAAATCCAATGTGAACGTTACCCATGCTTTGACTGAAAATCGGTGCTTATGATAGCTTATGATGTTTTAGGGGCATAATATGTTAATAAACATTATGGTAATTCCTTCTTAATCCAAAAAAACACCTAAATATCAAGACTTTAAGTCTTATTGAAAGGCGACAAATTCAGTAGTTTGGGGAAAATTTAGGATCTTTTACTTGTACATTTATATACTGTGGTTAATATTAAGAAGTGATGACTCGACAGCAACTCAAATGCCTTGAAGATTTGGTTTGTTGGTTTCAGTAGGGATACATCACAGGACTTTGTTTGGATTTGTGTGAGATGTTATATTCTTTCTCACATCTTTGCAGGGTAAGGTCAAACATCAAATCTGATTTTCTTTGGAGAAATGATTTTTTGATTGATCAATGTACGTATCAATGGCATGGTCTCTGTTGTAACCAGTAAGCCTGTACCAAATCTTCAAGGGATTCGAGCTTCCACTGAGCTTTGTCATTTCTCTGAAAATGTTCATGCCCTGAAAGTACACAATGTAGAAGATAGGAAGAGCAATGAGAAACACTTAAGGTAATTCTGTATGTTCAGAAATTTTAAGTGGAGTCCAATGTTATTTCTGGAACTCATTCCATACTTGGTCAGCTCTTTCAATTTTACACTGAGTTCAAATATGTATTTAGATTATTAGTTGATGGTTAGTAATTTTCTATAATGTACTATGTGCTATGTTTATATACTGTTTGTGCATCTGAATGGAATGAGTTATGTGTTCCTGAAAAAACACGGGGCTCCAATTAGGAAGCCATTAAAACTGAAAATAAGGAATTACCTTCAAGTACTATATAACCATCTTTCACGATGTAACGTATGTAAGGCCAAACAGGATAATTAAGACAACGTGTAATACAATTTATTACAAATTGCACATCACACAACAATGATATGGTGCTCTAAAGGACAAAAATCAAAAGTATATGATCAAAGCAAACGTGAATTTCCCATGGGCTTCAGGTCTAAACATTTGGTACATATTAAATGTTTGGGTTCCTAGTATTAAGAACGTATTAATGTCCTCCTAAAATGTTTAAAAACTAAATATAAGATTAATGTTGATCTATTGAAAATAGGAGAAAATTCGCAGAAAGTCACAAATTTTTGGTTGAAGCATGAATTAATTTCTCATGGGGCCAGGGTCTCAAAATTTGGTGCATATTTGGGGTATGGGTTCCTCGTATTATGAAGTAATAAAGAGTCCTCCCAAAATATTTATTATAAAAAATAGAAACATATAATACCAGGAAAATAGAGATGTATTGTATTGTATATGAAATAACCCAATTTTTCAGTCGAAGCGTAGGTAAATTTCCCATGAGATTTGGGTCTCAAAGTTTGATGTATGGGTTCCTAAGTATTATGAAGTAATAAAGAGTCATCCAAAAATATTTATTATGAAAAGACATCTACCATTTTATACCAGGAAAATGGAGATGGCAATCTATCGAAAATAGCAAAAAATCATGAAATAACCCAATTTTTCAGTCGAAGCGTGGGTAAATTTCCCATGGGATTTGGGTCTCAACATCTGGTGTATGGGTCCTAGTATTATGAAGTAATAAAGAGTCCTACAAAAATGTTTATTATGAAAAAATAGAAACATATTATACCAGGAAAAGGGAGATGACAATTTATCGAAAAAAGCAAAAAATCATGAAATAACCGAATTTCCAGTCGAAGCGTGGGTAAATTTCCCATGTGATTTGGGTCTTAAAATTTGGTGTGCAGGTGTTTTAGGTCATGGACAACAGTAAGTGAAATGAGGAAGATGATCTGAAACAAAGTTGGTTTTTCGCCATATTTTGGACCACCCTAACGTCCATCCACAAATCTGTTGCCAGAAATATATCCCAAACTTTCTGGCATGTCTGCTTGCATATACAGAAATTACATGCATATGCCAAATATAAAGTGTATACCATGCCAAATATCACATTGTAAAAAAAATCAAATGAAGAAAATAAAAATTACAATTTCATTTATAGTAGACATTACAAGCAGTGAAACAAATAGAATTTACATTGAGAAAATAATTATAATGTCGTACAATGATTCCAACAAGAACCAAGTGAGGTTGCTAGGTGTTCTAACAGGAATACTGGCATCTACATCTCTAACATTTGGTGGATTATGTGTACAGCAGCTCAGTGATAGAGATATTGGGAACTTTCAACTGGTCTTTCTCAGGATGATTCCTCATCTCTTTATTGCTTCAATATGGTTGATTAAAATGCAAGGAGAAAAGAATATAACATATTCAAAGGTTGAAGATAATGTCTTTAATTTAATAAATAGTGTGATGTATACAGTCTCAGTGTTGCTTTTGGTGGTTGGACTGCGCACTATGGCTGGTATGGGAAGCATCTACAGCATAATGAATTCAGGCAGACTGGTACTAGTTGTTATTCTTGCTCGAATATTTCTCAAGGAAAGGATCAACTTTATCAAATTATTTACAGTTATTATCAGTATAGCTGGGATCATATCTGTGACACAACCTGATCTGATTTTCCAATATGTTAAATCCAGTGTTTTGTTACGACGATTGTGGACAGATAGTGCTTCAAAAATAGATGACCACATTACAAACACTAGCACCACAACCATTGGTACTACCAACATCTGTCCTACAAACTCAAGCATTGACACTCTAAACTCAAGCAATGGTACTACCGATGTACCAGAAAGTATTCCACCAATTTGGCAGGGATACATAATTGTGTTTATAGATGCAGTTAATGTGAGCATAATGACAATAACTACTAGTACATTGATTAAGAAAACCACATCGTCTCCAGAAATGTTTTTCAGTATGAGTGCTGTTGGGATGTTTCTCACTGGCATAGGGATATGCTTTGAAGGCTTCAAGACACCAAAAAACCTCCATGATGTCTTATGTATCATTGGCTTCACAGTCGGTAGCATTGGCTACAATATTGGTTATATAATAACAATGAAACTTATACCAGCATCACTAGCTTCTATTCTCTTCACATTCACTATTGTCCTTGGAGTAATCTTACAGTATACCATCTTCAAAAGTAGCTACAGTGGACATGCCAATATATTAGAGATACTAGGATGTTGTTTGGTTATTATCAGTATTCTATTGATACCTGTTCAAAACATTTGTCTAGATGAGAATAATAAACACAAAAAAGCAACATTACAACAGGTTATGATACGTACAAACAAAGACATGGTTTTGACAAAATCTAAGACTTTTGAATTTCCACAACTTTACAAATCGAAATACTAAAAGTATGGGTTAACATATTACTTAAATCCAAAGCTGGCCTGTTTAGACTTCCAGTCTGAATTTTAGTCAATCCCTTTCATCACAGAAATTGCCAGTATCTCTCAAACTGAAAAGACGTTGAAAATTGTGATTGCAAAAATAAATGTGCATATTACTGTGTACAACAAATAGCAGTTTTGTGAAACTAAAATGAAACATTTTGACACTTCTGCTTGCATATACAGAAATTACATATGTGTATCCTAAAAATAAAGTGTATGTGCATAATATCCCCATGTGAGCTCAAACAATTAAAACAAGACAAGAAAAATTGCAATCACATTATAATAGACAAATAACACCTGGTGAAACAACTTGAAATTAACATTGAGAAAATAATAATATGTCACAATGATGCCGAGAACAGAGTGAGATTGCTTGGTGTTCTAACAGGGATATTGTCCTCTACATCTCTAACATTTGGTGGATTATGTGTACAGTAGATCAGTGATAGAGATATTGGGAACTTTCAACTGGTATTTCTCAGGATGATTCCACATCTTTTCATTGCTTCAATATGGTTGATTAAAACTCAAGGACAAAATGCAAACGCTTTAAGAATACAAGATACATGCAGGCCTAATATTTTTAGTTTAATAAACAGTGCACTATACACAAGTGCTGTAGTCATGTTGGTGGCTGGACTGCGCACCATGGCTGGTATGGGAAGCATCTTCAGCATTATGAGCTCAGGAAGACTTGTACTAGTTGTTATCCTTTCTCGGATATTTCTCAAGGAATCACTAAACCTAATCAAAATATGTGCAGTTGTTACCAGTATAGCTGGAATCATATCTGTGACTCAACCTAATCTGATTTTCAAATACATGCAATCCAGTATATTGTTACAACCATTTTGGACATTGAATTCATCTTCAATAACTGAAGATCAAACTACATATGGCACTACAAACTTAATCATTGGCACACATATTGTACCAGAAAGCATTCCACCAATTTGGCAAGGATATATTATTGCCTTCATCGATTTAATAAATGTGAGCGCAATGGCAATTTCTACAAGCATTTTAATCAAGAAAACCACCTCATCTCCAGAAATGTTTTTCAGTATGAGTGCTGTCGGGATATCCTTCACAGCTGTAGGAACATGTTTTGAAGGCTTTAAGAGACCAAATAACCTCCATGATGTCTTATGTATCATTGGCTTCACAGTCGGGAGTATTGGCTACAATATTGGATACATCATCACCATGAAATTGTTACCAGCTTCAATTGCTACTATTATCTTCACTTTCAATATAGTCCAAGGAATACTTCTACAGTAAACCATCTTCAAAAGTAGCTACAGCGGGCATTCCAATATTTTAGAGCTACTAGGTTGTTGTTTGGTTATTTTCAGTATCTTCCTCATACCTGTTCAACAAATCTGTCTTGATAAAAATACAGACAAACAAACAACATTACAGGAGATTGTGCTACCTCTAAGCAAAGATGTGGCTTTGAGATATAAGACTTTTAAAATTTCCACAACTCAAAGACTATAAGGCAAGGTGAACATTGGCATATCCATCCAATAGGTAACTGATAAAAAAATGATTGAGAATTTCGTATTTGAATGAGAAACACACTTTACATAACTTTGAAGTACATATATGCACAATTTGAAGAAAAATCCAATAAAAGGTTTCCTTGAATAATTTGAATACTTATCAACATATGTACAAACGGAGGAAAAACTGATTTGTGGTTTTCCTGACGTTTTGATGACAAAAAAGTGGGACTCCAATAATGCTCACTGGTACAATTATGTTGTCATTTTAATGATACCACCAACAGTGTGACAAAAATTAAGCTTGTATTTGCAAATGCAACTTATAACAGCGGTCCGATTTACCTGCTATTTTATGGGCAACTTATCTAAATATAAATTGTACCTGCCACTATTCCATTCATATCTAAATTCGTTAGTCATGAAATATTAGGTTAATCCGATAGCCGACAGGCATTAGTTGCATTCGTGAATACAAGCTAGGCCAGATGTGCTTGCAACAACAATTACTGTATTTACATGTATCTATTGATTGAAATTCTAAAATTTTATGAAAATAGGTTACAAAGATTTATACACCAAAGTTAATATGGGAGAAAAAATTGACTTGAAAAAATCTTTTTATTCTCTCATATGTAAAAAATATATTTCATTAATTATTTGTAGCTCTTTTTTCATATTGAACAGTAATGACTACATGTATATATCTGTATATATTACAGGCACTTTTTACAATATTACTTTCTTATTAATTTTATAAAAAATTGTCATAATATAACCAGATCTACATTTCAGATTATTTGGAAGGACATTCTGTTTGCCCTTTATGGTATACACACTCATTATATTAGGACATTCCGTTTGCCCTTTATGGTATACACTCATTATATTAGAACATTCTGTTTGTCCTTTATGGTTTACACACTCATTATATTAGGACATTCTGTTTGCCCTTTATGGTATACACTCATTTTATTAGGACATTCTGTTTGCCCTTTATGGTATACACTCATTATATTAGGACATTCTGTTTGCCCTTTATGGTACCCTTATAAAAAATTCAACCTTGAAAGTCCGAATTTAAACCGTTGCACAATCCTTGTACAATCATTGATCCGATCATTTATGCAACCATGCCAACCGTTACAATGCAACCATTACAATTTTGGTTGTAAACTCATTGAAAATGTTTCAATCATATGTAAACATTGTAAACGCTTGACAATTTTGATTGAATTTCTTGCAACCGTTTCAAACGAACGCAACCCTTTAAACCTATGGCAATATTATCTCAATACAACATAAAATAATTATATTGCTCTTTAAAATATATATTTCAAATTTCATTCATGCATACATGTCAGAATTTAAATTTTTTTGATCAAAAAGATATTTAAAGTATTGAAATAGTTTAGTAAACTTGTCTTGTGAATGAAAAGATATTGAACCAATTTTATTGCAAAAACATTTGAAATAATTTTGATTGGGTCAAGTCTTGAATTTTACAAATTCAGACACTTATACTTCACCTTCACCTGAGTAATTATCACAATTATAAAGGAGGGAAGATCTGTCTGGAAGGAAGAAATCCTTCAATCAGAAAATAATCTGTTTATTGATTTGATATTTTTGATTTGATAGAGAAAATGCAATCAGACATTACAGGATGTGTTTTAAATAATTAAGTCAATAAGCATAACTTAAAAAATTCTGATTACAGAAAGACTCAGTCATCTTTAGAGTCTGCTTTGAAGGATGTGTCTAAAGAAACTTTATTAATCCATTAATCCATAAACAAAACAAAAATAATTCGGCAAGGCAAAACAAACCTTATAACAGAGAGATTTGATTAGATTCTGCTATAAAGGAAGCATCCTATGTAATATAATTATTCCATACACAGAACATGATAAATAATTTGCCAAAGAAAATTTCCCATATTTTCCTCCCCCCTCTGCATGAAATAGAGAATAAAAAAATATATATAGTATAACACAATATGAAAATAAATATAACAGAAACTAGGAATATGAACCCTATTTCTGGTCAAGCATTTTAATTAGCTGTTCAACCGTTTTAATTAGCTGTTCAACCGTTTTAATTAGCTGTTCAACCATTTTAATTGGCTTTTCAAGCAGTCTGATTTGCCTAAACCCATGAGAATATCAATATGTACATGTAGTAGGTATTGTTTGATCATCAGTCTGATCATGAACAAAAACCATTGTGTCTCATCTTGTGATTTTGTTAAGTTTAAAGGAAATCTTAAGATGTTCCTTGGAATTTTGCTCAATTCTTTTCAGAATTAACATCATTTTGGCAATATCTGATAAAGGGAAATAAACACTAAATATGGTACTTTTAATTTGTGTAAATAATGTAAATGACAGAGAACATAAATTATCATATGCCATTGAGTGGAAAATTAGTCTGGTATTGCATTCCTAAATTCGTACTGGAGAAAGAAACATATTAACATGAATTAAGTTATTTACTATAATAAACATGCATGTATGCTTGCAGAATCCTTACTTAAAGATAATTTTAATTCAGGTAAAATGATAATTTTTTGGAACGATACTAATTCAGGATGGTTGCAGGGGTTGAACTATGTAATCATTGAACAAAACAAATTGCAACCATTTACATTTCAATGTGAAATGGTTGCAGTTTACAATGGTTTCAGATTACAATCATTGTATAGAAACGGTTGCGCATTCATTGAAAAAGAGTTGACTTCGCTTGGTTGAACACAATGGTTGCTTATCATCGTACAATGGTTTTCCCTTTGATCTTGGTAGTTGAAACAATCATTATTCAATGATTGGTGGAAACGGTTTAAATTCGGACTTTCAAGGTTGAATTTTTTATAAGGGTATACACACTCATTATATTAGAACATTCTGTTTGTCCTTTATGGTTTACACACTCATTATATTAGGACATTCTGTTTGCCCTTTATGGTATACACACTCATTTTATTAGGACATTCTGTTTGCCCTTTATGGTATACACTCATTATATTAGGCTTTGTTTATGTATGTAACCATGTCCCAGCAGGTATACTTTCCCATATACTAATGGTCAATGACATTTCAGCTCGAATGAAGCTTGAATCAAAGTTTGAGAAAATGTCCACCATGTAAAAAAAGTAATAACATTAATAAAAAACTGTCATGCTGTTAACCACATAAGTAGGATTTTTTGATAAATTCAAGCTGTGTCTAAATTAACAGTGGCCCAGGTTAACCCTTTACCTATTGTATGTACAGGGTCAGAAAGAAAAATGCAATATTCAATCATAAAGTCAGGGTAATAACTTCCTCAGTTAACATGGGCTCTCCATTAATCAAGTGAAGATGTTTTGAATTTGGAAAGAAGTGCAATACATCATCAAATAGAATAAAAAATAACTAGAAAACAGCAACTCTCCAGGGTAAGAAATAACACAAACAAATCATAAACACATGAAATCAAAACCAAACCTGACAACTGGTATTTGAGATATCAAAATTTTATTTTATATGAAAAAAAGTGATGGCCATTTGAATTAAACAGCCATATTTAAAATTGTTTCTGAAACAGATTGTTCCTTTTCAAAAAAGACACGACCCTATAAAAATTAGACCAAAATAAAATATAAATTGAGACAAATATGCCAACTAAAATACAAGTTATCAAAATCATATTTCTGACAAAAATATTAAGTTGAAGCCATTTTGAATTGAGCAGCCATTTCAAAAATTTCTTCTCTAACAGAGATCCTTTTCCCCTATACGACAAAATAGCCTTTCAAGTTTAGTCTGAATCTGATAACAAATATTCTAAGTATCTTTTCATAAAAGTTGGCAATTTTCAATTCTTCGGCTTTCTTAAATTTCTTATTCAGCAGAGGTCCAATTTAAAACAAGGTTCAACAGAGGTCTTATTCCCCAAATCCTATTTCTTCATGAAAAATGGCAACCATTTTAAGATCGATGGCCATCGTGAACATGTTTTCTTCTGTAGAGGTTTGATGTCTCTAAGGCACAGAAAAACAATACAATAATTGTGGTCTACTCTCTAAAAAACTTTTGAGTAAGATGTAGACATACTACAAATTACTGTATATTACAAAAGCAGGTGGTAATTTTTGTTTTTCTGAGACATGAATCAGAAAAATGATGTAATATTTACAATCTACTGTAAAATGCTTTTCATCAATAACAAAGTCATACTTCAGAATAATCTATACATGTGAAATAGATAATCAACCAAAATTTTAAATAGCAATACTGATAGCTTTGTTCAGAAAAATTTAGATTTCCAGCCATTTTAAAAGTGGCAGCCATCTTGAAAAAGATTTCTGCCTGAAACCATTAACCAAAATTCAACATTTCATTGAATATGAAGAAAAATCCATTCGCTACAGTGTTTCAGTTATTTTCTTCACTTAATCCGAATTGAACTTCGTTCATTGGGTAATAAAATTACAACAAGGCACAGGGTGAACAATATTGTACCTAAAACATAACAGTGTGGGCTTGTTGACCCAGAAAGCAAGATGGCCATCGAAAAGTCAATCAGCTGTAGAACTTATAACCATGTAAAAATCCATTAAGTGATTTTCATGGAATTGCGATGACAAGATTTATCTAAAAACTTCCAAAATGGTCATCAAAATGTGTAAAAATTTGAAGTAAATCTGTTAAATGGTTTTCCTGGAATCACTATGACAAGATGTATCTAAAACTTCCAAAATGGCTGCCAGAATGCAAGATAACTGCTGAAAAGTTAATATGCTCTAGAACTTCTTACCATGTAACATGTGTAGAAATTTGAAATAAATCCACTGAGTGGTTTTCCTGGATTCACAATGACAAGATTTATCAAAAAATTCCAAGATGGCCACTGAAAAGTTAATCAGCTCTAGAACTTATAACAATGTAACATGCATGAACTTTGATGTAAATCTATGAAGTGGTTTTCGTGGAATTGTAATGACAAGAAAAGTGAGACTCTGACAACAACATCGCAACTTTTTTTAGTTGCAATAAAAGTACTCTATGGTAAAATAAGTTGAACTTACTTGCACATTCCAGTCAGAGCTCCAATAACAAACTTCATTGAGAGTAGACTGGTTGGTGATTTTCCTGAAGATTTTTTCTCTTTCTCTTTGGTAAGACGGATCAATCTTTGATAGTTGGCAAATAAGTCGACAATCTGCTGGAATCTTTCAGTGCTATAGGTACATGAAACACATCATGAAATAGTACTGTAATGTAATTCAAAATGCTGATTATTTTTAACACAATACTGAATTTACCTTATAATTGTTTTAGAGTGTGCTATGTTTTGTGTCGCACTGTAATAATACTAAGGCTTAATGAGAGGTAATATTTACAATTGGTATATTATATGTCCCTTTAAACAACATTATAGCAGTTCGTCAAAGCAGTATATGCATAATGCAAAACTAGGCAAAAGATTTATACACTGTATAATATATATATATTTTTAACCAATTTATTATTTTATATTCTTACCTATGTCCCTCCACATAGAAATTATACTGACATAGTGACTCTAGCAAGCCCAGGACTAAGATGGCGAATATTGTATTTTTGACACCAACACCTGTGTTCAAGGAGAAGTCTGCTGATTTATCCTAAAAGAAAGAAAAATATGCTAAGTGGAGAGGTCAAATTATTGAATCTCATGGAGGATTGTCCTCTCTTCACTTTTCTTTTTGTAAAAGGCTAGCTTTGTAAAAGATTAGACTCTGTTCCTTAAAAGTTATAATATCATGATTTGTTTAGCCTATTGCCCATAATACAACAATATTAAATTCTATGCGAGTTCACCTACCAGTTCAAAGTCTTCAAGTTCACTTTTAATCATCCGTCTAGATAGCGAATCCAGCATATCATTGATGTCATTATAGACATCTGTATCATTATCCTCAACATGTAACACACACTGTTGCATGGCGTACACTAGGTGAGCCTTAATATGTAACACAATATTATAGTACATAGTAACACACACTGTTGCATGGCATACACTAGGTGAGCCTAAATATGTAACACAATATTATAGTAAATAGTAACACACACTGTTGCATGGCGTAAACTAGGTGAGCCTAAATATGTAACACAATATTATAGTAAATAGTAACACACACTGTTGCATGGCATACACTAGGTGAGCCTAGAAATGTAACACAATATCATAGTACATAGTAACACACACTGTTGCATGGCGTACACTAGGTGAGCCTAGAAATGTAACACAATATTATAGTAAACAGTAACACACACTATTGCATGGCGTACACTAGGTGAGCCTAAATATGTAACACAATATTATAGTACATAGTAACACACACTGTTGCATGGCGTACACTAGGTGAGCCTAGAAATGTAACACAATATTATAGTAAAAAGTAACACACACTGTTGCATGACAACCACTTGGTGAGCCTAGAAATGTAACACAATGTGATAGTAAATAGTAACACACACTGCTGCATGGCGTACACAAGGTGAGCCTAGAAATGTAACACAATATTATAGTAAATAGTATCACACACTGCTGCATGGCGTACACTAGGTGAGCCTAGAAATGTAACACAATATTATAGTAAAAAGTAACACACACTGTTGCATGACAACCACTTGGTGAGTCTAGAAATGTAACACAATATTATAGTAAATAGTAACACACACTGTTGCATGACGTACACTAGGTGAGCCTAGAAATGTAACACAATATTATACTAAATAGTAACACACACTGTTGCATGATGTACATTAGGTGAGCCTAGAAATGTGACACAATATTATAGTAAATAGTAACACACACTGTTGCATGATGTACACTTGGCGAGCCTAGAAATGTAACTCAATATCATAGTAAATAGTAACACACACTGTTGCATGACGTACACTTGGCGAGCCTAGAAATGTAACACAATATGATAGTAAATAGTATCACACACTGTTGCATGGCGTACATTAGGTGAGTCTAGAAATGTAACACAATATTAAAGTAACACTAAGATAGACCATGCAACAATTTATTGAACCTTTGCTACTGTACAATAGTTGTAACCCCTTACAGTAACACATGCTTTATCCATACACTGTAATATTGTATATACAATATGAACATAAAATCACTTAAGCCAATGAGCTTGTGATGAGCATAATCTTTGTGACATTCAAGTTGTCCATTTCATCATAAAATGTTCAGACAATGTAATAAAAATAGTGTTCCATATAGATCCCCTGACTATAGGCCTGTCCCCTACTCACCAGAGGTTCAACCAGGATGATCTGGTCCCCCTGTGCTGTTATACATTTCTCCAAGTCTACAGGAGGGACAACATCCTCAACACTTTTGTAGTAGACCTTCATCTGAGCCTTGAGCATCTGAAGTATAGGTTCCCCAAGCACTGGATTCTTCTGTAGGGTGTCACATAGTCCCTAGAATGTTTTTAATGTAAATTACATTTTCCACCTAGTAGTACTGTTATGAATTCTTACAATGTATGCCTGATACAAGTAAAAGGATGTTATTTTTTTGAATTCCTTTGCAAAAACTTCATTGTTTCCACCCTATTTTGAATGATATTCAAGATGTTATTTTAAATATGCTAGCCCATCTGATTACCTGGTATAGAGACAGCCTCACATCAGCTTGCTGTGTCAAACATCTCCGAAGGCTTCCTACAATCTCTAGGCTGACAAGCTGTTTACTTCCTAGGGTTGTGTTCTGGTGAATGTCTACCAGCACCTTGAGTAACCATTACACATACTTTAGAAATCTTAAATATAGTACAGGGTTGACAAGACATTAACATGACAAAATGTCACAACCTGGTTGAAATTAAAAAAGTGTAACACTTTGATACAAACCAGGTAAGGCATTACACACCTAAGTGTACCAAAGTTGTGCTTTGCTATGTATTTACATTATAAACAACTGCTCACATAAATGAGCAGCTAGAACCTCACCTGGCTGGCAGTGGATTGACTAGAAGAGAATGACTGGCTGCTTGTTTGGCTAGATGAGAAAGCAGTGAGGGTCTTAGAGTGCTTTAACAGTTGAAGGAAACCACCAACGGCTATCTTACGTGAATCTAACTGCCTAAAAAGATATCGCAATCAAATTGTCTTGTACAGCTAAACTAGTGTTTGATGATTGAGATGGGTAATCTATTAATTTAATACTTAAATAATGCAATATTGATTTAAACTAAATATCAAATTTCAAATGTAATTAAGATACAACCAAATGAATCTTACAATAATAGCCAAGACCTGAAAGATATGCAATACATCCCATTACAGTATGGACGAATTATAATACACAATGGAACCTACCTAGAAAACATAGCCTTTCTTAGGATCATATTGAGAGAGTCTCTTAGAGATGTACTAATGTTAACCAGGGGTTGTAGTGACTTCAATATAGCCAGAGCTGAGGCAGGGGGGAGTAAGGCAAGGTAATCCAACAGCTCTCTCACTTTGTTAAGTCCATCTAGGACACTGTGAGGTGAAAACTTAACAATGCTCTCCAATAACTCTGAAATATAAAAATATTATAAAACATCTTGCAATACACAGGGTGCAATACAATAGAAAATATGGGCTGCAGATAAAAGAATTATAATGCTTTACAATTTAATTAAAAGATTGATATATACTGCTTTATATTTCCACAAAATACAAATAATACAGTTAGAATATCTGATGGACATGTAGCCAGTAATAACATATGGAATTTATTATTAAATGTACCTATATAGTGGAATACAGGGGCTGTTGTCTTGGTAACAATTCTGTTCAGCAGCTGTTCCAGGATTTCACTACGCACAAGATTATGAACCTAGAACAATAAAGAACAAATATTTTGTTAAACAGGGAATTATAATAATGGAATGTGAATGGGAATGAGTCAAGGTTACATGCATGTAAACTTACCATGAATGTTTGTAAAAGCAGCTTGGAACCCAGGTTACATGCATGTAAACTTGCCTTAAATGTTTGTAAAAGCAACTTTGAACCCAGGTTACATGCATGTTAACTTACCTTGAATGTTTGTAAAAGCAGCTTTGAGCCCAAGTTACATGCATGTAAACTTACCTTAAATGATTGTAAAAGCAGCTTTGAACCCAGGTTACATGCATGTAAACTTACCTTAAATGTTTGTAAAAGCAACTTTGAACCCAGGTTACATGCATGTTAACTTACCTTGAATGTTTGTAAAAGCAGCTTTGAGCCCAAGTTACATGCATGTAAACTTACCTTAAATGATTGTAAAAGCAGCTTTAAACCCAGGTTACATGCATGTAAACTTGCCTTAAATGTTTGTAAGAGCAGCTTTGATCCAAGTTACATGCATGTAAACTTACCTTAAATGTTTGTAAGAGCAGCTTTGAATCCAAGTTACATGCATGTAAACTTACCTTGAATGTTTGTAAGAGCAGCTTTGAATCCAAGTTACATGGATGTAAACTTACCTTGAATGTTTGTAAAAGCAGCTTTGAACCCAGGTTACATGCATGTAAACTTGCCTTAAATGTTTGTAAAAGCAACTTTGAACCCAGGTTACATGCATGTAAACTTACCTTGAATGTTTGTAAAAGCAGCTTTGAGCCCAAGTTACATACATGTAAACTTACCTTAAATGATTGTAAAAGCAGCTTTGAACCCAGGTTACATGCATGTAAACTTGCCTTAAATGTTTGTAAGAGCAGCTTTGAATCCAAGTTACATGCATGTAAACTTACCTTAAATGTTTGTAAGAGCAGCTTTGAATCCAAGTTACATGCATGTAAACTTACCTTGAATGTTTGTAAGAGCAGCTTTTAATCCAAGTTACATGCATGTAAACTTACCTTGAATGTTTGTAAGAGCAGCTTTGAATCCAAGTTACATGGATGTAAACTTACCTTGAATGTTTGTAAAAGCAGCTTTGAACCCAGGTTACATGCATGTAAACTTGCCTTAAATGTTTGTAAAAGCAACTTTGAACCCAGGTTACATGCATGTAAACTTACCTTGAATGTTTGTAAAAGCAACTTTGAACCCAGGTTACATGCATGTAAACTTACCTTGAATGTTTGTAAAAGCAGCTTTGAATCCAAGTTACATGCATGTAAACTTACCTTGAATGTTTGTAAGAGCAGCTTTGAATCCAAGTTACATGCATGTAAACTTACCTTAAATGATTGTAAAAGCAGCTTTGAACCCAGGTTACATGCATGTAAACTTACCTTAAATGTTTGTAAAAGCAGCTTTGAACCCAGGTTACATGCATGTAAACTTACCTTAAATGTTTGTAAAAGCAGCTTTGAACCCAAGTTACATGCATGTAAACTTACCTTAAATGTTTGTAAAAGCAGCTTTGAGCCCAAGTTACATGCATGTAAACTTACCTTAAATGTTTGTAAGAGCAGCTTTGAGCCCAAGTTACATACATGTAAACTTACCTTAAATGTTTGTAAAAGCAGCTTTGAGCCCAAGTTACATGCATGTAAACTTACCTTAAATGTTTGTAAAAGCAGCTTTGAGCCCAAGTTACATGCATGTAAACTTACCTTAAATGTTTGTAAAAGCAGCTTTGAGCCCAAGTTACATGAATGTAAACTTACCTTAAGTGTTTGTAAAAGCAGTTTTGAGCCCAAGTTACATGAATGTAAACTTACCTTAAATGTTTGTTAAAGAAGCTTTGAGCCCAGGTTACATGCATGTAAACTTACCTTAAATGTTTGTAAAAGCAGCTTTGAGCCCAAGTTACATGCATGTAAACTTACCTTAAATGTTTGTAAAAGCAGCTTTGACCTTAAGTTACACGCATGTAAACTTACCTTAAATGTTTGTAAAAGCAGCTTTGAATCCAAGTTACATGCATGTAAACTTACCTTGAATGTTTGTAAGAGCAGCTTTGAATCCAAGTTACATGCATGTAAACTTACCTTAAATGTTTGTAAAAGCAGCTTTGACCTTAAGTTACATGCATGTAAACTTACCTTAAATGTTTGTAATAGCAACTTTGAGCCCAGGTTACACGCATGTAAACTTACCTTAAATGTTTGTAAAAGCAGCTTTGACATTAAGTTACATGCATGTAAACTTACCTTAAATGTTTGTAAAAGTAGCTTTGAGCCCAGGTTACATGCATGTTGGCTTGGTGTGAGGCTTCCTGGTAGGACAAGTTCTATCTTTCCAAACACAGCTCTTGGACCAAAGGCATCCATCAACACAAATCCTAGCTCGACCAATCCCTGTGTCACGTCATCCCAACCATGCACGCTATAAAGGAAAGATACAAAATACTGTATTAACAGATTTACATACATGTGCTGTGTTACTGTAAATGGTATCATAATTAAAGTTTTGATATTTACCAATTAAGCAACAAAACACCAAGGACATTATTTTCAAAATGTTCTGAATGGACCCCTTCCTATTCTGAATGTATCCCTAACTAGACCCCTACTTGTTCTGAACAGTATCCATGATTAGACCCCTACCTGTTCTGAACAGTATCCATTACTAGACCCCCTACCTGTTCTGAATAGTGTCCATGAATATACCCCCTTGTTATTTTGAGCTGTATCCATGACTAGACCCCCTACCTGTTCTGAATAGTGTCCATGAATATACCCCCTTGTTATTTTGAGCTGTATCCATGACTAGACCCCCTACCTGTTTTGAACAGTATCCAAGACTAGACCTCCTTCCTGTTTTGAACAGTATCCATCACTTGACCCCCCCACCTTTTCTGAACAGTATCCATGACTAGACCCTCTACATGTTCTGAACAGTATCCATGACTAGATGCCTAACTGTTCTGAACAGTATCCATTAATATACCCATACCTATTCTGAACAGTATCAATATATATACCCCTTTATTACTTTAAGCTGTATCCATGACTAGACCCACACATGTTCTGAATAGTATCCATGAATACACCCCCTTCCTGAACTGTATCCACTATTAGACCCCCTATCTGTTCTGAACAGTATCAATGAATTTAACTCCTTCTTATTTTGACCTGTATCCATCATAAGTCCCCCTACCTGTTCTGAACAGTATCCATGACTAGACCTCCGGTGTTAGACAGCTTTGGGAACATCAAAGAGATAAATGTGCTGTCAGTCTGTTTCTCCAGGTCCTTATAGCTCTTTAATATGGCACTTTTTAGAAAATCAAATATCTGCAAAAATATAAAGCTTGTTTAAACACTTCATATTACTATAAGTCTGCCACAAAATTCGAAATTTGCTCATAGAATTTAGGATCTTGATCATCAAGGAATATTTATTCAGCTTATTCACCTATAGTTTTGATCAGTAAATCATTATAATATCAGATTAAATTAGGAATTAAAAATTTCTTGACTTTTTTTTGGAAAGTGAGGTATGAGTTAAAATAAAGTTTAACCTTGAATGAATGAATGGCAAGGTATTGATATAAATCAAAATTTACATAGAACTATACATGTAGGAACCATACTTGTAATGATTATCATGTGTAAAATAAAAATTAGTTGTGTGACTGTTCAAAGCAAATTAGAAGTGTACCTGTTCTTGAAATCTGTGCATTTTGGCAATAGAGAGGCACAGAGCTATGTTGAACGGAGCTAGGGCAGATTCAGGACTACTCTGGTGACAAGCCTGAAAGACAAAAACAAAGCAAAACATAGATTATTTACATGTATCATTATCATAGACTATCAGGATATAATATGAATTATATATGTGAGCAAACAAAGTGCTAGCATTCCTGCAAGAATATTGTTCAATTAATTGTAAAACTAATGACTTAGGTAACACAAGAATAAAACTCTGTATTTGTTGTGCCTGTAATTGTTATTGAAATACTGTGGTTTTGTCAGACTCAGTTGATAGAGAACATAACAATACCTTTATGTACTTCAGAAACTCTTTGCCCAGATCTTGGTCCTGTTTTATAGCAAATGTAATGTGTAAGATGACAGTGCCCTCCGTATGTTGTAATGCATCACTATGGTTACCTTCTGAGAGCTCCATCTCATCAGCCCTGAAATAATATAATATGTTAGATTATGATTTGGGATAGTTGGGGTTTGTTTTCCTTATGACTGGTGTACTAAACAAAGCCATGATCTGAATGTCACTGATTGATTCTAAATTCCTTTGCAAATTATGTATCAGGGCCTAGGCTAGGCCAAGTTAACTTTTAGGAGATCTTAGACAACGAGGAGTGTGCTGCATTATCTTGCTTAAATATCTAGAGCAGATCAATGACTCAAGCACATTAACAGGTACTTTATCAAGAAATTAAAACAAAGCGTAGATGCATTTTGAAATGATAAATGTTCATTTGGTATCAAGATTATTCTGCACTGTTTTCGATAATTTTATATTTAATTGGATCAAAACTGATTACAAATAATTCCTTCAGAAGAATTATTAATTTGGCAATTGGATTGGGTGGTTTTTCAAATGAAGCAGGTTTTAAGTTGTTAAGTTAAAATCTCGATGTGCTTTGATTAAATGTCATGATCCAACACAATTTCTGATATTAGACATTGCATTTGTAGAATTATAAAATATATTCTTGCTTTTCTTGTACTTCTTGTTGACACAATAATCAATGAAAACAATGAAATAGAATTAATGCTTATTGATTTGTGCATTAATAAGCAAATGACACTTGTACACGACGTCTCACAAATATCAATTACATGCAAGTTGGCCAATCTTATATTGTTATATCAAAACCACTTATGACTTTGGTGATAGACTGCAGAAATTTCAATAAAGAGGATTAATCAGAAAGAAAACTAAAAACAGATCTGAGATAAAAGAAATAAGAGGTTGTAGCATTTCAAGGAAATGTGCTTCTCATCATACAAAAAATTATTTAATCAAAAGCCACAGATACCATATTGAATTTTTTTATGAAAAACATTTAATTTCTCTCCTAGCAATCTAGATATATGTAGATACTTCCTATATCAAATAATTCTAGGAATATTAAGATCATCGGGATGATTATTCATATAAGTTCCTTTTCACAGACATATTCCCAAATAACATGATTGGATAACTTGCTTTAAATGATGTTTATGACTTTTTAATTACTTATTTATGTAAACCATGGGAATACATGTCATATTTTAATCATGATGTCTAATTACTGACACAGTGTTCCCGCATGGGTATTGAAGGCTGATTGTGCAATTAAGCTATTAGCAAAGTCACTTATACACCTTCTGGGCATTATGACATTATTAGATTGTCTATAACTAGTGCAAACACTAAAATATAGTAACTAAGGAGTAAGCAAATAGTTTCCTAATTGTCATTAAAGTCTGCCAAACTTGTTAGATGGTATCAATTAACAGGTGAACGTAACACATTTTCTTCATTTTATCCATTTTGTACATATGATTAATGCAAATATGCTCATATAAGTTAAATCAAAATATGCACACAATGCTGTACATTTTCTTTATTGAGACCAATGGAGACACATAGAAAAGAGAAAGTTGAATGTCCAGTCTCAATCTAACAGACTATCTATGGAAGTGAGAGTCGAAGGAACTCAAAAGTTCAAGAAAAGCATTCATACACAATGATGTTAACACAGACAATTAACCTATCAACTAAAACGACATATTCAACTCAATTTAAATGAGGCTGATTTAAATAAAAAATGAAGCGAATAGTGAACGAGTTTACAAGCAACACCTCTGGACATGGATGGGGTATGGTTGGCTGTACAAATAGCAAGCTTGGCAAGTTATTATGGGTAGCTATCACACTAGGGTCAACCATAGCTGCAATTATATGGGTATTGACCATTGTACAAACATATGCAAAGTTTGAAACTAAGGACAGAGTGGAGTTGAGAGCAGATGAAGACATTGTATTCCAATCTGTCACAGTGTGTTTATTATATGGCTTCTCTCCCAAGAAAATAAGAGCAACACTTACAGACCCAAATAGTGGTTATGTGCTCCAAAATTCATTTTTAAAAACAATATATACTAATCATGTAGTCCTCACACAGATGACAAACGAGTCAATTTTGGAAAATATTGTTGGACAGGCAAGAACAAATAGAGGATATTATGAAAACCTTGGCCCAAGTGAAATATCCTCTCTGGGCCATAACATTGGTAGTCTTATACCATATTGTATGTACCAAGAAAGCAAATGTACAGAGGCAGACTTCAGGAAGCTGGTTCATCATGAATACAAAAATTGTTATACCTTCAATGGGGAGGATGTAAATCTAACAAAGCCAATAATAACTGAAGTTGGGGCTCAAAGTGGCCTTTCTTTCACCCTGTATCTTGACCACAAAGAGGGTGCACGTGTCACTTATGAGAAAAGTCGAGCAATGACTGTGGCATCTGGTGCACGGGTAATAATACACGAGAAGGGGACACTGCCAGACCCTGACAGTAAAGGATTTGATGTGGAGCCTGGACATTTAATCAATGTCGCTCTATCTGTGGACAAACGGGAACTAATGAAACCCCCATGGGGTGAATGTGCTGATCATACCACATTACACTCAACTGATTTCAAGTACACTAGAAACACATGCAAAAGAAAGTGCATGGAGAAAATGATTGAAAAACAATGTGGATGCTGGAAAGATTTACTCCCTGTTGATTTAAATGACACTAGAGATGACGATTTGCAAGCGTGTGGCAAGATGAATAGAGAAGAGTGGCTTAAAACAACAAGAGCAAATGTAACCGTTCTGAAGGAGGATATTGCCAGGATTAAATGCCAGAATGAGAAATATTCATGGTCAGAAGTATCTGAAGCTGTTGTTGGTTGTGAATGTAAATTGAACTGCACATATCTTTCATACAATATTGAAACATCCCAGTCTGTATGGCCAATGAAAGGGTCAGAGTTAGATTTCTATTGCATTGGATTTTCTTATGACACTGGTTACAATGGTTCATCTATTTATGATGAATTTCACGACAAGATTGGTGTGCACTGTTCTGACCATTTTGAATTTGAGAATGTTTCAAAGAATTGGGGAGATGAATTAAGAGCTAATTTCCTTCGCATAAATGTATATTTTAAAGATACTGAAACAAAATACATCATTGAGGAGGAGAATTTCCCATTGGTTTCAATGATATCAGAAATTGGGGGAGTTCTTGGTTTATTTATTGGAGTATCACTTATTACAATACTTGAGGTCTTTGTGTTGTGTAGTAGTATTATTTATACACTACTTGGAAGAAAAAAGATGTCAAACGAGATACATGAAAAAGAAAATATGTCAGTCTCTAAAACCAATATAGAGAAATTGTCTGATTGCAAAATTGCTGATTATCAAAATAATCAATTTAAATGACATATTATAATATCACTTAATGAGACAAATCATATTTATCTTTTGGTATTGCAAATGACCATATACATAGAATGTCTTTCAGATAATAATAAGAATCCATTCATCTAATAAACTACCAATCAATATATTACATTAAGTTCACATTAAACAATTTGTGATTGATCTGAAGTGTCTGCATTGATATTCAACTTTAAGTGTGCATGTCAATGATGGCTTTTATGTAATCATTCAGACGCACTAAAAGTAAGACATCATATACATGTACATTTTTTAAAAATAAGATAACATTACTCTACTAGCCATAGGCTAAACAGATAACAAACAATTAAATTAAATTATCTTTCATACGTTTCCATATTTATTCACTTACTTTGAAAACCAAGGCACTTTCAAACAGATAAAATAACATTACATGTATTCTTAAATCAAATAAATTTTTTTTATTCATTTGCATTGGCTCCAAATTAAGCTGGCTGATCCAATATTATGTCAGCTTTAGGGGTAATTGTATAGTACCTGTGCAAGATTGTCCATTCTCGATGAACTTTGATAATTCTTCTTTATAGAGTCGAACATGAGATAAAAAATAAAGAAACATTATCAAAGTGAGTCAAGAATGGACGATCTTGCACAGGTACGAGTACAAGGAAGTTTTTCTCATATGACTCTGTAATATGCCATATTTTCACCTTTTTAAAATAAAACTGAGTGAAAATAGCTTTAAATCAATAGAACTTCATCTTTCAATCATTATGACGTCATAACAATATTGTAGAAAATACACAGATACGTGTGGCAAAAAAGCTCCATTGTTATGATGTCAAAGCTTATTTTTTGTAGAATGAGCATTGATACTCATAGCAAAGGTGTATCCGTTGTCATGTTGATGATGTTTATAAACCAGTGATGTCATAAGTAAATCTTATCTTGCAAGTGTGACTTTTTAGTATAAAAGATGGCAATATCTTGCATGGGGTAAAGATGGCTGTGTCTTTGTTAGTCATATGAGAAAATTTAATCTTCATTTCAGCCCAAGTTTTTAACAGATACTATGGCATGGTTGACATCATTGCTTTTCATTATCCTTTCCACCTCTTCTAATAGGATATGGATTTGGTGATTCCAACTTCTGAAAATAAGCCAAATAACTAGATAATATATGCAGTGTATATCATAATGGATTTCATGATGTGAACTACATGTAGATACACAGGTTTAATACTTCAGTAGCATCTAGACAATGTAAAGTAAAATTCAAATGGATTATGTCTTGTTTTGTAAAAACTGTGAGAGAGATAATGAATAGTATAGAGAAACGAGTAGGCAGAGGTGACAAGTGGAAAATCAAGGAATCTGAATTAGACTAAAAGTATCAAATTTTTCCTTTTTAAATGCCATGTATATATTATATTATATATATATATTAATTGTATATACGAAGGGGTGATCCAAAAGTGTTGGACATATATTTTATGGGGTTTTCTAGATAGTTCTTAATATAGAGACCCTGCCACCCGGAATGGTATTCGCACATGGCAACTTTCAGCCTTAAATGTTGCCGTCATTTCACTTGTTTTGCAAGTCTTGACCACTATCTTTCTTTGAATTTTGAATGTTAAACCATGTTAGTTTACTTCCTTTGTTACCATGCAACCAATTAATTGTGTTTTAATTATAATGTCACATATGACAATGGCCGTATATGTCAAATTCTAAGAAAATGACATCAGAAAATCAACCCTCAAGATGCAAGATGGCTATTGAAATGCAGATAATGACAGAAATCAAAGTGGAACAAAGAATACAACAAGATATTTTCACTATTATTGACCTTGAGCAGCTACCATATGCACGATACAGTCTAGATATGGCTCCGTGTGATTTTCTTCCTTTTCTCCAATTTGAAAGGAGGGTTGAAAGAAAATGAATTTCTTACTCATTGGATGAGGTTTAAAGTGGCACTCCAGCAGCATTTGTATCACATAAGCAATGGTGGTTTTATAAATGTCTTCATTCATTGGTAAAGCGGTATGAAAAATGTGTTCAAATTCGTGGAAAATATGTTGAAAAGTAGGTCTTAATATGTGAAGATGATGATGGCAGATGACACTCAGATTGAAAATCGGAAATTCTATCATATCATGACTGGTGTTAGGTTGTGCAGCCAAACCTAAAGTATTTGCCATTTTATAACAGTTGTGACGTGATTTGCTATATCTAAATACCGTTCCGGGTGGTAGGGACCGGTATCAAAAAATATTTAGAAAAGTAGCTAAATTATATTATTTTCTGTTGAAACTTAAACACAAAGTTGTTAAGATGCGATCTTTATTATCTGAAAGTTTCATGTAATTATATTAGAAAATAGCAAAGTTAGAGCGGGTCGTCCAAGACTTACTGCATTGTAATTGCTTTAACATGTTTTTTCTCTGAAATAAATATTTTAAAAAAATTGTGAAAAAAAGAATATTAATTTTAGTGTCTGTACATATAAAGTAATTTTGATTATGCTGGTAAAAAATATTAAAAGTAGCACACAAAATATTCAGTATGTACGAGTAATAAATATTATGAAATGTTTACCTTTATGAAGCAATCTGGATTTATTTCACATAGGAAAAGAACAACCCATCTTCTGCAGCCAATATCATGATACTAGTATACCTTCATGATACACATTACTGCCATATCACAATAATATTCAGCTACATGGTCAAAATATTGTCTAAAGCCTTCTTTTTGTTTGTTGAGTTTAGAATAAATCTAGTGTTGGCCTTCTCCATACCTGTAGCATAAATCATCAATATGAAAAATAAAGAGTACACAAATATAATTAAGTGATACATTTACATGTTTCTAAGTAAATGGTTGTAAAAATGGTACCCCCCCCCCAGAATAGCCAAGTGGTGAAATGAAGAACCATCTTGATCATTCAGATCTGATACTTTGTATTACATTGGCTGAAATGTTTGCTTCTCTTCTGACATCTATTCTTAATTAATGTATCTGGATATATCATTAAAATGAATAGCAACTTGATAAACCGATTTTACATTACATAGAGACAATGCTAAAAGATAGTATAAAAAGTGTTTTTTAAGAAATGGAATACTTACACTTACTTTCTATAGTGTGAATAACCGTCAAGTTGTAAGCCATCAAGTTCAAGCCATTCAACAGAAAGTACCAAATAATTGCTTTTTAGGAAAAACAAATTCCTAAATAATGTTGCCCCAGTGAAATTTAGACAAACGGACAAAAGAATATGAATATTACTCATTTAAAGTCAGAGTAAAGACTGTAATAATATTGGAAGCAAATTTTTGAAAAAGAAATGTCAAAATTCAAGAGAATTGAAAACTGAGTCCACTTTTTCAGTCACTCATCTTAGCCTTAAAGAAATAAAAAAAATATTATTTGAATATCTTAATTGCACATTTTAGAAATCATGAATCTTTAATATGGTAAAATCAATACACATTAAGTTAATTACACAATACAATAAGTTGCCTTGGCAGCAAATGCAAGAAATGGAGTGTCAACAACTCATTAAATACAAAACTATAGAAATAAATGTAAAAATCAATTCTGCTTCTGCCACTTATGTTTAGATGTTTTTAAATATAGGGAGTAACACAAAGTCTACAAAAATCTACAAAAAATTAGTACCGTGGGTACTGGGCTCACATGCTGACAGAAAATTTTAAAAAAACTGATATAATTGTTTGCTGATTTTTTGTAACAAAATTATTTCAAGCCATTTGCCACTATTTTGGACTGACTGAATTTCGCGAGACAAGAATGGTGACCACTTTGAAATCAGGCAAGCTTTTGAACCAGGAGTCATAGGGGAGTTTTTGGTATTGGTGATAAACTTGAAACTGGAATCCTATCGACAGAGGTTTTAAGCAAATGGTCCAAAAGAAGATTTTGTGAGACAGATGGACAAATCAATGTTAACTAAAATGGCTGGAAAAAACAACAGATATAATATTTTGCCGATTTTTTGTAACAAAATTATTTCATACAACTACTCTTTACAGTGACATGGCTTTTTACAATGCAGGACAGCTGAAATTATTTGTGAAGCTAGGAAATGGGCAAAAAGTGAATTTCGCGAAACAAGAATGGTGACCATTTTGAAAATAGGCAAGTTTTGAACCAAGAGTCATAGGAGTTTTTTTGTATTGATGTTGAACAAAATTAACTTAAAACGGGAATCCTATCAACAGAGGGTTTAAGGCAAATGGTCAAAAAGTGGATTTTTTGAGACAGATGGATAAATCAATGTTAACTAAAATGGCTGAAAAAAAAAACGGATATAATTCTTTGCCGATTTTTTGTAACAAAATTATTTTATACAACTACTCTTTACATTGACATGGATTTTTACAATGCAGGACACCTGAAATTAATTGTAAAGCTAGAAAATGGGTCAAAAGTGAATTTCGTGAGACAAAAATGGCGACCATTTTGAAAATAGGCGAGCTTTTGAACCAGGAGTCATAGAGGAGTTTTCTGTATTGATGTTGAACAGAAATAACTCAAAACAGGAATCCTATAGACAGAGGTTTTAACACAAATGGTCCAAAAGTGGATTTCGCGAGACAGATGGACAAATCAATGTTAACTAAAATGGCTGAAATAAAAAAAAATGGATATAATTCTTTGCCGATTTTTTGTAACAAAATTATTTCATATAACTACTCTTTACATTGACATGGATTTTTACAAATTATTTATAAAGCTAGGAAATGGGTCAAAAGTGAATTTCACGAGAGAAAAATGGCGGTCATCTTGAAAATAGGCGAGCTTTTGAACCAGGAGTCAGAGGGGAGTTTCCTGTATTGATGTTGAACAAAAATAACTTAAAATGGGAATCCTATCGACAGAGGTTTTAAAACGTGCCACTATTGTTGACGGACGGACGCACGCACGGACGCACAGATAGACGGACAAGTGAGCGATTGCAAAAGCTCACCATGTGAGCTAAAAAGGCAGTGTTCCTTTAAAGAGTTGCTTAACATTATTGGAATAACCTCCCCTGGAAGTGAAAGGAAATATATAGAGAGTAATTACTTGTTTCTCAATCCATTCATATTGAACAGAAATGAAAGTGAGCAGGAAAATCTGAATATAGGAGTCAATGAAATTTATTGACATTTTACTTTATTGCTTGAGTAATTTTAGGTATATACGCTTGTTTTGACTTGATACTTACAATAGTCAATATGGGCATACTTAATTTTAGATATAAGAGTTAACTATTAAATGAACTGGGGAAAGAAGAGAGTATTTGTACTTCAGGGAGAATGGGATTTCACCACAAAACGAATAATAATGAGAATTGAAACAAATAAATGATAATTATTAGGAAGGAGAAATTTTGAAAATTAAAATTAAAAATGGATGAAAATGGTTATATAGTAATTTAAGTGACTAAAAAACAACAATGAAGCGAACAGTAAATGAGTTTACAAGCAACACATCTGGACATGGATGGGGCATGATTGGTCGGACAAACAGCAAGTTTGGCAAGTTATTATGGGTAGCTATCACACTTGGATCAACCATAGCTGCAATTGCATGGGTAACAACTGTTATACAAAGGTATGCAAAGTTTGAAACTAAGGACAGAGTGGAGTTGAGAGCAGGTGTAGACATTGCATTTCCATCTGTCACAATTTGTCCGTTATATGGCTACTCTCCTAAGAAGACGATGGAAACATTCTCTGACCCGGAGAGCGGGTTTGTACTTCAAAATACATTTTTAACATCAACTTCCACCCACTTTGGAATACTCATGCAAATGACCAATGAAACAATAGAGATTTTGCATGGAATACTTCTACTGGCAAAATCAAACAGAGGATTTTATGAAAACATGGGTGTTAATGAAATATCAGCTATCAGTCATGAAATTCAAAATCTGGTGCCACATTGTCTCTACCAAGGAAATCAATGTACAGAGGAAGACTTCACGAAGCTTGTTCACCACGAATATAAGAATTGTTATACCTTCAATGGTAAGGATGTCAATCTGACAAATCCGATGATAGCTGAGAGTGGGGCTCAAAATGGTCTTTCTCTCACTCTGTACCTTGAACACACAGATTACACATACGCCAATTATGATCCAAATCGTGCTGTGACCGCAGCAGCTGGAGCAAGGGTGATAATACATGAAAAAGGAACACTACCAGACCCTGACAATGAAGGATTCGATGTTGAGCCTGGGCACTTGATCAATGTTGCACTATCTGTGAACAAAAGGGAACTAATGAAACGACCTTGGGGAGAATGTGCTGATCATACCACATTACACTCAACTGATTTCAAGTACACTAGAAACACATGCAAAAGAAAATGCATGGAGAAAATGATTGAAAAACAATGTGGATGTTGGAAAGATTTACTCCCTGTTGATTTAAATGACACCAGAGATGCTAAAATGCAAGCTTGTGGCAAATTCAACACGAAAGAATGGTTAAATATAACAGAAGCAAATGTAACGGTTCTCAAAGAGGACATTGCTCGATTCAAATGTCAGATGGAAAAATATCTGTGGTCGGATGTTTCTGCATCTATGGTTGGCTGTGAATGTGAATATAGCTGTTCGTATTCAACTTACAATGTGGAAACATCACAATCCGAATGGCCAATGAGGGGCTCAGAGTTAGATTTCTACTGTAGCGGCTTTGTTCACAGTCCAAATTACTATGATTTGACTATGTATGAGGAATTTCACGACAAGATCGGTGTGCACTGTGTTAACTACTTTGAATTTATGAATGTTTCAAAGAATTGGGGAGATAAACTGAGAGCTAATTTCCTTCGTGTAAATGTGTATTTTAAAGACCTTGAGACAAAATACACCATCGAGGAAGAAGATTTCTCATTGGTTTCGATGATTTCAGAAATCGGGGGAGTTCTTGGTATATTCATTGGAGTATCAATAATCACAATACTTGAGGTGTTTGTGTTGTGCAGTGGCATTATTTATGCATTAATAGGTAGCAAAAAGGTCTCCAGTGAAATACATGTAAAAGAAATTATGTCAACACCAAAAAACAATCCAGAAAACTTTTCTAATCACAAACCTGATGAGGCATATAATGATCAATTTAAAATATATTAATATCTTATATCTGACATAAAATCATGACGCTAGACACCCAATGTGTCACAGAAATTGAAACTACATCTAGACTATATTTAAAAGAAGGCACTTATATCTAAGGGCCTTCACAGTCATGTTAAAGACTAAGAATAGTTGAGAGTTACATTCTATGTCATCAGATAGTCCACGTTTTCATTTTTGCCAATTAACTTTAAAACTAAAGGATTATCCTGAAATTAAGTCAAAACTGGTCTTTGTTGTCTCTTTAAATGATGTATAAATCTATTACTTACGATGAAGATCTGCTGTGTTCATTCAACTTGTCTTGCTTTGTAAAGAAAGAGGAGATGCCACTTAACACTTGCTTTTTGTGGCCCTGGAAATGTATAATCATCAATTTCAAACTGCTAAATATCTTATCACATATCTGCTTTAATATGGACAAAAAGAACAAATGTATGTAAATTCTAGTACAGTAAAACCTGTCTCAGTTGAACATCTTTGGTACCTCATAAAAGTGTTCCACTTGGGAGGTGTTCCACTTCGAGAGGTTCATTTAACATTAAGTCAGTTGGTCTTGGGAATCTGAAGTGTTCAAATTCAAACATTTCACGGTACAGTGAAACCTGTAAAGTGGAACACCTCTGATAGTCACTGTACCGTGAAATGTTTGAAGTGGAACACTTTTCAGAGTCCTGAGAACAGCTGACTATTAACATATATGTTTTAAGCTTTAATGCTTTCAAGTTTCAAAATGGAATCTATTAGTGTGTACAATAGTTTAAGTTTCTATGCAAATAATTATAATGTTATGCAAGTGTACACAATAGTTATGCAGTTGTAATTAAAATAGAAGTATTATACCTTGGTTGATAATAATAGAAGTTGGTATATGAGTGGAGGTAATTCTACAAGATCCATATCATCAAAGATTCTAATAATTTTAGCGACAGCAAACTTTGTTTCATCACTGGTCATATCTACATCTCTTAACATTGCAGCGAGTTGTATGGCACTTCTTGCATTCCATCTGAAAATAAATACAGGTATTTACATTCAAGGTAGTGTCAATTTCTTTCATTCAATCGGAATATAAATACAGAACTGTTATAATTACATTCAAATATATTTGTTCTATTAATACTTGCATTATCTATATATATCTGATTATACTTCGACTACAGTAAGATGGCCTCTTGCTGATAAAAGTTTTCAATCTCTTGGTTCTTTTATTGGAAAATAATACTGTAAATGGACTCCATTATTCCATTTTCAGAAAAACATATCATGCAACGGATATCCTCATTATAGATTACACAGTGGGAGTTTGAACAATGATGGACATAAAGATCAATTAACCCAACATGCCCAAAAGCTGTTCAGTTCTAGATTTTCATATTAAGTACCACCCATCAAAATTTCAAATCAATGTATCAAGCAGTTTATCTAGATAAGAAAAGTGAAACATTGCCACCCACTGCACACCCACCCAGCTGTTGAACAATAAAAATAATTCACAAAGTAGACTCAAACTTGTCATAATACGAACTTATTGCTCATAAAATATGATATAAGGGGATCACTTAAAAGTGTATAACTGAATAGTACGAGTATATGTCATATAAACATGTCCAGATGTATATACAATGTAACAGAATAAGGAAATAATCATTAAAGCTTTTAATGCCCTAATGGATATTGTTAAGTACAGGAGTAGTATACTATGCAAATAAACCTAATGATCCTTTTAATAGATTGCAAGGAGTCAGAGAAGAAACCTTGGAGTGATCTCCCCAGGACTACAGCAAGTTGGCGCAGCAATCACCTGCGATTTTAAAAACAGGCTTCCACCCACCTGAGATTTCATTTGCAAATGAGAAAATTCATGTAAAATGGGCAAATTTTGACCAATTTTGGACTGAATTGTGAAAATGAGAATTTTGCACCCATTTGAGAAAAAATCCTTGGGAGAACACTTCATTTTTATACTAATTGCCTCTCCTTTGTAAACATGGAATCTGAGATGCTAAATCAAGAGGTTGCCTTAATAATTCATGATAGAGTACAAACTTTTACTGAATTTAAGATCATAAATAATGTAAAATAATAATGAGCCTCTGAAATAGGCTAGGTCAATATCATATTAGTGTTTTGACATTTTGTTGAAAATCTTCCAACTTCCTCAAAAAACTTAATTGTTCTCTGAGGAAGGTTGTATATGAGCACAAAACTGAGTTCATTTTGATTCTCAAAGGATTCAGATTTTAAGAAACATGAAGTGACATTCTCCGTATGAAACATTTAACTAGGCATTAATTTTGGACAACCAATAGACCTTCCCAGTAAATCCTGCCACCTTTTGATAGATCAAAGAACCTATGATATATTCGGCTAGATTGAAGATGTCATAGGTTGTTCTTTTTCAAAATTAGCAATAAGTTGATCCTATTTTTGCTAGGACAGACTGCCACCAACAACCAATGACATCATCAATCTAGCCAATATATCCTAGCTTCTTTCACCTACAGAAAGGTGGCAGGATTTACTGGGAAGGTCTATTCAGCTAAATAACCATAATCATGGTGATAATGAATACTCCATGTATCAGATTAAAATTGATCCGGCACTCGAGTACTCTTTGTAACTCTGCTTGTAATATAGGACCACTTTACCTGCTAGAGCAGAGTTTGTTTAACATTTGCGACTTGTATTCCTTCCCTGTCATATCTCCTCCTCCATAAGGCACTGAATCCTGGCAGGACAATGATGACAGGATCTTTGGCAGCAACTCAAGGAACCTAAAACATGGAGACACATGCCTCAAAGCTGTTTACAGAAAAAGGGAGCGATTTAACAGTCTATTTTAGCTCAATGTGTAGAGTCCTCCACAAGTTCTTGCTTTTGGCATGTTGAACAAATACTTAATAAATAAAGAATATAGATGAACATTTTGCATAAACACACTGTAGATTTACTAAAACAAGAGAGTAGACAAGATTCATTGCTAGAAAACATTAAATCATGAAATTGTATTCAATATTTATTGTAATATGGTTGAATCCTAGATGGTTGAAAAGCTGTTATGTTTAAAGAACAAAAGGACTCCATCCCCTAATCTTGTTGGGAGAAAACTAATTAACAGAAGTCACAGAAATATAAACTTGTCATGGAATATAAACCTGTTATTCCTCTATGAATCCCTTGGAGGCAGTTTTAAAAAGGGTATTTTACAACTAACCAAATGAAATTTCCACAAACATTGAGACATTGATATTTGGCAAGACTCCTAACATGTAATTTATGGCTCGAAAAACTATTCATCTTTTAGTTCATTTGACATACTTTGTGTTGAGATCCTGTCCACTCTTGATGGCATCAATGTAACTTGTGACAAGCTCTGCTAGACAACTAGCTCTTAACTCATCTGTCTACAAAAACATATATTAAATGTATTAATATTCTAACAAGACAGACAGTGATAAATATCACACTCTGAAGAGCAAAATGGCCGTCAACTGTTCTAAGCACACTTCTTAAAATTTTATTCATACATACGTTTATTTCACCTCCTTACAGTAAAATCATTACAGGGTTTCAAAAATATAATTACAGCATCAAACATTTTAACTAGTTGAAAATAGATTCTATCTTACTTTCAACATTAATAGTCCAACAATTTCAGATTCAATCTTTGTAGACCAGGCACCTGACTGCACGTGATTTATACATGCTCGATAGACAGACATCAACTTGTCCGAGTCTACCACAGAACTATGGCTACATCCTGAAATTGAAGTGTGATTCTTAATCTAAATGTTTAGCAAAGAGCATTTTATAACGAGAAAATCAGTCAACCAAATCAGCAAAAAAGTATTCGAATTATCATCTGGGCAGACGAACCAACAGGTGGATGGATGCATGAATGAATGGATGAATGGTCACACTGTTTCTCTATATCCCTACCAAACCCATTCCAGATTTTAGCGAACACCCCTAAGACCCTTGGATAAAAATTCTTTCAAAATCATGCAATTTCCACCATTCTGAGCAGTTTGTGATTTTGGGTCAAAGTTGTCAAATATGAAACCCCTGGAATTATTTGAAAAGTGAGTCCCCTTGGTAAAACCTGGCTATGAACCTGGCTGCTTAATAATATATGGCTAGTACAAAAGGTTAAGAGGTTATTCTTTATGCCCATAGCAACTACATGTAATAATTTGGCAATGTTCATATACATGTACCTGTCAACAAGGCCCTTGTGAGCCCAACAATGCTGTTCTTTTTCTTGCTGGTCACCCCCCTGATCAACTCATCAATCTGCAAATAGGGTATTAAATTTTTATTTACAATTATTTACAACATTTTGCAACGAGGGAAACAGCAAGTTTGGAACAACAAATCCCACCAAACAAACATATTTTATCAGATTACTCAAACTCGTCATTCTGAACATTTCATGATAGAAACAACCAAGCAGCAGTACATGTATTTATGATTCCAAAATGGTAGAAAGTAAAACAGCATAGATATATTTAGGCATAGCTTCCTCTGAAATTCAATTATACACTGAACTGCCTGTACATATTAGTGTGATAAAAACAACAAACAACTTAAAATGTTAAACACAAGATCATGGCGCTAATTTAACATGTTGAAAGTACCTCTTTCTCTGAAGTTTTTTCGACAAGACTCAACAGTTCCTCCAGTTTTCCAGCATCACAACTTTGGATAAGCTTAACATCCATTATTCCCAGTTGGCACTTGTACAAGCTAAAGCATTCCCTAAAAAGTAAAACATAAAATAAATACAGCTCAACCCCTCAAATTTGAGATCTTAGAAATATTGTAAAATCTAGATTCTGGGCTTAGAGATAGTATGTATCCAACAGACTGACTAGAAGTCAGTCTGTTATGATGTACTACTTTCCTGTGGAAATTGCAGTGAAATTTTTTGCACAAAATTATCAATTAGAGGAACCCTTTCTTCAATAAAATAAACATTACAAAATTTCAATTAAATAGTAAGGTACAATTAAATGCAATTAAAAGTAACACAGCATATTGTCAAGTGGAAATAAAGCTAGTTGAAGAACAAATTTGCAAATAAATTTCACCAATCGGCCATTTTGAATAGCACTTCCTATGTAAACAAATATTTCATATTACCAAACTTTAACATAGGTGCCTTATAGTCTGAATATAATTCAGACTAAATAGGATATAGTCTAGGCTTAGAGAGGTCTGTTGAGACATTGGAAAGAGTGTAACAATTTGAAGAAGGTCTAAGCTTCGCAGCCTTCAACATCAAAAAGTATATGATACCAGACTACTGAATGTAATGCACTGAGAAGCAATATTCGGCAAGGGCAAACATTTTGAATAATACAAGTAGATCATCCTTATCTATTGCCAAGACTTAAAGGTGGTCTTGGAAACTTAATAAGAGAATGCTAGGCCCAAGAAGTAGGACAGCATCCCATCTCTACAGCTCACAGGAACCTGTATGAACTGGCATGTATTGATCGCCAAACATGAAATAATGAGCTTCTATTCTTTAACATGTATTATGTATGTATTCATATTGAGGTGTGTATTACTTATTCTTGTTATTCTTCAACTCAAGGGCCACCAATAGACGGTGTAACAGCTTTCTGTGCTTCAGCTGTACAGGTTTATAGGCGCCGATGGTTTAGAATCCTTGAATGTATCTTTAAAGTCACAGAATGATAGAATTGATAAATATTAGAACAGTGACTGTCCTTGGAGTAATTACCTATCGGCATTTAATCAATAGTCCGTGATCAATTATCAATAGAGACCTAGGCTTACTATATTTGCACATAGCCATCTCTCAGGAGATAGCTTTGTGCAAACTAGATGTAAACCTAGGCTAACATAAAAATTTCCCTCTGTCTATTATCGCCCACATGAAATTTGAAGTCGATGTGTGATGTCATTTGAAACTATTTCAGTTTAAACACTACTATTTCATATAAATAATATATCCATGATAATTCAACTGTTATGACTTTAAATAACGATGCTAACTAAGGTAGTAAAACTTACAAAAACACCAAGCAAAACTTTTTTAATTTTCTGAAAATGGCGCGCCAGCTAGAAGTTAAGACTGCCTTTCATATGTCACGAAATTTTATATTAGATGATCCTCTACCTGTATTAGAATTGTACTACGTCTCTTTATGTTGAAATGCTTCTTCCATTCGCATGTAACTACTTATAAAATGAAGTCAGATGGATATAAATCAAATTGTCAAAATATTGTCATGATATTGTCAGTTTTTTGCAAGTGGAAAGTTTATATGGGCACATTTCACTTTGCAGGATACCCCCATGTTCAGGTGTTACTCAGTCTCTAGCCAATTCACGATATACTAGAAGAAGGTAACCCCCATGGTGCTCCACCAAGCCAATATATCTATTGTTCATATAATTTCATTTTAATTAATAAAATGTTTAATTTGACATTATGTAATATACTTGAACTCTTGTGATTTGTCCTATTGACTAAAATGTAAATGGGGTAGTGGGATTGATGATTTATTCATATTAAAGGCATTACATCTGCCAACAACCACAAAATAACACATAATGCCTGTGAGACGGTTTGAGTTGGTTATGTCAAATTAAATAAACGGAATGTTCTTAGTGTTCATTGCTCAGCACCTTATGAAGTCAATGCCAGTTATAGATCAAGGTTAATTAAGATGTCAATGGAATGGAACTCGATTATTTTCATTTGAATGGATCTTGGTCAACATGCCCCTGTTAGGGTATTGATGCCAGTACCCATATACAAGAGAGTACAATAGATGTAAAAATAAACTTGATTTTACTGCCAATGCCAAACTTGTGCCAAGTGTGCCCTTAATTGATATATTTGGGTAGGGGTGCCAGAATGGTACAAGTATGTTAGCTCACTAAACTTTATGTTAGTCTATCGCTCAAGGAAGTTGACAAGAGGGGTGAGAACATTTTTCAAAAATCCTTTCCTTGAGAATTACATATAGGGTCCATAGGCCAAGTAAGGGTAATTTAAAGGACACTCAAGATGGGATTCCTAGATCTGCCATTAACTAAGCTCATTATGTGTGGGAGCTATAGGCCTAACTTTTATTTCCCATTATAATAGATCACATGTAAGGTTGATTCCTGAATAGAGCTTAAGATCAACCCCATCACAGGTCAAATATTTTGGGCCCATATTCACAATTGTCATTAAATCACGCTCACATTCTTGCAATAAACAGATATACTAGGATGATATAGGGGTTAATAAAATCTTGTCCTTTTTGGTTTGGTTTATAAAATAAATAAACAAAACACATTATTTTATGTTACATGTCATGGAGTATATTATGTGATAATTTCTCCACACTATATAATAGTATATTATGTCCAATGGAAGTTACTCAATCTATGCATATGTGATATTTTTACAATATGATCTCTATGGTTACAACAAGGTACACAAATATGGGATGGATGAGGTAGATTTTTGCTTGAATCTCAAACTTTAACCAACCTTTTTGAATTCCTCAAATTTTCACTCAAACCCAGTTTTATGTCAGTTTGCTCAATCATCTGTCTTCCGAAACCCTACAGCCCAAATCTAATCCACATAGAATCCATCTAGACACAATGTGAATCCATGTAGCACGGATTCCACATGGATGAGAATTGGCTGTATGGTGGGATACAAGATTATGGGGAACTAAAGACTCCACACAAGCCCATTTTGAATGAAAATGTTGGGGATTACAAAGGAGGCTTATCTATGCTATAATATCATGACATAGCCAAAGCTAGAATCATTAATCAAATACTGTTTAATTTCGATTGACCAACAAGTTTACATATTTTTTTAATGAAATTTGAACTCCAGTCTAGTACACAGCTCCAGAAAACAGCAGTAAATAACCTATGCCAATCCATGTAAATTAAGGATTCTAGGAGCCATGTGCTGGACTGCATCATATTAAATATCCATTCATTTTAAGATCCAACCATATCTGGTAAGATGTTGAAAACAAAGATTTAGCAAGATTTTTCCGTCATCTGTTGGGACATAATCAAACTTGAGTTTACATAATAGTCTGCCCAAGTCCAGGTATTAAGTTCCTGATTAGTCGTTCATTGTTAGCCCATGAATGATAAAAATCATAAATGACTAAAATACAATGTGATAATGTACAGTTTATGTTGTGATGTCACTGACACCGCCATGTCAGATTATGACATGAGCGGTAAATATTTTTAATACAGTGTAAATGCAAATTAAGTACACAATTATAGAGGTAATATAAGGTGAGTTATAAATATGAATGACATAATCTTGTATTAAAACAGCACAAATTGGTTTATATATTTCTTATACAATTCATGTTTAGATCAAATAAACAATCTCAACCATAACTTGTTTGAGAATGTAATCATAACATTGAATTTGGTGGTAAATATTAAGACATTTCAACCCAAGAGTATTAATAAAAGTTAGTGTATGTACAGGCTTTTTAATACTCATTTGAATGAACCCCAATATCAGTTTTTATGACATACTTAAATCAGCATACATCCCAAATGAGACACTGGTTGCCATGGTTTCCATATCCCTATGGAGAAATTTTGATATACTAGTAACCAATGACGATGTTTCAATACAAGAATGAAATGATGGGACTGAGTCTGCTATCTGACTGAGTACAATGAATTTGCTCGTTCCAAAACATGTTCTGTGTGATGTCAATATAATACATTAAATAATATCTAAAATACCTATTCTAGCTACACGGCACCTAGATCGCAAATCTAGATTCTTTCTACATTTGTACATACATGAAATACCATGATAAAATGTTACAATGTCACACCCATAACACAATATTTCATTGAAATTTGAATAAAATAATCTACTTCAAAGTAGTGTGAACTACCTGCATGTTATTCTATTCCATATTCTATTCTACAACTTTATTCTGAATTCGTAAAATTTGACAATGTGACATCTTCCATGGGTGACAATTATTAAAGATATCCCTGTATAGTTTTATACACTGATAGACTGATTTCCAGACTTTACAATGTTTCTGTACACAATAATTACTTGTATATTATAATTGGGTTTAATAATGCGATTTAAATACAATAAAATACATTATGAAAGGATGATACACTAGTTCTATAATAATAATAAAAATTTGAATAAAAATAGTTTGGCTTAATATAAAGTAATGTTGTTTATAAATGATAGTAAAAGAGTACAAAAGTGCACATGAAACTAGGACATATGTGGAGTCGATGTATGACATACGTGGAGCCATGGGTACCACATATGTATGGAGAAGCTCTCCTACCACATATGTATGGAGAAGCTCTCCTACAACATATGTACCACATCTGAAAAAGCTACAACCACCACATACATAGAAGTTGGGACTACCACATACGTCATAAAATAATGAGATTAGAAACAAAGAACGGAAACATAACAACAGAATACGGATAATGATTTATGAAGAATACCACACATTCTGTAAATGGTCCAAACTTTACATGTCACGCTTCACTTAACTAGCAATTTAGATTACTTTGATTAAAAATCTGGTATTTTAACAGATAAAATCTGAAATTTTAACAGATAAAATCTGAAATTTTAACAGATGAAATCTGGAATTTTAACAAATATGGGAGAGATCCCATAAAGCTTAATAAGCACATGCATGGTATTTTTCACTAAACATTCACTTTTGGTTCTAATATATAGAGCACCATGGGTTGTGATAAAATATTTATACATGTACTGCAATATTATACAGCTCTGTTATAATCCACTGTTAATCTAATAACAACTCTTATACTTTTATATATGGATTTAGGTTAAATTGTATAAAATCAAAATTGTATTATTAAATCATCAGCCTACTAGTAAAATCATTATTCTAGCTTCAGTGGTAAAGTAGACTGAGATTCGTTTTAGACACTACTACACTAGATGGGGCTGGTGGTTGACAACACATTGTGACAAAATAGATCTGCTTGCGTTCATTGTTCCATAACTACGACTAGATGTGCAAACTTTGAATGTCACAATATTATGTGCATCTATTTGGGACAAATATATCGACCCTAGTTGTAAAAACACCAGCCCCAAAATGCAAACTGGTCACTTACAATGAGATCTCTATGATTCAACCTCAATGTCAACTCTGTTAAAACACAAATACAGACACACATGAAATTCATGACAAACCACAAATATGTTTGTTATTTTCAAGACTTGTTTATTTTTGGGTTGTCATGAACATGGCAGTGAATGTGTAGCTATATATTATTAGACATATTATACAAATGGCCCTATACTCTTAAATACTGGCCTACTGAACCCTTTCTTTCTACATATATACACTTCCACTTGGCACATGGTTCTTGTCTTTTGATCCCCTCATGACACAACTAATACATGAGAACAGGTACATAAAAGAGGATTCGATTTACATCAGATCCTCCTTACTGCCTTTGGCCTAGGCAGAGTCACACAATGTGAGCAACAGTGTACTTCTGGAAGTGATATATTCCTGTATGGCTATGATAGGGCAAAGGCAAGCCAGTCCATTTCCAAAAAGAGATTTCTTCAACCAATATTTTTCAACACACTACCTGACAGAATAAGGGGGTTTCCTTTCCTATTATTGTACATACATAAATTTCTCTATATGACTGTTACCAAATTGTTTGAGTACAGCTTCAAAATAAATAAAGTACAAGTGAAACAAACGACATTATCAGATTGTGGTCAGTTTTCTACTACGTAGTAGTTCTGATGTTAATGATTGTATTGGTCGACGTACATCTCATTTAGCCAGATTTAGCCTGAGTATTGACTTTCCGATATACTTTTATAAAACACTCCATCGAGTGTCCCTATATGACTAAGGCTGGCACTCGCGGTGGTAACTTGCCCAATATTGAATTTCTTCTAATAATTTCTTCATTTCTTCATTCAATGTACCAATTTGATTGTCCAAGGTTTTTAAAGTACTGTGATTCTCTTTGAATTTTGTCTCCATTTCTGAAAAGTAAACAATTTAAAAATTACTATTTATAATGTTTTGAATTCATAGCTTTATTTCAAAATTATACAAGTAAAATGTCCAGGAGTGGGTGAAACTTCATAACTCTCAAAATGTGTTACAATGAGGGCATTATCACACGTACAATAACATGAAATAATTTCAAAATCTCTCCCAACTCGACAATGATGTAGATTGTGTTAAAATGCCTCAATAAATTGAACTTATTATGAAAGGTGGAAAATTGCATACAGCATTACAAGGAACAAACAAAATGTTCATCTCTTACTGATAATAAATATGTATTCATCTTACCTTGTAATTTGGTTAATTTATCAGTTATATCTACAGCTAATATAGTGGCATTATTTTTAAGACTTTCTGCCTTGCCCTTGGCCATGGTAGTTTCTTCATACTTCTTGGTGAGCTCCTCTTTCACTTTTCCATAATTATCAGTAAGATTTTCTGCAGCCTAAAAACATATAACTCAAACCATTACTTGAATTCTCAAATAAATATATATACACCTTCTAAAACTTGAGTTTTCATTAGACATTTACCCAAGTACAGATACAGTAATTTACGACATGCAATGTATACATATTTCGTATTTGAATGAGTAAGCATACTAACTTATCTGCGATGAACATTTAGGATTACAGGTGCTCATAATTCATGCATTATATGTGTTTTAACTGGTGCATATTTAAAACACACAAAATATGAAACTAGATATTACATATTGCCCCTGTATTGGTACTAATACAATGATCACAGTATGGTTCAGGATTTATAAGCTCAGAGACTTATGGGTCTAACTTACATCTTCTGCTTCATCTGCAAGTTTTTGAGCAACTTCTGCCTGACGCTTGGCTTTCTTAACATCATTCTCATTTTCAAGATATTTAGTTTTTAGCTTCTCAAGACGTGCTTTGAGATCTTCTATATCTTCATATGCTCTTGTGGACTTGTCTAAACCTGCTGATGTCTCTGATTCAATCTGAGAAAAAACAAACAAAAATGTTAAACAATCTAATAGAAAGCATGAACATGACACAAAATCAAATTTTAAGAGGTTTCTGCTCCAACAATAGCATACTACAACAGCATAACACACTGTCTCTTTATACAATTCAATATCTCAATTATCTTGATAGTTCTCTACTTACAGAAGTGAGATCTTTCTCAGCGTTATCAATGTCTTCATTTGCTGCATCTATAGCTTCAGTTGCAATATCTTGTGCTTCTCTGGCCTGTTTGAGTAGTTCCAATATTTCATTGGCAGTATCTCTGATAGCATCAGCATTCTCCCTATCAAACAAAGGACGATCAAACTGTTAAATATTTTTTGGGGTTTTAATGTGACCATGTTTGAAATTTGTGCTGCCCAGGCCCCGTATAAAATGGTGGGAAATTCAAATATTTGAAAATGATAAGATGAACAAATTTTTTCAAAATTTTCACAGGGCCTTTAATGATTTTTATGAGGTTTGAAAATCAACTGTAATTCCAGATTTACTTGTGACTTGTCTGAATATTAATAAGATCATTTACTTTGCTTTGTCTGCCCTTTCTTTCAGATTCTTTGCTTTCAGAAGATCATCCCGTGTAGCATCCAAGATGGCGTCAATGTCTGTTAGTCCTGTAATGGTCTCGTTGATCTGTCGTGATAGGTTCCTGATTTCTTCAGGTTTGAGAGATATGACCAGATCCAACACTTGTTCACAGTACTGAAAACAAAAACAAAAAAAAATATGCACCACAATTCTGAAGATCTAAAATATTTCATATTTCAAAAGCGTGGAATGTCTCTCGTGATCATACACCAGCAATAAATCAAAGACAACGTATGTATGTTGCGATTAAGATTTTTTGAAAAGCAGTCCTTGACCTTGGCCATGGATGGGCCATATAATACTACATGAAGCTTGGGCAGTCTAAAATAACATACAAACTGAAATTGTAACAGAGGAACATGCGGAATTCCACAACTATATGTATAAAAATGAACAAATATATTTAATCTGAGAACAATACTGACAGAAGACACAATTGATATTTTCAGCATATGTACTGAGGTAGACAATGATAATTAAGATGACATGAAAATGGAACATAATGATTACAACATTACAGCATGATACATCACATGATATGAATCATTATCATTAGTGCCCATAATGAGACCATGACATGGTGATGTTAGATTTCTATGTCACCACATATGGTATATTAGTATATACACCAGTGCCAAACCTATGAACTGAACATACCCACACTACAACACTAAACTGACTAATCCTAGGGTCACAATTACAGTAGACTAATGTACAACGTACCACAGTAGTAATGGTAATGAATCAATGTATCTAGGGGAGAGGGAACACTCTACAACTACATAGGGGTAGTATTATAAGGGTTTTGGTGGGTTTCTTTCATTATAACTTCTTTAAAATGTCCCATATAATAAGAGGATTTAATCTAGATGTTTGAAAGGTTTTGACTCAGATCTTTAAAGGGGAATGTCCAAAATTTGGAATGTGTGTTACACCAGATTTTTGTGGTACCTTATCCCATAGTAGTTACTTCAAATCGGTGTCATAGCTTCAGAAACATCGATTCTAACTTGAAATATCCACACATGGTTTAGGATGAAATACATTTTTAATGAGCTCCCTGTATTGAAGGATCCATGTGTTATGCTCCCTGTAATGAATGATCTATGTGTTATGCTCCCTGTATTGAATGATTTATATGTTATGCTCCTTGGATTGAAAGATTTAAATGTCAGTCCCTGTATTGAATTTATCCCTGTAATAATGCATATTTCAAACTGTTGCCATGACTACCAAAGTAATGATGAATGCCTAAATTAACTGCCAGGGAATGGTAACAATATGTCATTAATAATATGTGAGATGTTGGGAGTTACCCCGGTTATTGCTATTGTTACTAGTCCTTTATTATTGCCTGCTGTTAAACCCCTGCTTTGCTACTACAACCCTTCCTTTGTTACTACCCCACCTTTGTTACTACTGTATGTTACTAACTACTCTACTAAATTGCTAGTAGATCAGAATTTAAGTTCGGCTAATATGTTATAATACCATATAGGGTCAACCAGACCCAAGGGTTACACCCAATACCATATATGGCTGTAAACCAAAATGTTTAATTTAATTACTACTTTAGTTGCTATGGAGATACAATTGGCCATACATACATCAAGATAAAACAGGGAAAATATTTCCAGTAAAAGATCATGTGTCTTGATAAACAAGACATATGTTTTAACTTTCTATTTTCCCATGATCTACTGGATGGTAGGCACCTCTACAAGGAAGAGTTGTTAATTTGGGGATATTGTATAATTCTCTTCATTTAAAGAGCTTGTGTATCAAATCTGGAAAAAAGGGTATGAACAGTCATGAAGTTCATACATCCTTTATACAGGTTCATCAATCTTACTTAGTGCATGGATGGAGAGAAGAAAATGTGAGTATAGTGTCACAAATATACAAATAATGCACAATCGAGACTTTAATTTGCATGCTTGATCAGTGAAATCATCAAGAGAGTCTGTTTCTAGAAGACAAAGTGTTATTCCGGGTACAAAATTTCACTCATGGTCGTGCTTTTTCAAACATTCTCACACAATGTATCTCTAAATAAAGTGCCAGGCTTTCGTTCATTCTTTTTTTCTATATAATTTAGAACATCAATTTCATGCTTGTTGAGTTCATCCTGGTCAGTACCAGGAGAAAGTAACGGTCATTATATACCCTTTCAAAATGGTGGATTGTAGATGTTGATTTCAATATTTCGAGCTTTCCATGAATTCAATGACTTTACCATGGACATTTGTCTTTAAATTTCTACCATATGAAGCTTGTATGACATCAATCTATATGTGATATATGAACAATAATTATTATAATGTTATGATACAAGCTTGGTGTGGTCACAATGTCAAAGTCAATATCCACCATTTTAAAAGAGGGTAACGGCTGTTACCTTCTCCTGATACTGCCCAGTGACTGTGAACCACATTGTTTTGTAATTTCAACTCTGACCACAGTGAGATTTTGTGTACAGGACTAACAACTGCCTCTATGAGACATGGGTGACAAAATTTCAATATGCTTTATTTTTCTCAACGACCTGATTCAATGAAGGATATGCTACCAAATATGGTCATCTTAAAGGGACTCAACTTCTTTCTCTTATCAAAATTTCTAATAAAATATAATTGTGGCATTCTGTAACTTACACTCTAAATAGACTATAATACAAACCTTATGTTCTGTAAAAAATAAGATAAGTCCCATATTAAGCTTGGACATCTTCAAATCTCCTTGATCAAACACCTGGCCATAAAAATGGCAAAACAGGGAATTGATATGTTGGGGCCTTACAGATCGAAACAACTTTATTTTTCATGGAGCCTTTAAATAAGGAAATAAAGCTTGAGCCCCTTTAAGAACTATGTGAATTATACAATGAACAATAGTGTGACTGTTGCATTTTTAGTTTTGGTAGATACTTCAAAGATTGACCAATTTTACCAAAGAATTATTGAGAAAAATAAACATATTTTTGTGATTTACAGTCTCGGGAATTTGTTTAACAGTTATGTGTGCCCATGTCTGCATTTTCGGCAGTGAATATAACACAGGAGGTGATTGGTCGAGTGGTTGAGGGCATACTTACTGTACGAACTGAGTCAACCTGTAATATTGTAACAATAGCAGATCAAACATACATTGATTATTAGAGACTGAAAATAACAAAATGCTTTTCTCACCATGTCTTCACAAGGCTGATTTAGAAACTCAACAAACAGTTAAAAACTCATGCACTTTCATGGAAGCGTGGTCCAAATCTTTGAACAATTTAGCACATGAGTTCAAAACCATTTTGCTTTCCTTCAAATGACATTGTTTACCATAAAACTCAAACTTCTACTTGATGTACTCATCTTTAGCTTCAGTTTATATCATATGATTGTTGTGATAAAATATCCTTTTTTCATTGGATGTTTGTTATCTTTCTAATATCACCTAGGAACATACTATTGTTAGAAATTCAAAATGATGTCCATTGATGAAAGAGTATCAACGAAGATGAGAGAAAATGCAGAGATGTAAAAGTGATGAGATATTTAGGTGTACAATGGCAAATGATGGATCTTATTATAGTTGAAGAAAGAATTTTGCATGCAATTATCCTACACCACAACACTAAGATCAAACAACCAAGTAATAAAGTGTGTAAATTATGCTGTTACTCTCCACCAGGGAATATCAATCAGTATTCTTTACCAGTAAGTGTCTACAAGTGTAACACTTGACCAGTGAGTGTCTGCAAGTGTAACTCTCTACTAGTGAGTGTCTACAAGTGTCACTCTCCACCGGTGGATGTGTACTTGTGTAACTCTCCACCAGTGAGTGTCCACAGTGTAACTCTACCAGCAAATTTTAACCAGATGAGTGTCTGCCAGTGTAACTCTCCACTAGTGAGTTTCTACAAGTTTAACTCTTCACCAGTGAGTGTTCACCAGTGTAACTCTACAAGCAAGTTTTAACCAGATGAGTGTCTGCCAGTGTAACTCTCCACCAGTGAGTGTCTACAAGTGTAACTCTTCACCCGTGAGTGTTCACCAGTGTAACTCTACCAGCAAGTTTTCACCAGTGTCACTGTCCACTTATGAGTGTCTCTCAGTGTACCTCTTCACCAGTGAGTGTCAACAAGTTTAAGTCTCCACCAGTGAGTGTCTATCAGGGAGTATCAATAAGTGCAACTCTCTGTTATAAATGAACCTATGCTAACCAGGGCACACATCTATTTAGTAATTTGTGAGTATCACTGGCTAAATATTCTAGTGCTAGGTTGGTGTATGTATGGTTTAAGTTGGGTTATTCAGAAAACCCATTATTTTATTACATTTTATCAAAAGTGTGAAAACCCATATATAAAATTGCAACTTAACCCCAGGATGCAGTGGTGAGAAATCATGATGATAGTGAGTAAAATATCCTCATGATAGTGTTATATATTGCCAAACAGTATGACATATCCCCAAACAGTATGACATATCCCCTAACCCGAAACAATGTGACACATCCCCTGACATAGTGTGGAGTAACTCGTTAATAATGTGCCATAACTCTGTGATATTGTGACATGGCCCCATCATAGTGTGACAAATCCCCTTTATCACCATGATTGTGTGACATGGCCCAATCATAGTGTGACAAATCCCCTTTAGAGTGTGACCTATCACCATGATTGTGTGACATGGCCCCATCATAGTGTGACAAATCCCCTTTAGAGTGTGACCTATCACCATGATTGTGTGACATGCAATTAGTGAATACTTAAGAAGTTATCTACCCAGATAACAGTGTGAAAGATATGTTTACTGGCTTATGTAACTAATAACAGAAGATATAGGAGTTAAGTATATGGAAAAGGGATAAATCATGAAAATAAATGAACTATATGAGTAATATATTGAAACATAAACTAAAAGATTCTAGAATGGTGTACTAATGCTGATGGCAGTTAATAAGCATTTCTCTTATATGACCTCCTTCTGCTATGACCCAAAACTATGTTGTACCTATTATCTGACTACTTCATGCACATGCTTCTCATAGAGCCGATCATACTGAACAACTAAAGAATATTCAGTTTAATCTAGATTCATAGCAAAGTAAAAGTAATTTGAGCTATTACATACAATGTACACATATACTGTCTATTCTATACAAATATAGCAAACCATTGATCTTAAGACATAGTTTAAGACATATTCTATCAAATTATTAACATCAATGCTGTTTTAACTGACATCTACAATAGCACATGCATTTTCATTTGCTAGGGTAATATATCATGTTTCTATGGCAACCAGACTAACTGTAACAATGACAACAGGAAACAACAACTTACAGTCCTGACTTCCTCTGGTGTGGCTCTTTGCTGTGATAAGAAGTCTCTGATCTTCTGGAGGAGATCTAGCAACATGTCCCTCATTGTGGTAGACTGATTCATAGCCATGTAGGCACGGTCATATGCCATCTGGGCTGCATCTTTGGCATCATCTGCATCTGCCTTAGCATCTCTTACCTTTAAAGAGGATTTATTGAAATAGTACATTCGAACATAGGTTTTTCAAACTACAGTAGAACCTGTCTTAGTGAACAACTCTCTCTCGTAAACACCTGTTTAGTGAACATTACTTGAAGACACCCTTTACATTAACTCCTGTATAAAATCCCTAAAGTGAACACCTATATAGTGAAAGCATTTAATTGGCTCCATAGGTGTTCACTATATACAGGTTTTACTGTATATTATAAAATATTATGTTTTCCAATATTCTGCTTGCTACACTCATCATAATGGCCTTGACCTTAATGTATTCTCCATGGTGAAAATACTAACACTGTTCAACAAGGTATCTGATTTCTCTTTTTTGTCAGAGAGAGATACATTCCCATCCTTAGCATAGTCTAGAGCGCCTTCTGCCTTGGAGACTGCACCCTCATCACAACTGAGACCCCCACACTTGCCACATCCAGCTCCTCCACACAACTCGTCACATGGTTCCCCACGTTTGTCACATACCTGAGGGAAAGAAATGTGAAGATAGAACAATGGTTGAATTCCAAATGGAAAAACCCAGCATAAAAATTTAAACTCCAATTTTTACTGCCTGACATGATGATAACCCAATTCATGATTTTGGGTTGAGACCCTGTGAGATCAAAGGCTTTGTTGTTGCTTTTGGAAAATATTAGTCAGGCCTGAGGATATGTCCATAGGCTGTAAACACAAGGTTCTATTCATTGGATCATTATCTCATTCATATTCACTATTTTAATCATTATGCATCATGTAATTTCATTTCATTATTTTGACTTGGGAACTAGAGTCATATATTACCAAATGCCATAACATGCCATTTCATTTTTAATATACAAATCATGGTATAATGATGTGACATACCATTTCGTTCAAGTCAGTAATTCCTGCATCTAGGTCATTGACTTTAGAGTCAATATCATCCAATTTCTTATCATTTTCCTCAATTTTCCTATCAAACTCATCCTGATTGTCTGCGAGGATTTCATCAACTTGTTGGCGAACATTTGATGAGTCTATTACAGTGTATTCTGTTTGGTCGACCTTCATCTGGGCTTTGCGGGAATCTTCCTGGGCTTTCTTCGTGATATTGTTGAAGGCACCTACAAAAATAGGCAAGATGTTTATGTCTCTAATCTTCGACAGGATATGAGTTCTACACGGAAAATGTATGTCAATTTTAATACAAATTTTTAGTTTAGTTATCAATTTGTCAATGTCAAATGCATAATTAGATTAAGTAAAAGACCTCCACATTTGTAACTCCAGGATTACAATCATGTTATACTATACCGGTTTATTTAGAATGTCCTTTCATTATATGGCTGCTGCATCACATACTCCCCCTGCCCCTTTAAACTATTAACAATTTTGACATTCCTCTATTACCTTCTACATCTCCCAGTAAGATATCTGTTGCATTTTTCTCCAGTTCTTCAGCTGCTTTCTTCAGGTCCTCCACTTTACGTTTAATATTGGCCAGTTTGTTGTCGACAGTTGTCACTCTCTGGTTGGTGTCATCAAGGTCGATCTTAACGTCATCTATGGCATTGTCATTCTCAGTCAGATTTGTTCTGAAATGAATAAAATAGTTTATGTTTTACACAGATAGGTGTGGCTACTCTGGAAAGTCTGGTCTCGACATCGCCTGAAGGTATTGTCCCAAAGACATCAACAAAGATCCTAAAAAGTTTTTATTTGCTTTACTATATGAAACAAATATTTGTTCACCAGGAATACCTGTAACTTTGCATAACTGTAAAAAGCTTAAAGCCTGTAAAAACCAAACTGTCTACCAGGATTTTTTAAGTTGAACAGATGAATGAAGAGATATGGACGGATGGATGGATAAAGGAACAGATGGGTGGATGGCTTCTCTATATCCTTGCCAATCTGTCTTGTGGGATAATTAAAGTTTGCTCCACATTATCAAGATATCATCCAACATTTAGAATATGACTCTCAAATACCAAATGCTGTTTGTTATCTATAGCATCATACCTTATAGCTCTTAATTTCTCCTTTAGGTCGGTGATATCTCCACTGGTTATGTTTGCATTCTCCACAATATCTCTGACTTGATCCAGTTTATTCTCCATGTCTTCAAACTCCTTCTCAAATGCCCCTGGGGCACCCTCTCTCTTAATATCAGCAGCTTCGTCAATCAGAGTGTTGGTCTCAGCTAGAACAAGAATAATCATGAATTCTAAAATTTTTATGAACTTTGTTGAATACAACTTGGTTTGTTTAATATATCATGAATTCGACAACATATTCTAAAAGTGAATTGACTAAAATGTGATACAGGAGTTAAAATGTTTTCATGTTAACAAGCACAAAATCGTTTCATTAGAAACCAATGCTTACTTCTCAGTTCATTGATGATCCTATCCCAGTTCTCAAAGCATTCTCCGCAAGGCACACAGTTAGGTAGTGTTCCAGTGGTTCCCCTATCACAACGGTCGCATCTGTCTCCTGCTACACCCTCCAGACAATCACACAGTCCAGTTCGGCGGTCACATTGGAGTGTGGCAGATCCACTGGCATTGCACTTGCATGCTGAAAATAAAAGTCACCATTTAGATTTATGACAGCTCTATTCATATATTTTGAGAATTTGACAATACAGTTTTAGGTTATATATCGAAGAACTAATGTTATTTTATCAACACTATAACATGGGTCACATATGAGATTCATCTATATTTATGTATAATCTTTGAAACTCTGTTTGCACTATTTCCTCAAACAGGCACACAGTGATAAATAGCTTACGATAACATCCTGTGGAAGGGTCTCCCCACATGTTCTGTTCACAATCAGAGCATGTTCTGCCTCCTCTGCCCTCCTCACAATCACACTGTCCTGTGAACTGCAACAAAACAAATGAACAATATTTAAAATACACCATATTTGGCTTGGGAACTGCTTCATTTGTGATATCATATGGCATTCCATTCAAAAAAGAGAATATTTTCTTAAAAGTTCCCATAAAACTTTGAAATTTGTAATTGCCTGTAATCTATCACTACTCTTTTAAGACTTCAGTCAAATCAAAAGTGAAGTCAAAAACTATACTGCATACATATATGTTTATGTAAAAGTCAGAAAATAAAAGAAGTTAATGCATGGGATTCTCGCACTGAATGAATTCCTCACCTGATTACACTGGGACCTGAATGAACCAGTTAGGTCACAGTTACAAGCCTCACAGCCCTCTCCACTGGCGATCTTCCAGTAGTTGGGTGCACACTGATCGCATGACTGGCCTACTACATTGGGCAGACAGGGACACTTTCCTGTGTTGCTGTCACAAGGGCCTGCAGATTGGTCTGTGCCAAGTGGATTACAGATACATTCTACAATAGAAAGAGATATGAAGTTGTACAAACGATGTTATCAAGACACAAAAATTAGTTTTATTAGTATGGATTGTAAAAACATATAAAGTGGATATTATTTCAGTATGTTGTATTGATGTGTTCTTTATAATAACAAAGCACATTATACTCAACTGACAATTAATTTACAGTATTTGGATTTCTAAACAATGTAATATACAATTTGTGTATAAATAATTTTAATGAAGAAAATGACCAAAAAAGAAAGATGTTTATATTTTGACATTTTTTAAGGTTACTTGAACACCCATTTACTGTTTCGCCTCCTCCTCACTAAATTATCAAAATAGATTAAAAACCAAGGAGGATTGGCTCCCAGAATGCAACACCGATATTCTGCAAAACAATCACCTAGCGATAGCTTTGTTGGAGAGTATCGGGTCATTCTCCATGCAGTCGTACAAATTATACAGACACGAATAGCAAATGACGCATGCGTGGAGATTAAAGAATATCGAGTTGGAACCCTGGCTTCCAATCCTCCTTGATTAAAAACCTTACTTCTGCATTCTTGTTTAGTTGCATCACCATAGTAACCAGGTTTACAATATTGACAGTTGAAGCCTTCAGTGTTCCCAAGACATTTGAGGCACTCTCCTGTTCGCTTGTCACAGCTGCCTGGTACTCGTGAGTCGATGTTCCCGCTGCATGTACATTTTTGACAGGTCCCGCCTCGCTGCCGAGGGTTACCATAGTAGTTCTCAGCACACTCGTCACAGTTGGCACCTAAATAAATACGAGGACTTGTGATATATGCAGGGGGCAATTCTGACTATCATTGATAGTATATAGGAACTATATGACATTATAAACCACAAGTCAAGGATTACCTTCAGCTTTTACAATTTTACAACCATTTTCTATGTAAATTGATCCAAAGTTAAATGATATTGATGCTCAAAATCAATGATATATTCTTGGATAGGTCACAGTAGCTGGATTAAATGTTTTTAATTCCAGAGATTGAGAAATGAAAAAAATCACAATAGTTACATTAGTTTCCCCACAAAGCTTACCTACATATCCTGGTTTACAATTGCACCTGACATTCTGTGTGACACGGTCAAGTTGACAGGTATCTGCATGCTGCATACCACTGTTGGCACCACCGGGGCACATGCACTCCTTGCAAGCGATTCCCACTCCTACACGGGGGTCACCATAGAAACCAGGGGCACACCTGCAGGGTAGTCAAGATATATATTTCAATATCTACATTGTACTTATGATCGAGATAGTAGATTCATATACAAGATGAGAGTTGGATCATTGAAACTTTGCAGAAATTCTTTTTTGACAATATATCTGTATATATTAGAAAAAAACATTCCAAATGACTTGATAGTTCAGTGTCCTTAGAATGAATCTTGAGTTGTTGTTATATATTTCTAGGGGTTATATTACTCAAACAGTTATCAGCTAACTTACACTCCACAGTTGGGTCCAGCAGTATTATCAGCACATCGTAAGCAACCACCAGTGCCATCTGCACACTCTGGGGCATGTCCGTTACACTCACAAGGCTGGCAGTTGGGGAAGTTCCAGAACCCTGGGAGACATTTGTTACACTGGCGCCCCTTGATCTTTGGAATACAGAGACACTGCCCCGTGGTCACTTCACAGAAGTTATCCCTTGAACCACGACCATCGCAATCACAGGCTGGAAGTAGAAGTATAGTTATTAAAATATTCATGAGCTCAATTGATATTATGAGCATAGAACATAAGCTAAACCAGCCGCTACAATGGAGGTCTTTTCTATGGCTTTTATTCAGCGCTTTTGATACTGGAACTAGAACAAGCTAACAGTGTTCAGATTGGCAGATATTCACATTTTAATGTCTTTAAACATGAAACCCTTTTGGTAAATTAAACAAATGGGACCCAAAAAAGATTGACATTGTAAATTGGTTAGAGAGGTTTTTGAATATACAAGTTTTCCTCCGCAGTACTTCTCATTCATGGTGCTCAATGGAAACTGAATTAAAATAACAAACAAAATATTAGGTCAATATCTACCAGAACATCCTCGTGGTCCAAATCCATAGGTTCCAGGGGCACACTGGTCACAGCGACGTCCAATCACATTGCTCTTACATTGACAATCTCCACCTAGTGGTGCACACTCAGCACTATGGGATCCTGTTACGTCACACTCGCAAGCTGCAAAAATCAACACATATGTACTCTGTGAACTACGACCATAAACTGTTGGACCTACAGTTTTTTATACTCTAAATACATGAGTTAACCCTTCATTCTTCTACCAAATCTAAGTATTATTTCTATATATTTAACATTATGGGATGCTACATCTTTAACTAAAATACAACTCCAGAAAGATTTATTTTTGACTGCATAGACTTTGTTTTGGAGTTTCATTGGCTACCAAGATTTCTTCCTGATTTTTGCAATCAGTATGTTCAAGACCAAAACCAACAAGGAACCTTGGGAGCCATTCCACCATGCCCAAAACTCAAACGTTGACATATACTCACGTAGCGCCCTTTGATGAGTAACAGCTCCAATGCTGAATATAAGCTTTTTACAAGATTCTGGTAATTCTCCTCTGATCATGGATTCCTGTTTCTCTCTACATTGATCACGTATGAACTTGATCTTAAGATCTTCTGGCAAACCTGGTCCTTGGAAGATTGGGATGCTGTCTACATTTGGCATTAAGGCAATCTGCAAAAGAATAATTATGATTTATAAAAACATGCATTCCTGTTTCTGGGTATGCTTTCTAGATTTTTTCATAACTTAAAGGTTGTTGAGCTACACGAGGCTGATTTATTTATTTCCATGGTGGTATTTCATAGCTTTTAATGATCCCGTTTCTTACTGAGTCTATGAGAATACTGGCATCTGGTGTCGTGCGGTCACTCTTGTATCGGTTGAAATCTAAACGTATCGTGTAGCTCACTCCACTCTCCAGGCAAGATGGCGGTGTTACAACATAATGGCGGCTACCTGAAACAAAAATCAAAAGATTAAAATTTAAGGAAAAGAAATTGTTGAATTTGTGATATCTGACAGTGTAGTTTATAGCATTGTGTGATTAGGACTTTTTGTGCATATTGAATAAATATTTGACCCTAAATTTCTTGTAAAAATTTAATAAAAAAATGGTTCAACTGATCAAATCTTCAATTTCAGGTATTTTTACAACCCATCACCAAACAATTAATTCTGCATTCCATGGCTAACTTGGATTAGACATTGACATCACTTTCCCTTATTAGTTAATGGCAAAATTCCTTTATATTCTTACCACAGATAAATGATAAGAGCATTGTAGCAAAAATAAATAAATGTCCAAGTTAGATTTTTTTTATAAAAGCATTAACATATATAAAACATATTGGCATTTTTTGTTTTATGGTTTTAAGAGGTTTATGTTTTTTTGTTTATCAAGTTATCCCACCACTCAACCCAATATTGTCTTTTAAACTGTTAATAGGTCTTCTGTACTAAAGTATGTTATAGGTAGTTTACTCTTTCTAAATCATTTTGTTCGTAAATCATTGTTGTGGGATGGGGCTCAATCTAAGGGCATGCTCTGGGTTGTTCTCTTCTGTAATAATAAATCTTGCACCAACCTAAACGTTTTGATTTGTTGGTTACATAATTGTTGTGTTAGTATGATAAGCTATGGGAACATTATTTGAGTCAATCTATGTTTTTGGAGGACAATCTGAATTTAATTTGAACTAAAGCTGTAGTGTTAACTGAGTCTCTCACAAAGTGACATGGTGTCATGTTGAATATACAATGGTGACAAATTGAACATACTATGGCGTCATATTGAGCATAAAATTGAATGAACTATGGAGTCATACTGAATGTATCATGGTGTCATAGAATAAACCATGGTGTGATATTGAATACACTATTAAGTTCAAGATGACACTGAACTGGCATTTGCCATTACAATTTAGGTACAACACATACAGCTTCAGTTTATTTGAGGCATGATTAAATCAAGCTACTTCTTACCCTGAAAGCTACCAAGTGTTTAGAGCATCAATACATTCACTACATCCATTAAATCAGATAAAATGAAGTCATTCAAATGTTCCCATTAAATTCTGTATCAAATATTCCCCTCCCTCGCTCCAACATTAATCACCAAAATGCTGATACTGCACTACTATATTTGGATGTTCTTAAGATGATGCTGACTCAAAACACTTGGAACTCTCAGGGGTTTCCTCTCTTTGAGATATCCCAGCCAGCTCAGGGCTGTGGGCCTCATGCTGGCCCTGATTGGATGATTTACCTATCCGCGTAACTATATGCTGTGTCCTTACTTAATGGCCAAGACAAGAAACAAGGCAAATATCAATACATAATAGCATACATCAAAGAACATAGTAACATTGTGTATGTGCTTCATGAGTTAAAAGTCAGTTTTGGTGAAGACCCCTTAGTATCAATCAAGATGTTTTAGTACAAAATGCAACTGTAACAATAGTGAACAAGGCATTAACATGCAAAATGTCACCACCTGCCATTGGTTAAAAATGCCAAGTACCAAATCGCTGACTGCTGCCACAAAATAGTTGGAGACTAACAATATGTCCCCACTTTTGGCGGTGACATAATAACTTAGTATGGTAACACACGAGCATGACACAGCTCTTAGTCTAAACAAAAGCTACATATTTTAATATATTTAAATAAAGTGCATCCAGATTTAGTACAGATAGCCATAGTAACATGGCATTAGATGAAATTATAATAGAGAAAAGATAGAGTAACACTTCAAAACCAACAAGACAACAACAATCAGATTGAAGCTGGAAGAAAAAGTAACACTGAAATACAATGAGACACCAACGGAAATGAAACTAAATGTGATTAATAACAGACTAACTGTATGTGTATAAGCATGGACTTCAAGTCAGTGGTACAAGAGAAGCTGTTCAAAACACTCCATGCTAACAAAGGTGAACAGTGCATAACAATAATTTAGTTATTTGCGATTAATATGTGCTCAAAAGTTATCTTTAAACCGACCTGGTGGAAGAGTTGTGGCTTTGAGATCATCCTGAGGGATGCTGTTTGCACAGACCCCCCTCTGGTCAGGTAATTCAGGACGGATCACTGTCACACGTACATCTTCCCATCGTTCAGGCATCTGAAATGTAAAGACTCCAGAATGAACATGTGTCAATATAGAAATCTTGGGCTTCTTAGGCCACATGGATGAAAGAATCAATTTAACGCAACCAGTTTATCTCATTCAATAATGCTACTACTCATCTCCAAGTCAGTAACATTAAATGAAACAAACTTCCCTTGCGATCATCAAATTGTTTCTTTGGTTGTATGTATCAAGGCAAACAACAACAATGATTAGTATAAATTCAAATGTGTTTAAAATAGTGAGGTATATTAACATTACAACAACTTTTAAAACATGGACTGATTAAACGGAATGAACAACAATAGTGAGGAAGGTGTTGAGACATTAGTGTCAAATATTTGGAAAACAAACAACGAAGGTGAACATACTGGTTTTTACGGAGAACAACAATTAACGAGTATAAAAATCTAGGTAATATGTTAAACAAACTTAAACACTGTAACATTCTTAACATGTACTAAACATATCGTAACACACTGCTAGGAACATGTTGAACATATTTCTTACCAATGTATTCCCATTTCAAACAGGCTGCATGGGATGAAAAGCACACACTAATTACTAGTAAATATCTACTCTTGGCAGATCTATTCAAAGCCATTGACTTATCATAAACGTAATCAGACAGATTGTGCAATTTCAATTTTGAATTTACCACAAGCAGTTTTATACATAAAACTAAACACATGTAGTAACTATGTAACTCCACTAACTAAAAGTTTTGTGATTGTTGATTGTCCATTTTTTTGTCAGCATATACAATATGAAACACTGACAATTTGAAACTTTCATTTGACGGAGCACATAACTACACACAAAGTACATTGGAAGAAGGACCAACTACAGGACGATAGAGACGCATGGTCTACGATATAACCTAAATAAAACATTAAAACTAGAATGACGCTCACATTTTCTAGAGCACACTCAGTAAAAGCTTGTGAATGACACACAATGAGTGCATATACACATATACAAAGAATAATCTTGTCATTTTAAGAGAAATCTCATGAATGACTGCTTCTCTCGGTTCATGCTCTAATTCACCAAATTTCTCTCTAAAATTTGAATGAAGTGTCTGATTTTTTTGTATTTCTATACAATTTGGAGTATTAACTTCATGTCTGTAAACTTAATTACTTGCCGATTCCCTCATTTCCATTTTTACTTGCAATCCGAAACATGGGTATGATATTTTAAACAAGACACAAGGTTGACAGAGTTTATACACAACAGGCACCATCACAGGGCCAGGAGACAAGACAGGGCATCTCTACTCTACACACCTTGTAATTATTACAAGTTGTTTCCATGACAAATGCACAAAAATGCACACTATGCTGAATTCACTATGCTGAACGGTGCACTATGTTGAATTGTCACGTCACATGCTCTAACGTAATGCAACATTGTTACTTGTAACAGGCATTTCTAAATAATCCAATCCTGCATTTAGTTAAGGAACAGCTTTAAAAATGAAAATAATATTTCAAATCTTTTTTGTAATATTGTTATTGATACTGATACTAAAATTTGCAGGATTAGAAATTTAGATCAAGCATTTATAATCATATTCAAAAAACCCAAAATATTCACATCACAATGTATTATTGTAGATGTGACCAAACCATTTCTCACTTCCGTGAACATTACAAACTCATTAATTGCAGTATAGTATCCCATTGTCTGGTTTGTAATATACCATTTGTGAGGAGTGGCTTTCTTTGGGTACATGGCAGAAAATGGCAACCATAATCGTTAATTACTAACAAGAAAACCACAGGGTGTCTATGATGTCTTAATGATTTTACTCCAGACCTAAAGAGCCATCATATGGCATTTTCAATGCAGACTTGAATTCATAGTTGGTGGTGTTGAAAAATAAGGCTTTGGATGTATTATGGTTGCCTTTAATGTGCCTTTATCTGATTGGTTCTCGCAGAAAGCATCGGAGGCAGTGCTACAATACTCACGAACATATAGTGGTTGAAAATCTGGACAAAGGTGTTAAACAGATACAATGTTTAGTACAAGCAATTCTTATGGAGCATTCCTCAAAAATTCTCAATTTCTTTCAAAAATGTCAAAAGTCACGAGCATCTATTGATTTGATGCATTAAATGTAATTCATGGTTCAAAATATTTTTCATTTGAAAATAATTTCAAAATTATTAATTTTTGATTTTGGAAGAATGCAAATACACTGTATAATGAAATGTGGTTAATAGTAGCATGGCCAGACATTAAGGTAATTTCAAGTGTTTTGTATCTAATTGGATATTTCTTTTTGTTTATGAAATGCTGGTACTCTAAATGTATTAAAATACTTGAAATATTAGGAATGTCTGTATTAAATACCAAGCATGCCATATATTTGATAAAAAAATCACATCAGTCATTTTTAAAAAGTTCAATCAATCCTTCTACAAACTGCATTTGATATAACTCATTTGCATATTTATATACTCCTATGATTGATTGCGGCTTTTTAGACAATTTAGCATTTTATTTGTTCAAATCAAAAGGTGTTGCTAAAAGATGTAAATAATTTGATAACATATTTTTATCAGTTGAATAACTGAACTGAGACGAATTCGAATTCAATCATTATTTCAAGTCCAACTTTTACATCTTTAAATCAGAAACACCATCGAAATGAAAATCAAATGACAACAAAAAGCAAAAATCCCATTCAACATTTTCCCACTGGATGGCAGTAATTCTATTTTATATTGATATTAATAAACGGTGGTATATTACTGTATTGTTATATATTGGTGGTATACAATTGTTATATATTATTGGAATATTTGTGGTATATTATACTGGTATATTGGTAGTATATTATTATTGGGGGATCATACCACACTATTTATATATGGAAATGGGATATTGTTTACATAAACACATATTGACTGCAACATTGGTTGAATCAATGGTGGAGATTACGGCAAGAAGCATGTAAAGCGTAATGATGCACAACAATACAGTGTTTGGTTGATCTCATATAATAGCATTATATCACTCGCCATTCGTAACACAACATTAAAAGGTGCAAATTCTTGAATTTATTGTCGAGATTCATCACAATATTATTTTCAGCCGGGCAGCAAGACCCCTGGATTCAATTGTCTACGTTGTTTGGCATTAAAATGTGGTGTTCTTCCGCGGAGAGAAAGTAGTTCGTTAATTGGATTTCTATAAAAATGACAGCCTGTTTCAAACTAAGTTTAAGGGTATTAGGAAAATGTTTAAATGTATATTTATCCAATATTATGTGAGAGTGTAGTCTCAAGCGTCGGTCTGATGTACTTTTGAACGAATATCTTATTCATGGAAGTGTCTGTGACGTATTTCCACATGGACCCAATACGATATATTTTTTAACCAAAATAACGCTTGAATCGCAAATTTTGCTGGGCCGTTTGATGATAACGTTTGTTATATTTTATCATATTCAGATATGTGGTAGCCCTAATGACGCCGGTTCTTTTCCACCTTGTGGCCTAATCAAAATCACAATATGAGTTGGCAAGATCTGACTTTGAAATTGGGCTTCGCAATTCATACAATTACATTTTTTATTTTGACATGAGTAGAAATAAAGGTTTTAAACTCTACCAGAAACTTACAGAAAGTCTAAGAAAGCAATTTATTTTAAAAACATACATTCAAATGCATCTTTGCTGAAATTTCTAATGTTAGGTATTAAAGCTACTCACTTTATCGATGTTTTACTGCAGACGATGATTATTTGCGCTGTAGAAAAACTAAATAATTTTTGAGCCAAAAATAAGTCTGGGCCGTTTTATGATAACGATAATTTCATTTTCTCAAATAAGTGTTTTTTTATAGTGCTGATTCCATATGTTATTGCTGTCTCAATAATCAATTGAAAGACGCAAGAAAAGTTGGTGAATTTCAATCATGAAGATAGGTGAAAAATGACAGGTCCCCAATCAATTATATACGGCGCCATCTTTTTGCATAGTTCAAGGTCACTGAAATAACAGTCTTTTCTGTGGAATTATGCGATAATCTGGCTCGATTAGGCTAAGTTATGATCTTTCCTTGTTGAGAGGTGTCATGCATTTATATAAGATGTCAACTAATTATCAAGAAAAGGTATGTATAATTCCATTATTACGTCGAAATCGTTACGATTACAGTATTTTTTTCAAGAATTTGATTTTGGAATTTGTGAATTTGATTCTGATTTTTAAGAAGTACGGCACTGTACATGTATCTCCAACTAGGAATGAAATAATTTTATACGAATACCACTAGACTTCAATAATGAAGTCCATAGGCACTAATGGGAGCCCGGGAATGGGAGGACTTTGTATAAAAAACCTCCTACCTCATACATCTATCCACCCTCAATAAAATTGTCAAATCTGACAGAATTGAGTATTTGATGATGACCTACGTGGGACATGATACAGTCATTGAAGGTTTCAATTTTAAAGATTTTTAAATCTCAACATAGCTCTAATTATTTCCACAACTCCGGATTTATTTTAAGACAGATCCATGAATAAAGGCATATGGGTTCATTGTAATGTGTAATGACCTGAGGGTGCCCCAGGGGAATAACTAACTAACAACTGCGAGCATAGGTCCAACAAGCCAGATAAAGAAATTGAAAGAAAGTGTGCTAAATTTGATGCCCCAAGTGGGAATCGAACCCAGCTGGGCTGTAGTAGCAACTTGCTACCAAGGGTCGTTACAAATGCATCTATAATTCATCATAAACTAAGATTTAATAAACTAAGATCTTTGAACCCTTCAAAGACTGTATCATGTCCAATGTACGTGGGTAGGTATGTATGAGGTAGGAGGTTTTTTATACAAAGTCCTGGGGGAGAGTGATTTGAACATTTAATGTACCCAAGATCTGACTATAGCCTCTTTCGAGCTTACATAGATGATTACTTAAATACATGTACAGTATCGCTTCAAAGTACATTATTTATGCTGTCTACATGTAA